AAATCTGTTCATTGAGGCATAACTGAGTGGAATTTACCTGCTCATCACAGCTTTCAATTATGATGAACAATAGATTGTATATTCAGTCAGTTTAGCAGTAAACCAGACATGTCACATGTGCATATTAAATTTAGTACATTAATTTGTGCATCCAATGTTGCAGGTTACTGACATAAGTAGATGTCATGCCATGTTCTGCTTTAAATCCAGTCTAAACAAATATATCTCTCTATAGAGGGATAATTTTATCCCTCTATATATATAGAATGGTAATCACTTTATACAGGTATTATCACCATATATATGATATAGGGGATTTGTTCCCAACCTCTTTAAAACAAGGAATTATTTGAATCTGGAATAATTTTGAATTCTGGAAAATTGATGAGAAATATATGATGAAAACTAACCCAACTAAATAGGGTTAGCCATGCGCTCATGGCTAAGGTGGGTTAGTTAGTTCATACTGAAATGATAGTGAAAGTAAAATTAACCTTAGCCATGCACACATGGCTAACCCTATTTAGTTGGGTTAGTTTTCATCATACATTTCTAATCAATTTTCCAGAATTCAAAATTATTCCAGATTCAAATAATTCCTTGTTTTAATATCTATGCCTTAAAACTATACCAGATGCACATGTTTGTCTGTACTCCGAGTATATTTTGAGGTGTATTCACAGCCATTTTAGCCAAAAGGTCAACATGAACCTTAACCATATATTTTTCCTGGGGACGAAAATGTATTTTTGGTTTAATTTTTTTTGGGGGAAAATATTGTAAATTGCAATCTGATACTTAACTATTTAACATAGACTAGTCAAAAGTCAACATCTTTTGAATTGTTCTGAATACCTGATTAATGTATGTACGTAGATCCCTCCGTTATTCAGAGCACCCCATGAGAGCAGCCTGCTAGGGTACAGTGGAATCCATGTACACTCCATATCCGAATTAATGGAGATGTGTCACTAACGTATTTAAAACAATATTTACAAGAACAATCCCCACCCCAACACAAAAGGAGTGCTATGACATCGGAAAAAGTCTGTCAATTTGGTGGAGGAAGCTCGAAGTATTCATAGAGAAACACCTGGCTGCTCGGCAGGAACAGACAAACCAAAGAGATTGATGACTTGGATATTAGTTACGATTTTATATTACATGAATGTAACATGATAATTACACTTTCAGTGGGAGGGTAAGAGAGAGCCAGTTTTATTATACCCCACGCAACGAGTTGCGGAGGGTATAATGTTTTTGACCCGTCAGTCCTGTTTCTTGTCATCACAACTCCTCTCAAACCACACAGCAGAATTTCACGAAACCTTTTTAGATAATAAGGATATACTATGTAGTTGTGCATATCGACAGGAAATTACGATTCAATTTTTTTTCCATGAGTTACGCCCCTTTGAACTTATTTACTTACTTTAATGTACTACTGCAACAGTTTGTCATCGCAACTCCTCTCAAACCACACAACAGAATTTTATGAAACCTTTTCAGATAATAAGGACATACTACGTAGATGTGCATATTGACAGGAAATTACGATTCAATTTTTTTTCCAGGAGTTACGCCCCTTTGAACTTATTTGCCCAATATACTACTGCAACGCAACCTTTTGTCATCGCAACTCCTCTCAAACCACACAACAGAATTTCATGAAACATTTCAGATAATAAGGACATACTACGTAGATGTGCATATCAACAGGAAATTACGATTCAAATTTTTTTCCAGGAGTAACGCCCCTTTGAACTTATTTGCCCAATATACTACTGCAACCTTTTGTCATCGCAACTCCTCTCAAACCACACACTTATTTTATTTCTCCAATGACAATGTGGGGACGTGGGGTATGTGAGCGCGCTCACTAAGGTTCTTTAATTGATTTAAACATGCAAATGCACTTTTTATATTTTCACTGAAATACATGTGTGTGAAATCCAAAATTAGGAATTTTTACACTATAAATTTAATACCAAATGAAGTGTGGCCCAACCTGTTAACATAACACCTGGGACATAATGTATTGACTTAAGTATACTTTTCCCAGTAGTAGATCAGCAAATTAAAACATTTTTGGTGAAGACCTCAAGTTTAGGGGATGTTCATCCAATATGCTATCCCTTAAAACATGTAAAATAACTATGATCTGGTGAAATTACTAGACTTGGCTAGTTTTCTTTAAGCAGCTAGTGCTTTTGACCTCTGGTGACAGTATTTAATGATTAATGTTTAGTCTTGATTACCCCCCCCCCACCCCCCCCCCCCCCCCACCCCCCTTTAAAAAAACCCAAAACAAGTGATTTAATCATAATATCCCCTAATGTTCAATTCATGTCTGGTTCAGAACATTTAAACAATATGGAGTGTTTAAAGTTACTCTTCGATAAAACTTCCAGTATGGAACTGCTTGCCTCACTACAAAACTTCATTGCACAAATGTAAGTCATTTGTGTGATTGAAAAGAATAAAACATGTGAAGGCACTATGAAATGAAGCAACCAACCATGGAAGTAGTTTTACAAATTTGTTGTTTTATCACGATGGAAAGGAATATTTGTATTAACCAACTTGCCTGAGAAATGAGGAGGAGGAGGGAGTCCCATATAAAAACAAGGAGATGTGATATGATTGCCAAAATGAGACAAATATCCATCAAAGTTCAAATGAAGTGGATGTAAATATAGATTCTACCACTGCATCGAGTGTGATACGATATTTATCCACTCGAGACAGTTAAATTTTCAAATTTAAAACGCAAGGCTCGCCGAGCGTTTTAAATATTTAAAATTTAACTGTCGAGAGTGGATAAATATCGTATTACACGAGATTTGGTGGTGGAATCTGTTTCTCTAATGATTTTCAAACAATACGCAGGCAAATTTATTCCTTCTTTTCGAATGATCTGCAAAAAGATGTGTTCTTTCTATGTGACGTCATCAGGCATGGTCGCCTTTTTTCATGCCGTCACAATAGGAAATTCAGAGGAAAGCAAGAAAATTCGACGTCATAATCGGATTTTAACCAATGAAGAATTGAGATCAAACGAACCACACGTTGATTAAATTTTTTTTATACAATGGGTGCAGAAAGGGATAAATTGACGAAGAATTAGAGAAACAATTATAGGCAATGGTAAGGTCTTCAACAAGGAGAAAAACATATACCTTAATATCGTGTTTTGATTGAAAGAAATGAAAGTAAAATGGTTGGTTTATAACAAAAAAAAATTATGTAGTGATTGCAAATTTAAGTCATCAATCCTAGATGACCATGATGACTTAAGCATTTAACAATTATATCTAATGTAATTCTATTCCCTATGTAATAGCAGGAATTGCTTCTATCAAAACATTCTTCAGTAGTAACCACATATACTTTTTGAAATGTTTGCAGCTTTAATTAAGGACTGCAGGCAAACACTTATATGCAAAGATCTAATGGAGGAAGTCTCCTTCAATGATGTTTATATAAAAATAAGAAGATGTGGTATGATTGCCAATGAGACAACTAGTTCATGTGTCCGAGAAATGAGGATAAATGTAGAATCGTCTAGCTTAGGACTTAAGATATGAGTGATATAAAAACACAAATAGCTGAATGGCTACTTGAATGAAGTTCATTTTCATAATTAGAAAAAAGAGAGTGAAAAATAATGTTGCAGGTAAGAAGAAGATAACTTGCATATGCATTAATTTAAAGAAAAAGATTTAAAAATAATATTGCTCATGAGAAGAAAATTTTTTCACCTCTGAAAAAATGAAAATTTGAAGAAATAAAATAGTTTTCAATTATTAACAATCTGAAGAACTAAACTATAAATTTGGAGTGGCCTAAGATGAAAATTTATTCAGGCAAATTATTTCAATAGAAAGAAGAAAGCATGCATAATTAAACATACATGTACTTATAATAATAGTTTATAGTTCAATTATGAAATAATCCAAGTTATTTATGTACATGTACTGGGATATTGAATGGCTGCTGTTACAGAAATTATATACATGCATGAAATGTAAATCAAGTAACTGCTGTTAATTAATAAGAAAAAATATGAAGTAAAATTTCTTCAACTAATGAATACCTAAGGAAGCATTCCATGTACTTTTGTAGTACAATGTAGTATAGGTTGATTTTGGTTATTAATTTTAATAAATTATAACTACATGTAACTGTACAAAGTCTATATCCGGTAACTGATCAAGATATAAAACTCCTGATCAAAATATAAATCTCTGCAACACCTTGTGTCAATGAAACCATACATAAACTCTTTAATTTATTTGGAGATGATTATAAACTTGATAATGTCTGTTTGACTCTTTGATCACAGATGAGACACAAATCAATTAGTTTTAAATGTAAGTGCAAATAGACAGCATTAAACATTTAAACATGTAAACATGGTAAACACAATAACTTAGAAGACAGCTAACACTATGTAATACAATGGCAAAGCAGTACTTCTCTATCATGTCTCAACATAAATGTACACGTATCTTCCAAATTTCACTTCACATACTGGCTCCATTCTAGACAGAGGTGGATTAAGGGAGGCTCAGAGCTACATTTATGGTTCATGCAGACTTTTTACCTGTTCCGCTCCAAACATTGCTTAGTTTGGGCCCCTCCTCCTATTTCAAAATCCTGGATCCGTATCTGCTGTAATCAGGATATATAAAGAATGGTTTCCAATATAGCTTGAAAATTTCAGTAATCAAAATAATTTGACAAACTAAAGTCTGTGTTCTACTCCCTGAATATGGAAATTGTAAAGTAGCAGTTTTTTCAGACTATCAAAATAGTCCACGGAAAACCAAATAGAATAAAGAAAAAGTAATCCCAACTTGTAGTAATAAAATCCAAGTACTGTCAAACTCTGTCCAAATCAGTCAATAAGTCGATGCATGAACATGTAATGTTAAGTGTTAAATTTTCTATAATACTGTTGAAGGATGAAATAAATAATTATGTATTTTCTTTTTCAGCTTTAGTGAGAAGACTCCTGAAAGGATTTAAGATCCGTTTGCCGTACACAGTTGTCCTTCTTGTACTTGGGATTTTATTTGGACTACTTTCCGGACAGTATGATGAGATCCATATTTATGCCAAAGTGGTTGACTCTGATCCACATCTTATACTCCACATCTTCTTACCAGTCCTCATTTTTGAATCAGCCTTTGCCATGGATTTTCATACCTTTGTTAAAACATTTGTACAAGTTGTTGTCCTGGCTATTCCTGGTCTTGGTTAGTAATTATTATATAATATATTTATATATACTGCTTTGTATTAAAAATAGTTTTCACAAATAGTTAGGTTTGCAGAGGTTTATCTTGTACAATTTTCCATTTTCATGATTTTAAACTAAATTCTGTTTATCTATTTCATAGGTTTTTCTGGGTTCATTAAGTTAACATCCAATTGTGTATTCAATTTATGTTTAGAGATATAAAAACCATTTTTCTGTCAGTAGTTATGCTACTCTGAAACCCAAGAACATAATCTTGCATTGGATTAGGTGGGGAATTAATAAAAAGCAATTTTTATTATTGTTTTTTTTTACAAAATTAAGTATCACCTAAAGCTTGGCCTACACAATTGCAAAAGTTGCATGTTGGATAATTATAAAAATGTACATCTTTTTCAGCTTTGGCATCAGTTTTTACCTGTTTGTTGGCCAGATATCTGTTTACATATGGATGGAATTGGAATGAAGGGATGATGTTTGGTTCTATCCTGAGTGCCACTGATCCTGTGGCAGTTGTGGCATTACTAAGCGACTTAGGTACAGTGAAATTAACTCATAGAAATATTCAATTCCTGAAATGTTGGGCCACCCTTAACAAATTGTTTGTTTGATGTTGCCTACCCATGCCTTGTAGGGTAGGTAGGAAATTTTTTATTGTGACCTAGAACGTTTTTACAAGTTTTAGACAAGAAAACAAGGTTAAATAGAGCAGGAAAAAATGTTTCAAAATTTGTCAGGTAGGCTGCCTTTTAGGTGGATAGATAGGCTTTATCAAACAATTTAAATTTTATTTTTGGCCTTGTAGATTTTTTTCAAACCATTTTTTACTACTTTCCCCCAATTTCAAAGGCAGATTTATTTTTGCTCAACTGAACGAAAGGACCAAAAGTAAGGTTTTGTCAATACTTGGCATTCAGCATAAACTAATGATATTTTTTAAAAGAATAAAGTTAGTGATGCATACCACCAATCAAAGTTAGTGATGCAAACCACCAATCAAAGTTTAAGTGATGCATACCACCAATCAAAGTTAGTGATGCATACCACCAATCAAAGATAGTGATGCATACCACCAATCAAAGTTAGTGATGCATACCACCAATCAAGAATTGGTACCAATATTAGAAATACAGTGGTTTTGTGTAGGGGGTAGGAATCATTAAAAACTTCTGTAATATTCTGTGAAGCACTAGTTAATATCAAATTTTTTGTGTTAATAGTACACTTATGTCATGATCCCCTTTAATGAATTTAGTAGTAAAAGAGTACCTTCTGATCCATATTAGCATGTGCTTCTGAATATTCATTAATTGTTTATATTAAACAATATTTTATTATTATGAGCTGTAGTAAAATTGTATTAATGCCCTCTTTTTAACATTATAGTTAAGAATTTTCGTTTCCTGCATTCTTTTTACTCATCAATGAATTTACATCCATTTTTGATCAAACATTAATAAATGATATGGAGTTATAATCCTAATCCACGAGACTTAAGTCTGCCACCATACTTCATTCTTCTTTTAAGCATCCTCTAATAGTTCAGTTTTTTGCATAACATAAATGTATTAGGTTATATTAAGTAATCATTTTCACAGGAAAATGAATGGAATATAATAATGTAAAATATTGTAGATGTAAATTTAGGCAGAAAGGATTTATTCAAATAATAAGTGCATTTGACTTTAAAGTGTCAGCATGCCTGTATGTTTCAAAAGATGAATAAATTTGTTATGCTTTTTGACAAAAAGATACATTAGCAGATTAAAATTATGTATTTTTTTGTTAAAATGCATATTTTAAGAGTTTTACTGCCAATGTCCCGAACTGAAAATTTATTTCTCACGTACTTTAAGAATTGAAGTCTTATATATCTAAATACTAAATAAAATGAAGATACACTAGTATTTTGATGTGTCACTTTTATAGAAAACATGTTATGATAGAGTTTAAGTAGTACAGAGAAGTTGAAAAGTTTATAATCTTTACACAAATTAGCATTGATAAATTTTTATTATTACATCTGTTACACTTGATACTTTATTATAACTCTAAATATATATATATTATCATTATAAGACAACTATATATATCTGTGTTTTTGTATTGTTATTTTTATGGTTTATTAAGAAGAGGGACTAGAATTTTGTTAAAATTGGCACCTGAGGCCAAAACAGGGTCAACTAATGATAGAATCTGCTAGACCACCACACAAATATATGGTCAAAAGTACTATAGACATGAAATATAGTATTTTAAAATCTTTAAGTTTAATTCTCATTTTAATCCAACATTTTTTTTGTCCAAAGACTTGGTAAAGTTACATCCTTGTCAGGTTCAGTTGACTTTAAATTTTCAAAAGATATTAAGGTCATCATCAGAATGATGGGAATCTTTGTTTTTAACCAAGGTTTTGATTTGGTTTCAATCTGAATTTGGCAGGTATTTAAATGAACTCCTAACAGCCAACCAATCAATTTCATGTGATCAGTTTCACAAAATAAAGATAGTTGTTGCCAATTAATGCTAAAAGGTTTTCTATAATATACTTGTCAGGATGACTTAATGCTGTCTTGTTGTAATCAAATTGTCCGTTTAGATAGTCAGGTACCTTAATGTTTGACTATGCAATCTGGATGGCATATAATTTTGGTTTAATTATATGAAAAAGTCTAAAACAATAAAAACCAAACTGCGACCTTAAAAAATTGAACCATAACTTTAAGTTGGTTTTATTGGTCAAGTCCTATTTAACCAATTGCTCAAGTTTGTATTTACTTGTGTTTACTTATCTGTATCATTCTGCATAGCACTTTAGAAGCCTTGTGTAAAAGGAGTAGAGGCATTAAGGCCCAGTTTACAAGATAAACCTCCACTCCTAGAGTGGAGTTATATTGCATTCACCTTGTCCTGTTTCATCCAACAAATATTTTTGTCACACTTTTCTTACATAGTTGTGAACAGAATGACTACCGGTACATATTTGGTCAGCAGCTTGACAGTGATAAGTTGTAATTTGCGAGTTGTTTTTTTTATAAATCGATTATTAATCCACTTCCTGTTTTTGTCAGTTTGAACTAATAATGCAAATTTAAAAGTTACTATACTTAGTCTAAAATTTAACTTAACATGGTTCAGAAATTGAATAAATGATGGTTTTGCAAATGCTATGATGTGAAAATTTATGACTTATATGATTAGGTGCATCAAAGAAATTGGCAATGGTGATTGAGGGTGAATCTCTTCTCAACGATGGTGCAGCAATCGTTTTTTTTAATGTGTTTCTCAAGCTGACCACAGAAGATTCTGGAATCTCAGGTAAATAATGTGATAAATGTATTATTCTTTATATAAGATGTTATGATATCTTTAGAAACATCAATGCTTGATTTCAACAGACCAACCAATGTTTTTTAATGCATTTTTTTCTGTAAAAACATTTGAACATTTCATACAAAATTGTTTTGTAAGAAAATTGTAATTTTTGTTTTATGATTGTAAGACAATGGTAATTAAATAGGCTTATTAATGAGAGAGATATTATTGTTGGCCCTCTGTCTGGAGACGAATTATTATGTTTCCTGACAGTGTCCAGCTGCAGGGACACACCTCTGACATTGTCCATTTCATTCTTTGTTAATCAGCAATTCTTTGAAAATTACTGAAAGAGAATTCAACCAATTTTACACAAATTCATATACAGGACATGGTTATTTCAATTTTTGATCAAATTGACTGTTGGGGTTTCCTGTACCAAAACATTGACTTGGCTATTGCTGCTCATTTAAGAATTGAATGCTTCTTTTTGTAAATTATTTGGGGTGTAAAAGCGTTGATTGAGGTATATTTTGTATGAAGCGCAGAAGTGCTTCATTCTAAAAATGTGCGCACGGTCAACACTTTTACAACCCTATAAAATTACTAAAAGAAGCATTCAATACTTATAATTACATTTTTTTTCGCTAGGGTCATGAAAACACAATTTCTATCAAGTTTTATTTTTATTTACCTGTGCACTTTATTGTGGGAGCTCGTGTCATCATCAATGTTACATTTCATTTTGAAATGAAGGTTAATAAGTTTGTTAATCCACAATCCCTTGCCAAACAGCTTGACAGAATACAACCAAATGTCTTTAGTGCAACTACTATGTTTATTTGTAATTAGGGTGATTTATATGCCCTCGCCGTAGCGGAGGGGGCATTAAGTGTTACCCTTGTCCGTCCCGTACATCCCCAAAATTGGTTTCCGCTCTCTAACTTTAGTTTGCTTCAATCAAATGTTATAAAACTTATACACAATGCTTATTACCACAAAACACAGATCAAGTTCGAAATTGGGTGGCGTCATTTTTACTGTTCTTGAGTTATGTCCTTTTTTTAATGGAAAAATTACTAAATCTGTTGTTTCCGTTCTCTAACTTTAGTTTGCCTCAACCAAATGTTATGAAACTTATACACAATGCTTATAATCTCAAAACTGTCTTAACTATCTGTATGAGGAAGTTGACTCATGCATATTTACAAGCGGGGGCATCTGTGGCCCATGGACACATTCTCCATTTATTTTTTATATTATTTGAATTTTATGCTAAATGACAGAGCTACATCCCCTTCAATTTCAAACTTTATCATATTTGTTACTTTGGAATGGACTTCACTGATTGAAAGAAGGGAGGGAGCAGACTTATATGAAATTAAAATGACAGATAAATGTCACCAAGGAGGGAAAAATTCAACTGTACCAGTAAATTTTTACTGAGCTTTGGTCAAATGTACTAATTGAACATATAGACTGAAGAAAATTAAGTCATTACAGGAGTTCTACAATTATTACAATGAACAATGATGAAAAGAAGTCCTTTTCTAGATAGATGAATTACTGCTTGCACTCATTAGATATGTTAAGAAATTATTATCACAAATTTAAACTTACCTCTGACCAGCTTTTGCCATTTTACACCCCCATTTATTTAGCTAGTTACTTGTCATTACTTTATGTTATCTTTTATATACCAGATAATTTTTTTAAACCTTTTTTGTCTATATCCCCCATGATGAGGTTTGTGAAGTACCATTGCCAAATTGATCATCTTGAACATTAGAAATTAAAGACACATGAAAGAGTTTATCTCATTTAGTTGCCTTTGAGAAATTTTGTTACCAAAAAAGGGGTCATACCTCACTTTTTGACCTTAAAGAAATTTTAATGGGAGGTTCAATCTGATTTTACCTTATTTCTGCATTACTATATAGATATAAGAAGATGTGGTATGAGTGCCAATGAGACAACTCTCCATCCAGGTCAAAATTTATAAAAGTAAACCATTATAGGTCAAAGTACGGTCTTCAACACGGAGCCTTGGCTCACACCAAACAGCAAGCTATAAAGGGCCCCAAAAATTACTCATGTAAAACCATTCAAATGGGATGTCAGAATGTTACTCAAGGGCAAACAAACTTACCCTTGTCTGTCCATACATCAAACAAGTCATTTGAAGTTCCTCTTTACATTAATTAATTCACAATATTGTTCAGTTTGGGCTAATACAAGCTATATTTAAAATCCAAATTCAAATTAAATATGTGTTAAAAAAAACCGGACAGCTCCAATTCAAATTTGATAGAAATTTGAACAATTGTGACTGCATATTAAGAAATTATTTATTTATTACTTCTATAAATTTCTAGATAAATGCATACTTGCTTTGAACACTATACAAAGTTCTATTATATTCTATTCTATTGTATCGCATTATTAGAAAAAAAGATTATATGACTATCAAATATAAAGCAGAAAGTAGTTTGTATGAGATTTGAACGAGATTTAACAGATTTTCAAATCCAATATCTCTGATATACCATATACAACACATTTTTTTTCTTTGTCCTCTTTTACAGATATACATTCGAAAGGTATAAACAGTTTGAAAGTTTTGTTTAAATTTCTGTTAATATTCTTTTTTTATACCATGCCTACAATAGTAGAGGGGTATTATGTTTCCAGGTCTGTGTATCAGTTCTATAGTTTTGTTTAAATTTTTGTTGAAAATTTTTTTTATGCCCTGCCTACAAAAGTAAAGGGGCATTATGTCTGTGTGTCCGTCTGTTAGTCCTCTATCAGGTTAAAGATTTGGTTTTAGGTAGTTTGTGAACACATCAACATGAAAAGTTTGGTATATATGCCAAATTAGGATTTTGACCCAAATTTCATGGTTTACTGAACATGGAAATTTTATAGGTTAAAGTTTTGGTTTAAGGAAGGTGAAATATTGGTCACATCAACTTGAGACTTAGTTTTAAAAATATTTATTATTAAGTGCACTATTTAATTAATATTTGCAAATTAGGGTTTTGAGCAAAGTTTCACGGTTTCACTGAACATAAAGATGTGATAGTGCAAGTAAATGGTCATGATGTCCTGTGATAAATATATATGAGAAAAGTAAACTAGTCTGAACTTTTCGCTCTCTACACACTCTATGCGACACATGGCGCTAATGGGAGTTGTAAGTAAGTCTGAACTTAAAACAAATGAGACATTACTAAAATGTACTGAGTACGAGTAAAAGAGATCACAGGGTTTGAAATTAACAGGGACCCACTCGCCAATGGCCTCTAAAATTTGGTGTGGGCTACTAAAATTTCTGCTTTTTTTGTATAGAACTATATATATTGGCTACCAAAATTTAAGCTGTGGGCTACCATGACAAAAATTTTAACTTCAGTCCCTGCAGATGTGGATTATACGTCGATGAAACAGCAACCTAACAATACAGAAACTAAAAAAATATCTACAGGTCAAAATACAGTCTTTAACAATAAATGAGTGTCTTATCAATGTAGGAATACAATACATAGAATACAATACATAGAATGCATTACATAGAAAACAATACATAAGGGATCTTAGATTGATTTTTCTTTCAAATTTTGACACAAAGTAAATGTTATCTGGACTTTATTAGTGGTAAAGCAAAGATGTCCATACAATGTTTAAGGGTAGTCTTGAAAATTTAGAGTAGGTAGTGAGGCAGGAAACATAACTTAAAAAATGCTATAAAAAATATTATTGAAAACTTGTGTCAAACCAATATGTAAAGAAAATTGGGCAAATATGTTTTATTGAATGTTTTTTTTTAAATATCATATGATATCTAGCAGTAAAAGAAGATACATGTATTTTGTAAATGATAAAGGCCCCAATAAATTTACAGACATGCAGTGATAAGACCCAGAAATTTGTCTTATCTTAGAGTTTTCAATGTTTGTATAGGACTTAATTTGTGATTTTCAGTAATCCAGTCCAATATTAATAGGACCTTTTGGTTCCTTGTTATGTCTGTTCCTTCTTGTTATCTCCCGATATTTGTATTTTAGCACTGATGTTTATTTATATTGTAACTTTTACTTAAATAGAAATAGGTAAGATTTTTTTTCTATGACAATTTAGCTGAACATTTTTGCTTGCTTATTTGATGGGTAGAATGTTTTGGTAGATAGCAGGCATTAGCATATTGAAATAGTTGGGTTTGAGACTGATTATCCTTTAACTGAAAAACTCTTTGTTTGCTCAATAATGTTATTCAAATAGAATTTCCTGTAATAATATATAAAAACGGCTGAGGTTTGTTCAGTTGAAACTTAAGGATTAAATTGTAATCATTTTGCTTTCTCAAGTTTGAATCTGCAAATTAGCTTATGCATGATTTTTAATCCTTAATAAAAAAAATGCACAAGTGTAAAGCATGATGCATCAATTGATATAGACTTAATAATTATTTTTACACTGCACAGCAATTTTTGCTGTTTATTATTTGATTTTTAAATGTTATGGGAGGTAACATAAAAATCATTATAAAAATATTTTCTTAAAAAGGTCAGTTGTGAAAGAAACATTTATTTCTCTGATAATACTTTGAAAAAATCAATGTATATGCAGAATATTTTACGTATGATTTGTTTTTACAATTTTTATAGAATGATCAGGGATTAATTTTTGTTATAACATTGTAATACACAAATACAAGATTTTGTGCAGTCAAACATTAGATAATGCATAAATCTGTTTACTTGCATATACAACTTGCAGGCATTAATACATCTAGTTAAAGATTGTATAAATTCTTCAAAGTCCAAGCTGTGAAAATTGATTTTGTATTTACTACAGATATAGTGAAGAGCTTGCAGTATAATTACCAAGATTAACTGGCATCTGTTGAATAGTTTAAAAAGTTTCCATGACCTTAAATGAAGTTTTATATAGTTATATTATTTCTGCATGTATAAACAAATCCATAATTAGTGCAGTGACAAGGTGATGTGAATGCATAATTAATTAGGATAATAGTCTTGTGTATTGCATGTTCGTAGAAATGAGATTAACTTTTTTTATTCTATTCTTACTTATAAAAATACATGTACTATTATTATTTAACCACTCATGAAAGAAGAATGTGTCACATGTTTATTTATGTTGTTATTTTGGCTATGAAACAATAAAGTTGTCTCATTTTAAAGATTTACTATTGTTTATTTTATCTGTTTTTGTCCTGCAGCAAATATTTCATACATTTTCAGGACAAAAAAAATATATTTTCTAAAATACATTATTTCATTGAATGACTAATATTAGCAAAGTCATGATTCTTTCAAATCTGATAAAATAGCATATCTTTTATAAAGATTGAAAATGTAAAGTAAATATTAATAATTGAGTTTGATTATTGTTTGGATAATGTTGAGTGTAAATATAAATAACACGGATACCCAACAACACAAAGTTATCTATATATAGATGATATAATTATGGTCATTATTTGTCTAAATCAGTTGACATTCATTCATTGGTTTTGAGTCTGTGCATAAAAGTTGAAAATAAATTAGAGGGATAACAATTGATTTAACATTATAACACCAATTTTTTCTCAAATATAAGATATTACAGAAAAACAGTAACTGTCTTTGGACAGATATATTTACTGTGGCTTTTTAACCTGATATATATTTCATATATGTAACTGTTTGCCAAGTTTTAGAAATTGTTATAAAAAAAAAAGTGTTTGATTGTAGTTTACTACTAATAAAATTGAATATTGACTTTCTTCTTTGTTTTAGGTGGAGAAATAGTGCTGTACTTTTTACAAGTAGCTCTCTTAGGACCTCTCTGGGGCTACGTCATGGCAAAATGCACTTTATTTTTCCTGTCTAGAGTTTTCAACGATGCTTTAATAGAAATCACAATCACACTAGCTTCCACATACTTAACATACTATATTGGTAAGATAAAAGATAGAAATCATAATAACACTAGATACTTAACATACTATATTGGTAAGATAAAAGATAGAAATCACAATCATACTAGCTTCCACATACTTAACATACTATTGGTAAGATAAAAGATAGAAATCACAATCACACTAGCTTCCACATACTTAACATACTATTGGTAAGATAAAAGATAGAAATCACAATCACACTAGCTTCCACATACTTAACATACTATATTGGTAAGATAAAAGATAGAAATCACAATCACACTAGCTTCCACATACTTAACATACTATATTGGTAAGATAAAAGATAGAAATCACAATCAGACTAGCTTCCACATACTTAACATACTATATTGGTAAGATAAAAGATAGAAATCACAATCACACTAGCTTCCACGTACTTAACATCTTATTATAAGATAAAAGATAGAAATCACAATCACACTAGCTTCCACATACTTAACATACTATTGGTAAGATAAAAGATAGAAATCACAATCACACTAGCTTCCACATACTTAACATACTATATTGGTAAGATAAAAGATAGAAATCACAATCACACTAGCTTCCACATACTTAACATACTATTGGTAAGATAAAAGATAGAAATCATAATCACACTAGCTTCCACATACTTAAGGGCATACGATACAGTTACAGGGGAGGTAATGACGTTGCTAACGTAAAATGTTATTTTGGCGACGTCAAACTTACATATCGGGAAAAGATGTATTTTTCGACTGATTTTTATCATTCAAACTTATTTAACTTGAAAACGAGTTCATGGACCCCTCTTTTTTAAAATGACATTCGGTTTGATTACATATGAAGATTATTTGTACCCATTTTCATGAAAAAGTCAATAATGCAATTTTTTTTAATTTGATAAATTACAGCAAAAAATGATGTTTTTTCTAAACATAAATTTATATATACTTAACATACTATATTGGTAAGATAAAAGATAGAAATCACAATCACACTAGCTTCCACATACTTAACATACTACATTGGTAAGATACAAGATAGAAATCACAATCACACTAGCTTCCACATACTTAACATACTATATTGGTAAGATAAAAGATAGAAATCACAATCACACTAGCTTCCACGTACTTAACATCTTATATTGGTAAGATAAACATGATAAAAGATAGAAATCACAATCACACTAGCTTCCACATACTTAACATACTATATTGGTAAGATAAAAGAGATTTAGAATATAAATAAAAGATGTTGGGTATGATTATAACATCAGTAAGAAGGTTGGGAATAAAAAACGTAAGTATAAAAGTCACAGGGTTAAATTGCAGGATAAACAATATATATACATTGTTGAAAAACTTTATTTGTATTTGCTAAGAAAAAGGAGAAAAGCTCTGCCAACCTCGCTTTTTCATCTTGTTTCTAAAACTTGTACACATTATTTCTATATTTTCTGTCAATGTACATATATTGTATACATACATGATAAGCAGAACAAAGGTCAATATGGTATTCCCTAGTTCGAATAAGTTCATTGAAATTGTTCATTTGCTGCAAGATTTATAAAGAGTCAGTGTGGGAACCTCTGCTTACCAACTTAACAAATGTGAGTAGGAACAATCTTTGGATGGAATGAACACTTGAATACTACTTATATGGCATATGATGTCATGGCAAGTTCATTTGATTGGCCCATGATCTGCCCTGAATTCCATCATACATTGTACTTGTTAAAAGATGCTTTTTCAATATGGTTTTGGGGTCATTGTACATACCAATGTCTTTAATTACTAAAATTCCACCTTTTTGAGCTTTTTTTTATTGCAGCAGGTAAAAAAGAGATTAAGTGACCTTGAAATATAGTGGGAAAAAATATGAACAGCTTATGGTTGTCATTTAATTGATCTACACTTGTCTATTTTATGAGCATTTCATCAAAACTCATCAACACATCAATTGTTGTAACAGGAGTCCGAATATCCATATATTGAAAATCAGGGATGGATAGATGGCTGGATGACTGCTTGAAATCAGTGCAATTTAAATGCATATTGACGACGAGAAGATGTTAATTTGATATATATAAATATGAATCCTGCTTTGTACTAGACCAACATTCTGATCTGTATTTTTAACATGCTAATTCACAGGGAAGATAGGTTACCATAATCTGAGTCTTGAAATAGGGTGAAAAATATCTATTAATTTAAATGCCAATATTTAGCTATTTTATAAAAAATGAAAACTGTCTGCGCTTGTGCTGTTTTGAAACAACTTGCTTGATCATGATGATCATTCGACAAATGTATCATGAGCATTACCAACCTCATAACTTATTATATTAAAATCTTCATTACCAACCATGCTTGACTGCAACAGTGTGATCATTTAAATGGCAAAAAAAACTACCATTTATTCTGCAAAAAAAATATTGGGGAGTTCAGAGCAGCTATCACTTGAAACTTCAAGAAAAACACTATTCAATATGTAGCTGTATGCCATCTTTAATTTGTAGTTTGGCCATTCCCTCAAAACATCTCAATGTTATTTAAAGTAACCAAATATGAGTGTGAAAGGAATTAATATATAACTAAAATTCTGAATTGATTGTTGATGTTTACCTCAGTTCATTTTGATAAATCTGTTTATAATCTTTGAGAGAAAATAACCTTGATATTTATCAGTGTAATCAAATGATTGAGATAAATGGGGAAAAGAATAAGTGAAACCAAAATTTGGCATTTTAATCAGCCTTGATATTTATTTTATTTTAGGAGAAGAATTTTTGAAAGTGTCTGGAGTGTTGGCAGTTGTGGTACTTGGTGTCAGAATGTCTGCAGAGAAAACAATGATCAGTCCTGAGGTAGAGAAATTCTTACACAGGTAAAAATACCAGATGTATCAGACTGCATCTATTGCAAGATGGTTGAAACTTGGAAGAAAATATCACACAATCTTTTATGTTTTGTAGATTAAACAGTCCTTAACACTAAATCATTATAACCTTTTCCCAGAAGAGTTTTTTCTTATAAGAAATTGATTATTTTGTACAGGTTTGGTATTTTACATAAAGGTTCATCCTGATCAAAGGCTAGCAAGGAGTCAGTTTCACATGTCAGTAATTTCAAAAATTTAATTAAAATGAAAAAAACGAAATTAAATGTAGGTTACATGATTGAAAATTTAAGATTTGCTTAAATTCTTTTTAAAGGCATAACATTTTTGGAAAGATTGCATATGAAACTTGAAGTAATTTTTTAATTCTCTCTTTGAATAAATGTGTACTGCTTTCTCTTGATTCAAGAAGGCAAACCATGAAAATTATTCTGAACTTTAAGATTTCAAAATATTTGTATTTATAAGGTTGATAAATCAATCGGAAAAAAGAAATTTGGAATGTAAACTTTACTTTTTTGGTAGATTATATCAAATAGAAGTGTGAAATCGAGATATAAAGTTTCATAATATCTTTTAAACAGTTTTAAATGATAATATAAATAAGTTTTCAAACCTGAAAAAGGTTGATTAATCAGTTGGAAAAAAACTAAATGTTTAACATCAAATTTACTTTCTGCTTGATTCAATCCATGAAGAGAGAAGAATTGAGATACAAGCATTCCTTTAATATCATTTTTCAATTATTTATAATATGAATACATGTTTAAACCTGGAAAAGATTGATTAATCAGTTGGAAGAGTAGAAATTTGAATATCAAACAATTGATTTTATGGTCAATTTTTGTCTCGTCTTGACGGAGGCAAAAAGCGAGACATAGGTATGCTGTTTCCGGCGGCGACAATGGTGGCGGCGGCGTCAACAATGTATTAGTTTGTGATTAGGTCTAGTTCATGGTGAACCACAAGTGGTAGGTCAATGATATTTGGTATGCAGTTGTATTAGCATTGGCACATCTCATTACCATGGAGATTATTTGGCCCCGCCCCTCAGTCAAGGTCTATTGACTTTGAAACTTTGCTTCGTTTACATGTATTAGTTTGTGATTAGGTCATGTATTGGCATTTGCAAGTTTCATTTCCATGGAGATTATATAACCCCACCCCCTAATTATGGTTCATTGAATTGTTTGTGTTTAGGTTTGTTTAAAGGGAACGACTTATGAAAAGTCGATGGTATTTGGTTTGCAGTTGTATTAGCATTGGCACATCTCATTTCCATGGAGATTGTTTAGCCCTGTACCTTCAGTCATGGTTCATTGACTTTGAATATTTGCATAACTTACATGTTAAAGTATTGCTATTTTAATTTCAACATTTGCATTATCAAAATAACAAATAGGTGAGACATATCTCTGTGTTAACAGTTTATATCAAATGAAGAATAGGAAATGGTAGTCAAAGCATTCCCAAATTTTATTTTTACAATTTTTTACATTCATTGGGACTTTTGGAGATAGCGATTTATGATGTCTCTTATAAGAGTCATGTAGTTTCTAAGCTGATATTTGCAGTGCTGGTGTTTGCAGAATAAAAGATGATTTTTTTTTTGCAAAGTGATCATTCCCTTCCTGGGAAACTGATGGACAAAAGCCTGTGAAACTTGCATTAGAATTTTATTTCATACTGGTTTTCAAAAACTCAAATCTCATAATTTCCTACGCAACTACCTGGACCCTTTTTATAGGAGGGAGAGGGGGTTTTGAGAAGCAATAAGACCTAAGCTGAAATTTACATGATTATGACAAAATTACACTTTCACTAACATAACATTTTTGCTTTGTATATTTCAGATTTTGGGAAACTTTAGCATATATAGCTAACACATTGATCTTCATCATTGTTGGCATGGTGATATCAGAGAAGGCCATATTTGAAATTCATGGATTAGATTGGTTTTACATGTTCTCTCTGTATTTTGGAGTTTTTGTTATCAGGTAATGTCCATTTAAAATAGGTAGAAATAAATATTTTTGCTTCTTCCTTGACAGAGAAAGTCAATGACTACTAGGGTGGTTTTTGACTACCTTGACTGGCTGTTAAGCTCTTGTACAGTTGGCGTCAATGATATTTGGTATGAAGTTGTTTTGACATTGATGCATCTCAGTTCCATTGAGATTTTTTGGCTCTGCCCCCCTCATTCATGGTCCATTGACTTTGAAAGTTTGGCATAGTTTACAATTTAATTTCAACTTTTGCATTGTAATATCAAACTATCAAAATTTCATACAGACAAGAAGAGACATATCTCTGTGTCAACAGTTTATGTTGTAAGTTCTTGCTTTGTAGAACCACAAGCAACTGTCAAGATATGGAACATCCACCATAGTATTGTTACATCATTCCATGTTTATTTTTTGATATTTTGTAATATTTTTTCTCTCTTGTTATTAACCCTTCTTCTTTTAGTTAGAAATAAACTAAAACAGTTTTGTCACCAACAGAAAACAGTGATATGCAACATTTATGCAACATTGTGTAAATTTTAAGCAGCAGCTCGTAGATTTAAATCAACAAAGGAATTTCTAATTTTCTGGGAATCATGAAACTTACAGTAGTAGATAATGTTAATTCATTTTATTTTTGTGGTATTTAATAACTTTCATTGATTTGATTGACACGGTCATGAAAATTGAAGTTTTCAGCAAACTGCAAATTTCCAGTGGGGTTGTATACAGAATTTGTCAAAACCAGCAAATTAATTATAAACAATAATATAGTTTTTCCTAAAGATTGTTATGACCCTTTTTAAACTGGAACCCGAATGCCTTCAACTGAGCTGTCATCAAAATATTAATAATAGATGCTGCCAATCTGATATTTTACAATTCTAAGGTGTGATAACCTTTTTTTTTACTTTGCAGAGGTCTAGTTATAGCTATATTCAGTCCAATATTACGCCATACTGGATATGGTATGTCATGGAAGGAAGGTATAGTGATGACGTGGGGAGGATTACGTGGTGCTGTAAGTTTGGCACTGGCACTACAAGTGGCACATCATGATACAATTGACCAAGAGAGAGTAGGAGTTAGGGTAAATAATTTCATGTTTTACGAGGGGTTGTACATATTAACATATTTCCTGCAAGTTATTAGCAGTCTTAATGATTATCTCAATTCCTACATCCTTGATTTGTAATTATTTATTTGTGTATCATATAATATATCTATTAAAAATGTAATATAAAGAAAATTTAAATCAGCCTGCAACAATAGGAGGCAAATAAATTTTATTATGAAGGTTAAATTAGGACATTTTAATGGAAGAGGATACAAGAATATAAGTTAAGATATTTCAACAGCCTTACTCAAAATTTCCTATAGAAAATCACAGCCTGTGGTATTGTATAGAGAAGTTATGGGCTAATCAGGGTTTTTTAGGGCCCCATCGTTTGATCTGCAGGAAGCTTAAAGTAATCAACTTGTCCATACTTCCATCATAAATCCTATCTGCCCCTTAAACTTTTTAACTCCTTGGAGTTTGGTTATAACAGTTGACAGTATTATTCACCACTACTAGTAGAGGGTGTGTCACTAACAAAGGAAGAAAACCCTACATACAAGGTCAAGGTCAAAAACTTAGTTCAAATTAGACACCCCTATCCATAAATAGAAAAACTTATAACATAAATATATTTTATATTGTCTGCTCTTTTAACTTTCAAAACCTTTGGAGTTGGGTAATGAAACTTGACATAATTACTCACCACTACTAGAAGGTGTGTTACAAACAATGGAAAATAAAATGCTTCGCTGAGCGCAGCCTGATAAAACCGCAGTGGTCTAACCCTGAACAGTTGGGGCAAATTTGGACACAATATTCAAGCTTGATACTATCTGAATTTGGATTGTGATCAAATTTTTGACATAATATAGGTTTCTGACACAAAATAAATGTGGTCAAAGATCTTACAAATCTAATGTGCAATACTGTGCAATTGAAGATTTCTTCTTGAAACTTTTCAAAAATTTGAAATTTTGAAAATTTTGAAAAAAAAATATGAACCCTTTTAAACAAAAAATTGGAAACCCCCCCTTCCCCCCAAACTTTTTGAATCCCTTATAGCATTAACCATCAAACTCAATTACAATCTTTCCTTTGTAGTATGGAACCTTGTAGTACAATTTTAGAGAGATCCATACACTTAATCACAAGTTACTGTCTGGAAACTAGAAAAATGTTTTTTTTGAATTAAAAAGCCTCCATCAGCAACTTCAAATAGTAATATCTAAAAATAAAATCCTTCACATACATAATCATGGCTATACTTAAATTACCTTTATTAAACATTTCAAAATAGTAACTTCTAAAAATAAATTGACAGCTAATCACCTAAAGACAATACATTTCTTTCTAAATAATTTACAAGCAGTGTAAGGGAGGTAATTTGACAATATGTGTTTGAATTACCTCCCTTACACTGCTTTAAAATTATGTTTTGTACTTAAGTAATTGTCCATTAACCTGGAAACCCTTGTTTTCCCCCTTTTTTGCCCCTAATTCCTAAACAGTTTGAGCCATAACCCCCAAAGCAAATTCTTACCATCCCTTTGTGATATGGTAACTTGTGGTATAACTTCAGAGAGATCCATACACCATTTCACAAGTTATTGTCTGGAAACTAGAAAAATGCTTATTTGGGCCCCATTTTGGCCCCTAATTCATGAACTATTAGGACCATAACCCCCAAAATCAATCCCAACCTTCCTTTTATAGTCATTAACATTATGGTAAAATTTCATAGAAATCCATACACTTAAACAAAAGTTTTTGTCCAGAAACCAATGTGTCTTCGGATGACGACGTGATACCAATATACGACCGCAAAATTTTTGTGGTTGTATAAAAACCTTATAGTGAAAGTCAAGGTCATAAACTTAGTTTAACTTGGTCACCCCTGTGCATATGTAGAACAATCATTTCTGCTTTAACCTCTTGGAGTTCGGTAATGTAACTTTGCATGATAATTCACCACTACTAAAATTGTGTTGAATTCAAGGAAGAAAACAAAACTTATAAAGTCATGAACAAAAATTTCCTCAACTTAGCCATTGCCTTCCGTGGGTATAAGCTGTGTTTAAATCAAATAACCCATTAAAATTTACTTGTAAACTTAAAATAGGTAATTTTGCATTAAGGAAAATTCTTATTTTTTGGAAAAATTAAATGGTTTTAGATTAATTATCATTGGGAATGAGTTCTTTTATAGAACCCTGGGGGAATTAATACTAGGAAAGTTCATGACCCTGGATGCATGCATACAGAAAGAGAAAGAATATACCCCAAAAAATGTTAGATAAATGCCTTTTATATTTTAGGTATTAGTACATGTATCAGGCATTGTGTTTCTAACTTTACTGATAAATTCTACAACAGTTGTTGGACTACTCAAGTTATTGGGTAAGTTTTATGGCTGATAATTTTAATGATGATTAGTGTCTAAATGGGTATTATGAATACTGGTAATTAATTTTTAAAAATTTCAGCGTTCTAGATAGTGGTTTGATAAGCCTATCCCAAAATATTAATAATATTCTTTATATATATTAAAAGAGGGTAACCTGATTCTGAGATTAACGTGTCATATATAGTCTTAATATCCAACCAATGGCATAATACTATTTTCTATTTAGTGTATGAAGAATAAAAGATACTAGTTCATTTTATCGATATATCAAAGTGTTCATATCATCAGGATTTAAATTTTTGACGATTTTTCATAAAATTTCAGATTGTAAACAATTATTTTTAAATGAAAATTGAGCATATAATGCTCTTGAAACATAAAACTATACCCAAATACAGGGACGTCATACATGTCTCACAGACACAATAAATGTATGAGAAACAATACACATGTTTATTACATCAATCATCTGTGTCCAAGTTATGCTGGTGAATGGTTCAAGACTTGTAATCAGAATGTATTTATGATACCACATTGCAAAAATGAGAAAAAAATGAGTTTGCGGGAATCTCTACTCATGTTTATCTTGCTTTATAACTCAAAAAGTTATAATTGAAGTATGATCTTGTACGGTAGTTTAACTTTCTATATAAAAATTTTCAGGGATGAGTGACACATCACCTGCCAAAAGAATGGCAATGGCAAACTCACTGAGATTTCTACAAGATGTCAGAGACAAAACTCTCAATATGTTGAAAACAGACAGGTAAAAACTAGGCAGATTTACTTGCGTTAGATATTATAATGTAAAAAAAGACAGGTAAAAATGGCCAACAAAATTTTCAAGATATGAGAGATTAAACTTAAATATAAATAGAACAGAATTAAAAAGTTCAAACTTGCAAACTGATTGAGTTATTAGATTTAGAAAGACGAGTGAGACAACAAAAGATGAAGTCTTGCTTTTACACAAGAAATATTGAATGTTGAGTGTCTAGAGAACTAAGCAAACAAACTTGAAATATTTTCACAAATTAGAATGACACCTACCAGTTATGTTTTGGTGGAAAAGAAAGGTAATTAAAAAGAAAAGTTCTATTGAAATTTGCTATTGTAGACTGAATGTTATTTCTCATAGTAATTCACTGTCTTGTCTTTTCTCCCTTCAGATTTTTAGCTGATGCTGATTGGGATACAGTTGAGAAGTCCAGTGAGATAGCAGATCCTTATAAAACAACAGATGAAGAGGTATCTCTGCTGTATTTTTCTATGAAAGTTTTTTTTATCTTAACTTAATGACCCTTTGAAAAATCACAATCAGGGGTGGTAAATTCTGGATGCTTTATGCTAGGTATCTATGGTGAAAATGCGAATAAAACAAATAATTGAATCTATGCTTAGCTTAATCATTTGAAAGTGTCTTTTACAGGTTTTATTGCAGTAACACTATGATTAAACTGGTATTGTTTGATGAAATATATTGATGACCGTTCTGCACTGGGAAGGGAAAGGGGGTGTAATTGCGCATAATAGTATCCTCCCTCAAAGCAAGGCAGATTGAAATTTCAACACTTTTATTAATGTTTTTCATTTAATGGAGTCTTTATGGTTATTATGTAATAAGAAATATCAAAGAATACATTATTATTGCAGTTTGAGATGAATTTTATAAAACATGAACTAATATGGTTTACAGACAATAGAGTTTTGTAAAAATTATTGATGAGTATTAAATGCAATCACTTTTACTCTATAGGAAGTACAACGGTACTGACTGCATGTATGTGCTTTTTTGGTGATATCAGTTAATTCATTTGCTTCTGTTGTCCTTCTGTCTGTCCATCTATCTGTAAGACAATTAACAATTCATCATCTCCTCTGAAACAATAAGTCAAAGTAGAACCAAACCTTTTTTTGGGAAAAAATATATGGGAGTTTCTTTATAAAAGTTAATCATTTTGTTACAATTGGATGAAAACAATAGCTACTGCCTGCAAGAGGCAATCTTTGAATCTAATAGGGTAATATTTAGTGATCTTGGAAGACAAATATTTTTAAAGCCCTCTCCAAAGAAACCTAATATGTTGATGGGGTGGTAAACTGACTGTGGTATTGGTGGCACATAGATCCCATAATGATACCCCAAGGAACATAACATTCCATCATCTTTTTTAAAAGTACAGGACTAATTTTAACTAAACTGGTATTTTCACATTTCTAATGCTTTCCCTTTGCTACTATCAATCAGATCTATACATATAGATTATACATAGCAAATAAAAAGATTTAAAAGTGTATAAACAAAAATACTACACTACTCCATTCTTGAAAATATGTTAACTGGTCACAAATTACTTGAAGGAAAGAAAATGAATGAGACTATCTTAAAATCACAAAATTAACACTATTAGAAAATGTTCTAAAAGATTTAACAAATAATTTTGAGTTAAAAGGACAAATGTATTACAGTTATACGTTATACACATACCGTACATATACTTAGGGTAACAAAAGTGATTTATTTCCAGGCACAAATAGATGATTCTTTAGACATTCGACCTAATGCCATATGTCCTGACTGTGATGCCAAGTTACCCTGCCAGTATACTAGGAAGGAAATGAAAGATATGACCGATGAAGCTGTACTTAGAATGCTGAAGGCAGAAAAAGTAAGTTATTCCCTTTCTTTGACATGAAATTGATTGAACTTTTAAACAGATTTAATTGAACTTAATACTGTGGATTCATTATTATTCGTGGGATACCTATTTATGTTGATCTTGTGGGTATATATGAACTACCAATTTAAATGTCCAATGAAGTACAAATTTTCCATAATCTTGTATGTTAGACTTTGGCCAAACCATGAAATCAAATATCCACAAAAATACAATTTTTCCTCAAAGGAATTGGAAGATATGACTAATGAAGCTATACTTAGAATGCTGACGGCAGAAAAAGTAAGTTATTCCCATTCTTTGACATGACATTGGTTGAACAGATTTAATTGAACTTAATACTGTGGATTCATCATTATTCGTGGGATACCAATTTATGTTGATCTTGTGGGTATATATGAATCACCAATTTAAATTTCCAATTATGTACACATTTTTGATAATCTTGAATGTAGACCTAGGCCAAACCATAAAATCAAATATCAACAAAAGAACAATTTTTCCTCAATCCACAAAAATAAATGAATCTGCAGTATTCTCCTACAATAGTAGGGGCATTATGTTCTACAGTTTGTGCATGTGTCTGTCCTTCCCTCCTGTATCAGGTTAATGTTTTGGTTAAAGGTAGTGAGTACATAGTACACATGTATGTCTATTTGTAATGTGAACATTTTAAAATAAATGCCAAATTAGTGTTTTCCAGATTCCACAGTTCACTAAAAAAGTGCAAGCAGAGCTTAGTGTCTTATGGACATGTATTCTTTATTATACCCATGCTCCAAAGGAGGGACGGGTATACTGGTTTATCCCTCTTGTTAAAACATTATTGTAACGTTTCATTCAGTTCAGCTTTTAGTCCTAGCTTTTTTTATATATTTCACCAGAAGGTTCTCAGGTTTTGCCATGCTATACTGTGTGACATGTTTTCAGTGCCCTCTCAATTTTTTCTTCCTGTTTGTTAATTAAAACTTGTATATCTGTAAAATATCATACACATATATGAAATTTTTGTCACATTTTTCTCAGCAATTAAAATTCAGAGCATATAAATTGCATTAAGCTTCACCTGGCTATGCTATACCCTGTGGCACCTTTTTAATTCTTTATTCTTCTTTCTGGTTGCTGAAGGCTTATTTATGAAAATAAGAAGATGTGGTATGATTGCCAATGTTTATTAGCAAAATAGAGTCAACAATATTGAGCGGGGTTACAACTAGTGAACAATAGCTTACAGTGCATCTTGTTTCTCCTGTAGAGCAAGTCAAAGTTAACATTCAAAACAAAACCTTTTGAGAATTAGAAGGAAAATTTATTTCTGAAATGATCCTTCTATGTAAGTCATTGCTTGAAAATTTGTGTTTCGAGACGGGGTTCTCAATCAAATCTATAGCATCATTTACATGTTTTGAACCAAAAATTCTAATGAAATTAGGAAGATAATGTGAGATGTAAGTTTGAAAAACTAGCGGATAAATAGAGTATAAACTCAAATGAATATTGGGGCATTATGTTTTTCGGTCTGTGCGTCCGTCCGTCCGTCTGTCCCGCTTCAGGTTAAAGTTTTTGGTCAAGGTAGTTTTTGATGAAGTTGAAGTCCAATCAACTTGAAACTTAGTACACATGTTTCCTATGATATGATCTTTCTAATTTTAATGCCAAATTAGAGTTTTGACCCCAATTTCAAGGTCCACTGAACATAGAAAATGATAGTGCGAGAGGGCAGGTTAAAGTTTTTGGTCAAGGTAGTTATTGATGAAGTTGAAGTCTAATCAACTTGAAACTTAGTACACATGTTCCCTATGATATGATCTTTCTAATTTTAATGCCAAATTAGAGTTTTGACCCCAATTTCTCGGTTCACTGAACATCGAAAATGATAGTGCGAGTGGGGCATCCATGACACATTCTTGTTTTGGGAGAGAAATGAAACCTTTCCCCAGATTATGTACCTCTTTGTCAGGCTCTTTAAATTTTGCAGATTCACCTGTCCCATTGTGAATAATTACAAAAGGTATTGTTCTTTGTGGAGTTTATTCTATGGGACCTTTAAATTTCTCTTTGAAAAGCCAATCATTGATGAATTAAGCTGAACAAAAAATTTAACACTCAGTGATGAAAGTACATGTACCAATACACAAAACTGCAGTTGATGTTGTATTTATTCAATATCAACGAATTCATTTATACTGTAATTGTTGTTATTTGTTGTTTAGTGGATTACCACAAGATTGTGAGGGAAATGTTGACTGCATTGGCAATTTGCTATATTAGCCTCAAATTTTATCACTATACAACCATAATAAATGGATATAATTTATTTGCAGTATTCACCAATTATTACTCTCATAATCTTTTACAAATGTTTTATATATTTTTCAATTTGTTCAATATCACTGATTATAAACAGAAAAAAAGTAGATTTGTGACATGGAATTTTGCTATATGTTCCTATGAAATTTGTGCTTCCAAATTTTTTTTTATTTGTGTTAAACCAATATAATCTTGAGAGGACAATGTTTATATTTAAGTACCAATTATAGGCTATTTAGCCTGTCCTAAATTTATTCTGATTGTAACATCAGTCAACCTAAAAGAATATGTTATTTCTAATCCAAAATTATAGGATTGCTACCGAAATTCCACAATGAACATTAGACATATACATATCTATCAACACTTATATTTGGAAATAAAATGCAATAACATTTGAATTTATATAATAGTACATAAGTTGATAAAGGGTAATATTTATACCATGTTTAAGAGGTCTTAATTTTTTCTGTATCCTTGTAATTGTCTCGCCTTAACGGAGTCAAAAAGCGAGACGTAGGTATGCTCTTTCCAGTGGCAGTCCCCTCAGTCATGGTCTATTGACTTTAAAACTTTTGCTTAGTTTAAATGTATTAGTTAATGATTAGGAACCACTGGTTACATAAAGTTTACAAGTTAATGTTTGTGTTTAGATTTGTTTTAAGGGGACGACTTATGATTAGTCAATGGTACTTGGTATTCAATTATATGAGCATTGGCACATCTCATTTCCATGGAGATTGTTTGGCCCTGTACCTTCAGTCATGGTTCATTGACTGTGAATAATTTGCATATTAAACTTGCATGTTAAAGTATTGCAATTTTAATTTCAACATTTGCATTATCAAAATAACAAAAAGGCGAGACATATCTCTGTGTTAACAGTTTATGTGATCAACTTATTGAAATTCTCACTGATGTTATAAGATTTTTAAAGATTTACAACAGAGGAATTACCTGGAATGAAGGTTAAAAAGGGGCTAATTATTAAAGAATATTCACAAAAAAATCAACAACCTGGTACAATGTATATATATATATATATGTATTGGGAATACATGTACTGACCAAAAAAAATGAAAATTTGTTCTTCAGTGTTGTATTGACATAAATTTTTAATTATTACCTCTTACTCTTGACAATATGTGCCATTTTATAGTAATGGTACATGCATTTTCATCACTAAGAGTTAAATATTTTGTCCTGACAAAGAAGTACTTATTCTGGGGAAAGGTTTCATTTCATCCTCAATAAAATGCATTATTGAACTAGGATCTCCAAACCGTTTACATGATCCATACTTGACAGTTTTGAAATATTTGAAAAACATGTTCCTGGCATTGAGCATTAACCTAAAAATTTGAAATTTAAAATGCTTTGTATTTGATAGATGAGTTATTGGAGACAGTTTGAACAAGGGATGATATCCAGGGAAGGTGTTAGAAAATTACAGGAATGTACTGACATAGCTGCTGATAAAAAGGGAAGGTAAGTACTGATATAGCTGCTTACAAAAAGGGCAGGTAAGTACTGACATCGCTGGTGATAAAAAGGCAAATAAGTACTGACATCGCTGCTGACAAAAAGGGAAGGTAAGTACTGATATCACTGCTGACAAAAAGGGCAGGTAAGTACTGACATCACTGGTGACAAAAAGGGAAGGTAAGTACTGATATCGCTGCTGACAAAAAGGGCAGGTAAGTACTGACATCGCTGGTGACAAAAAGGGAAGGTAAGTACTGATATCGCTGCTAAGAAAAAGGGCAAGTTAAAGTACTGACATCACTGCTGATAAAAGGCAAGTAAGTACTGACATTGCTGCTGATAAAAGGCAAATAAGTACAGACATTGCTGCTGACAAAAAGGCAAATAAGTACTGACATTGCTGCTGATACAAAAGGCAAGTAAGTACTGGTATAGCTGATGATAAAAAAGGCAATTAAGTGCTGGCATAGCTGATGATAAAAAAGGCAAGTAAGTGCTGGTATAGCTGATGATTAAAAAGGCAATTAAGTGCTGGCATAGCTGATGATAAAAAAGGCAAGTCAGTGCTGGTATAGCTGATGATAAAAAAGGCAATTAAGTACTGGCATAGCTGATTATACAAAGGGCAATTAAGTGCTGGCATAGCTGATTATACAAAGGGCAAGTAAGTGTTGGCATAGCTGATGATAAAAAAGGGCAAGTAAGAACTGACATTGCTGATGATAAAACAAGCATGGTAGTACAGCAGAATGAATGTAGTGACATATTGTGATGTAAAGAAGATAAAACTTAAAATATTTGTATGTAAACAAAATTTAGGGAATTGATAGGATTTTTATCATGTCAAAGTGGAAATTAAGAACAGGGAGTGCTATTAACCTTTCTTCTTTTAAGGAAATGATGAGGTTCATTTATTTTGTTAATTTTATACATTTAATGGATACATACTATCTTACACATTTTTCAGGTTTGTTGATGTTGAAGATGTGAAGAAAAGCTGGGAAATACCAAAAATCTATATCAAATTGGTAAATAATATTACCTTGTCTAATTTTTATTCAAAAACTGATTATACTGGCTCTTGATTTTAAATTGTTTTGAAAATAGAGGAATTGTCTTACCTGAAAAGACTTTTGGTAAAATAAGAATTCATTATACATTAAAAGTGCAAAAAATACCCAGAAAAGAATAATTTCTACCATAAGCCTAAATATTTGGAACTCTATAAATTTCAGAATATAGAAATAAGCATCAGTGAAATTAAAAGAAGTTCAAATTACATTATTGTGCATATTAATTTCATTTAATTCCTAAAATAATCCTCCTGGAAGTTACATTGTAACAGTGTCTTAATAGTATATTTAAAAGTCAATGTATGTCTTGTCTTTTCAGAAAAAATTCTTCAAAAGATTTGTAGTAGAGCTGATACCTGAACCACCGAAGTCTTCATGTCTAACTCTTCTGTACAAAATCTTCAAACACACAGCTTTCAGTATATTTCTGTACTGTGTAATTGCCTTGGACATGGCTAATGTGACATTGTCTGTGATAAGCGAGTATTTGGAAGCCATTCACGATAGGAAGGAGATCTTCAGGTCATTAAATGTTGTATTTGTGTCGTTTTATATAGTGGAAGCAGTAGCTAAGGTAAGATACAGTAGTCACTGTCTAATAGTCTAATAGGACCACCTCCTTTTGTTAATAAAACTTGAATATTATTAAACAAAGGCATTTATTGACAAAATGATTTATTCATATATTTTGTTTAAAGATTTGCATAATTTAAGTTGGTCCTTCAAAGAGATTGTTAGATAATATATCTATTTTTTTACATTTCATTGTCCTATTTGGAATATTGATCACAAGGTTTTGGATGATTAAATAATGTGAATTCATTATTGAGCTTTGCATAATACATATTAAAAGTAATGTTCTTAAGATTACAAATTAGACCTATGAGAAGACTCAGCTCTCAGTTAAAATTTTGATATGATGATGTAAGTGAATAATACTTTAACCTATAAAAGTATTTTGTAGTAAGCGTTTGTGTTTCTTATTTTTTCGATTGTCCCATTCGTATCTTCTACAAGCAGATCAAAGTGCTGATTTAGGATATTCAAAACCCCCAACTCCTGTTGTAAAAAGAAAATGATTAATGATTAAAGATCAAGCACTTATATTTCCTTTTAACTCTAAAAAAGTGTTGTAGAAATAAATAATAGTGTTACATTTTTTGCTGAATTCAATTCTGCATGGCATCAGTAGTTATATGATAACTACTACCATCAAGTCCTATAATTTTGATCATCTGACCTGTTTATTTTGTGAACGTAATGTTGAATTAACACACTTAACAGATGACAGAACCTCATGTATTGTGTTGATATTCGTACTTATTGGCAGAAGTGAGAAGTTGTGTTTAAATAAGCAGCATTTGCTTATAAAAAAAATAATGGGAAATCTTTAAGACAGACAGTAAAAAGCATTAGGTAGCAAAAGGACATGAATATTGGGTTGGTGAATTTATATGTTTTATTACTGTTAAAACATGATTTAAACAAAATCAAATAATTGATTTGAAAAAACCTAAAGATTATACTGCATAAACAAATCTGCTTATTAGCAAAACATAACAAATGAACTTTTATACTTCATTTTTTTATGAAATTAGATAATATTTGTATAAATAATACATGTACTAAATATTTTTTTTCCTTTTCCAGATAGTCCTTGTAAAGAAATATTACTTTACAGTTTGTTGGAACAATTTGTGTTTGGCAATCATTTTCATTGGAATTGTGGATGTGTGCCTGAGTTTTTCATTGCCAGCTTTTTATGGAAATAATCACCACGTCGTACACATTGTACTGGTGGTCTTCATCTTACTGAGGGTCATCAGATTATTCAGGCTACTAGAGGTATGTATAGGCATTAGTACCCATACTTAATACTGCTGAGGGTCATCAGAATGTTCAGGCTACTAGAGGTTTGTATAGGCATTAGTACCCATACTTAATACTACTGAGGGTCATCAGAATGTTCAGGCTACTAGAGGTATGTATAGGCATTAGGACCCATACTTAATACTACTGAGGGTCATCAGAATGTTCAGGCTACTAGAGGTTTGTATAGGCATTAGTACCCATACTTAATACTACTGAGGGTCATCAGAATGTTCAGGCTACTAGAGGTATGTATAGGCATTAGTACCCATACTTAATACTGCTGAGGGTCATCAGAATGTTCAGGCTACTAGAGGTATGTATAGGCATTAGGACCCATACTTAATACTGCTGAGGGTCATCAGAATGTTCAGGCTACTAGAGGTATGTATAGGCATTAGTACCCATACTTAATACTACTGAGGGTCATCAGAATGTTCAGGCTACTAGAGGTATGTATAGGCATTAGTACCCATACTTAATACTACTGAGGGTCATCAGAATGTTCAGGCTACTAGAGGTATGTATAGGCATTAGTACCCATACTTAATACTGCTGAGGGTCATCAGAATGTTCAGGCTACTAGAGGTATGTATAGGCATTAGTACCCATACTTAATACTACTGAGGGTCATCAGAATGTTCAGGCTACTAGAGGTATGTATAGGCATTAGTACCCATACTTAATACTACTGAGGGTCATCAGAATGTTCAGGCTACTAGAGGTATGTATAGGCATTAGTACCCATACTTAATACTACTGAGGGTCATCAGAATGTTCAGGCTACTAGAGGTATGTATAGGCATTAGTACCCATACTTAATACTACTGAGGGTCATCAGAATGTTCAGGCTACTAGAGGTATGTATAGGCATTAGTACCCATACTTAATACTACTGAGGGTCATCAGAATGTTCAGGCTACTAGAGGTATGTATAGGCATTAGTACCCATACTTAATACTACTGAGGGTCATCAGAATGTTCAGGCTACTAGAGGTATGTATAGGCATTAGTACCCATACTTAATACTACTGAGGGTCATCAGAATGTTCAGGCTACTAGAGGTATGTATAGGCATTAGTACCCATACTTAATACTACTGAGGGTCATCAGAATGTTCAGGCTACTAGAGGTATGTATAGGCATTAGTACCCATACTTAATACTACTGAGGGTCATCAGAATGTTCAGGCTACTAGAGGTATGTATAGGCATTAGTACCCATACTTAATACTGCTGAGGGTCATCAGAATGTTCAGGCTACTAGAGGTATGTATAGGCATTAGTACCCATACTTAATACTGCTGAGGGTCATCAGAATGTTCAGGCTACTAGAGGTATGTATAGGCATTAGTACCCATACTTAATACTGCTGAGGGTCATCAGAATGTTCAGGCTACTAGAGGTATGTATAGGCATTACTACCCATACTTAATACTACTGAGGGTCATCAGAATGTTCAGGCTACTAGAGGTATGTATAGGCATTAGTACCCATACTTAATACTGCTGAGGGTCATCAGAATGTTCAGGCTACTAGAGGTATGTATAGGCATTAGTACCCATACTTAATACTACTGAGGGTCATCAGAATGTTCAGGCTACTAGAGGTATGTATAGGCATTAGTACCCATACTTAATACTACTGAGGGTCATCAGAATGTTCAGGCTACTAGAGGTTTGTATAGGCATTAGGACCCATACTTAATACTGCTGAGGGTCATCAGAATGTTCAGGCTACTAGAGGTATGTATAGGCATTAGTACCCATACTTAATACTACTGAGGGTCATCAGAATGTTCAGGCTACTAGAGGTATGTATAGGCATTAGTACCCATACTTAATACTACTGAGGGTCATCAGAATGTTCAGGCTACTAGAGGTATGTATAGGCATTAGTACCCATACTTAATACTACTGAGGGTCATCAGAATGTTCAGGCTACTAGAGGTATGTATAGGCATTAGTACCCATACTTAATACTGCTGAGGGTCATCAGAATGTTCAGGCTACTAGAGGTATGTATAGGCATTAGTACCCATACTTAATACTGCTGAGGGTCATCAGAATGTTCAGGCTTCTAATGGTTTGTATGTGTATGTGTGTGTTTGGGGGCCAGCTGAGGGACGCCTCCGGTGTGCGGGAATTTCTCGCTGCATTGAAGACCTGTTGGTGACCTTCTGCTGTTGTCTGTTCTATGGTCGGGTTGTTGTCTCTTTGACACATTCCCCATTTCCATTCTCAATTTTATTTGTTCATTTGATTTAAATGAATTTGAAAATGGGCTGGAGGTATGTTGAAGTTTTTAAGTTTCTTATTGGAGTATTTGAATTGACCATATTTTTATTATTACAATTTGAGTTGTCAAACACATTCTGATTACCTGACTGAACTACTTTATATTGGTCAGAACTTTACTTGATTGTTGGCATAATGATTTCACTATTCACCAAAAAAATAAGAAAAACACTTCAAAAGAACCAAAAAAAGTAAAATTTCACTAAGCAGGACACAAAAACCCCTAGGAACACAAGTCATCTTCTATTGTAACATTCCTTTACAATTTATTCTTCTGCAAAGAATTTTACTGTTCTGTTTATTGGGTAAAGATTGTAATCAAAACCCTATAGTACTGACTTGATATTTAAATTTTCCAAGGTTTATCACTACTTTTGAGATACACAAAATATAGTGCAGTGATCATAACATTGTATACATCCTATCCATGAATATTTCCAGAAATTTATCAATGAAATATATGCTCAGATATTTAAGTTACAAAATGATGTTATACTTGTTAAGAAAATTACATAACTTGTGCAAGGTGCAGGAATCTAACATCTGTTCTAAAAATATCAATGATGTCATTGTTAAAGTAATCTTTAAAATTGGAGTTATCTTCCTTAATTGTAGTTGAATCAAGTACAACCAATGCTTTTTTAATGCAATGCTTAATTTCATTTCCCACTGATAAATTAAAACAATCTTTACCCTTCAGTGCTTATAAGTGATTTTTAAAAACAACACTCATGAAATTTTAAATCCAATTATTCGTGCCTGCTGTGTTTGTTAATTGTTCTATGAATTATTTCAGCCATTAGTGCCTTTGTTTCTTGGTCTGATGAAGTTATTGATAAGTCAACAGCTGAGTTATGGATATGATGTTGGGCGTGGTTATGTAGCAGGGGAGGAAGAAGTCAGAAAGTTGATAGATCACATGGTTGATCAGAGGGAAATTGCTAAATCATTAAAACAAGCCAGTGACAATGGAAGACTTGATGTTATCAGATGTCTAGGTAGGTATTAACAACTGTCTATTGTTGAGGACTGACTGTATATTGCCCTCTAGATAAACTTTTGGTCGTTTTTTTTTTGTCATTGGCTTTGTTTTTCATTGATGTTTACTCTATGTCTCTTGTTATGCATATTAACTTTTGCATGTAAAATCTTAACTTAGAAAGTATTTCCCTAACTGAAATTTATTCTAACTGCAGTTGTTAAATATGTCATGAACATTTTTCTTTTTAAACATATGAATAAAAAGAGAGGTGGGGTATATGCCAATAAGAAGGCAACCCAACAACACAAAAAAAACCATCTAGATGTCAAAATATGGTCATGTGTAATATTATGTAAATGTCTTCAGCAGGAGAATTGAAATTACAGTTTAATGATTTTAATGGTATTCCCACTGTAAAAACTAATTCCCACGTAACATTAAAAAAAACAAGAGAAAATCAAATAATTTTAAATTGTATATTGTAGGTATGTTACAGAAACAACATCCAGATATTGCTTTATCTATAAAAACAAGACAAGCTATTAGAAGTGTTCTAAACAGTTTACGTGATGGCATACATGAACTATTAATGGATGGTATTCTGGAAGAAGCTGATGGCCACAAGTTAGAAAAGGTAAGGAATCTTTGCAGGTATATGTGGCTGATGGATTAATTAGTGTTAAATTAAATTGCTAGTTGTAGTACAAGCAGTTTTGCAGTATGGTGCCAGATTTAGAAAAATGTTTAATGCTATAATTGGGGCCACACTGATTAATTGACACATTGCCAAAGAAGCAATCAGCTTGTATGTCCGTCACAAGTTGTTTCCGCTCTCTGACATAAGTATCCCTTGGATTTAGGCAATGAAACTTGGCTTGATTATTAACCAATTCTAGGGGATCTGTCAGGTAGAAGGAAAAAACTCTACATTGAAAGTCATGGTCAAAAACTTAAAACACAAACGAATTTGGTAAGAAATTTGACACAACTATCCTTTACTGCTAGAAGGTGTGGTGTGTCTTGTACATGGAAGAAAACTGTTTATTGAAAATCATGGTCAAAAACTTAAGTTGAACTTGATCAGTATTATGTACAAAAATTGTTGACTTGAAGTTGGGGATGAATTAGTTTTTGCATCAGTAAATTTTTGCTATTTGTGGGTAGAATTTAGGTTGGAACAATAGTATTTGAGATTTCATGTTTTATGTTTTATATTTGTAGATGGTTGAAGAGATGATGAAGAGACTAATAAATGCACCACCTAGTTTACCTATACCACCACCAGATAAAATGTTAAGCAATGTCTTCTGGTTAAGACATGAACCTACTCTCATAGAATACATAAAGGTAGGACTATACCTCCAGATAAAATGTTAAACAATGTCTTCTGGTTAAGACATGAACCTACTCTCATAGAATACATAAAGGTAGGACTATACCTCCAGATAAAGTGTTAAACAATGTCTTCTGGTTAAGACATGAACCTACTCTCATAGAATACATAAAGGTAGGACTATACCTCCAGATAAAATGTTAAACAATGTCTTCTGGTTGACATGAACCTACTCTCATAGAATACATAAAGGTAGGACTATACCTCCAGATAAAATGTTAAACAATGTCTTCTGGTTGAGACATTACTCTCATAGAATACATAAAGGTAGGACTATACCACCTGATAAAATGTTAAGCAATGTCTTCTGGTTAAGACATGAACCTACTCTCATAGAATACATAAAGGTAGGACTATACCTCCAGATAAAATGTTAACCAATGTCTTCTGGTTAAGACACGAACCTACTCTCATAGAATACATAAAGGTAGGACTATACCTCCAGATAAAATGTTAAGCAATGTCTTCTGGTTAAGACATGAACCTACTCTCATAGAATACATAAAGGTAGGACTATACCTCCAGATAAAATGTTAAGCATTGTCTTCTGGTTAAGACACGAACCTACTCTCATAGAATACATAAAGGTAGGACTATACCTCCAGATAAAATGTTAAACAATGTCTTCTGATTAAGACATGAACCTACTCTCATAGAATACATAAAGGTAGGACTATACCTCCAAATAAAATGTTAAACAATGTCTTCTGGTTAAGACATGAACCTACTCTCATAGAATACATAAAGGTAGGACTATACCTCCAGATAAAATGTTAAACAATGTCTTCTGGTTAAGACATGAACCTACTTTCATAGAAAACATAAAGGTAGGACTACACCTCCAGATAAAATGTTAAACAATGTCTTCTGGTTAAGACATGAACCTACTTTCATAGAAAACATAAAGGTAGGACTATATCTGCAGATTGTTTTTGGTAAATGAAGATACATGTCTTTTCATATAAAACTTGATGATATCATATTCTGATGTGGAACAAATATTGTGTAGAAATGCACTTAAGGATGTTCCCTCCTCTTGTTTTTGATTTTTTGCCAGATATTCGGAATCCTCTGGTTTTATCGATGTAGTGCCATTAAAAATTTTACTCGCTAACCCCTACTTTTCTTTTTCATAATTTTATTACATATAGTTTAAAAAACCACATTTGAAAATCTTATAAAATCCTTGTTATTTTTTCACTGTTTATGAAAGAAAAAAGGTGCCATGTTAAATATATGAAAAATCTAGAGAGAATCATTTCCCGCCAAATTTTCAATGCCTTATATCTCGAAAACATGCACACGAACCCTTCATTTTGTTCTGCTTTTTTAGTTCCTTCATTTATATACTATCAATTTATAACAGTCTTTTAAAAAGCTTGTTATTTTGACACAGAGTAGCGAAGATCCTTAAAGAGTATTCCAGACAGATTTACATGTAAAATGTCATCATGATATAATTCTTGTTAAGAGTTTATGGCTTTGACTTTGACATACATTTTACTTTTCATACAATATTTCAATCTTGGTTTGACCAAGATTTTGATACAGATATAAAATTTGATACAACTAGAATCTCAGTTGATTTTGATGATCGGCTAATTTCTTCACAGGATATTTGAAAACCACCTAATGGTCTTTTTTTTTTTATAGAAAATGGAACAAGAATCGGGAGAAAGATTTGAACCAATAATGTAAAAAAAAAAACCACACATTTTAGTTTTTAAATTGATAAAGCTTATGTTAACAAGCATATTATGTACTTATAAAGCACCTGTTTATAAACTTTTGTTGTGCTCAAATGTTTACACACAAGTTAAATGCTTCTCAGATCCCTCTTTCAATTTTTTGATCATGCAGAATGCACTATGTTTGTTTAATTTATACTGATTAGATTATTTGATTGAGGAAAATTGTTTTAGGAGTTGAGTGTCTATAAAAAATTATGTTTTTCAATCACATATTTCGATTACTTATAGATGAGAGGGTGATAGAGCAGATTGTTACCCAGAGAAAAGCATTGCCAACTGAGGCAAAGCAGAGGTTGATGTAATTTTGAAGTTTAACAATTCACTCTATCACCTCTATCCAATGTGATTTTCAATTTATTATACTGAATGATCTGTTAGTAATTGATTTTGTTTTGTCAGTTTTTATTGGTCAATACCAGAGAGTACTATTTAAAAAAATGTTATCCCCTGTGACATGTGTTTGAGTAGAATGTCTGATTTCTTAATAACCAATAAAAAAAACTAGCATTTTAAGTATAATACAAATATGATAGGAGATAGTAGAGCTAAGAACCATTGCATTTATGGTGTCTGATTTAGATATACCGGTATTTGTATAAAATGCTTCATGTCATATTTCTGTTAACAGGAGAAAGCCAAATTAATCTCCTACAACTATGAAGATGTGATTATACATGAAGGTGACCCACCTGGTGGAATCTACATCATTGTATCTGGGATGGTTAGGGTAAGTGATATGGGATGGTTAAGGGCTAGCTAGATTTTACTATAGTCCATGTGTTTATACCCTTTTGTCAAAATCTACATCATTATACTTCCAATCTAGGATTGGCCTATACTACATTCACATTAATCATCCATTTGTTCGTCTAACAAATATTCTTGTCACACTTTTTCTATTTACTGATACTTTGTCTGAATTTGTAATATGTTGAATGAAAGCATATATTTTCATCACACTTTTCTCAGGAACTACTTGTACAAAAATATGAGAATAAATCTTAATTGTACATTTTTTTTCAGTTGGAGTCCACTACTCAGCCAGGTAAACCCATCATACTAGAAGACAAGCCTTCAGGATCCCAGTTGACAATAAAGTCCCACTTGATTGATTTTCTCACTTCTGGTAATATTATAGGAGAGATGGGTCTGCTGACCAAAAAACCAAGATCAGCCACAGTCATTTGTGAAACTGCTGTCCAGGTAAATTGTATCTTAATAATTATTTATTCATTATACTTTTTTCATTTATTATGCCCCGAGGCAGCGGAGGGGCAATAATATTACCCTTGCCCATCTGTATGTCTGTACGTCTTTCCGTCCGTACATCAGTACGAACGCCCCAAATCTGTTCTCTAACTTTAGTTTGCCTCAGCCAAATGTTATGAAATTATACACAATCCTTATTACCACAAAACACAGATCAAGTTCCAATTTGGGTTGCCTCACTTTTACGGTTCTTGAGTTATGTCCCTTTATAACGTTATATACAAACGGGGGCATCCTCTGTGTCCCATGGACACATTCTCCATTTATTAAACATAAAAATCCATAGTGATGACAAGTATCAACTTCTAACAATAAACTAGATGATTCAATCAATTTATTATTGTTTTCATTTAGCAGTGGTACCTTATCTTCTATATGCATGCCTTGCCCTACATGAGCATCTTTTAATCTGCATAATGGGATGCCAGTAACAGATAAAGTCTGGTTCTATATGATTTGTTATTTATTATTTCTCTCATTGTAGTTGCTGTTTATCAGTCTAGATGATATGGAACATGCCATCCAACACTTCTGTGACATTGATCCACCCTTGGAGTACAGGTTATGGCATGTTTGTGCTAATAGAGTTGCTACAAATGTACTTATGAAACAACCATCATACCAGGTAAGTAATTTGTGCAAGAAGTGGAATACAAGGAGACATATCATTTACTGAAAATATCCCTTATTCAGTGAGAGGCATTTGAAAACTTTCCATATCTTAGACAAATTTGAACTTTTTGTTTTGTTTAGTTGGGGGTGAATCAAGGGCTTAATCTTTTAAATTCTAGGATGATTTTTATGGAAAAGATTAATTGAACTTAACGGCGATAAGTTGAGGTGATAAATTTCAACTACAAAGCATTGTATGTAAAAGAGAGAATATCATTTGATAGTCAATTTGAGTGCTAATCTAGAAGAAATCAAATTCATATAAGTATTGGGTCTTCGCAGTTGTGCTTTTGATCTTTTCATCTTAAAAGTATATATAATTGAGCAGTAAAATATTTCATGGACTACATCTTTCTCAAGAAATGCAATATCAAAGCATTAGATACTTTTTTTAAGTTAAAGTTTAAAAGAAATGAGATTTTTTTTTCAGCTTCTTGTAAGTAATAAGATTCATTTTACAAACATAGCATTGATTGTTGGGAACAGTCGAGTGTATCTTAAGAACATATGTTTTACTGTCAAAAAAGAAATTTGATTTGACAAAATTACATGACTGTTTCTGGTCAATACTTCAGTGCAACCCCAATTTAACTTGGAAAAAATAAAGGTGTACTGAGTAAGGTATTCAAGGGTTAAAAGGAAATATTAGTTCAATATTTGACCTGCTGTTTGAAAAACTTTGTTTCCTTCTCTAGTTAAACTATCATGAAATTGTATGAAACAGTCAGTTAATATATAAACCAAAACAATAGCAGTCAGAAAAAATATGAAACATGTGTTCTTTAAAAAGTAAAAACTCTACTGTTCAGCTGTTTTTGTAATTGTTGAAAAAAGTTCAATTGTTTTGTGTTATGCTCTCTATTTAATTGTTTATGTTACCATGGTTATGCTCTCTATTTAATTGTTTATGTTATGCTCTCTATTTAATTGTTATCAATTTAGTTTTATATTTATATTCTTTATTTAAGATTTTGTATGATTTGTGTATTGGTAATATTAATAAGAAAACCGAAACCATATCTAACAAAAATATCTTTAAAAAAAGTCTATATAGGAGCAAGAATATTTGATACATTTTGTTGATGATATCTGAACTCTGGTCTGGCACTATTTAAATTATCATTGCCATTCAATTAAATTTTCAGCTATATACTACCCAATGTATTATGAAGGAGACATTGATTCAATTATGATTGAAAAAAGTGTATCCTTGTTAATCCGTGATATTTTCCATATGCATTCTCTGAATATAAATGAATAGTATTTATTATCGCTATTTTGTGTATTTTTCCTGTGATCTTTTATTGTGATAATTAGACGCCCATTTACAGGACATATTATGGTAAACTGTAGTCTGTCGTCAACATATCGGACAATAACTCAAAAACGCTTTAACCAATTTGCATAAAACTTTGGTGAATTGTTATTATCTATTGACATGAGCTTCCTTTCGATTTTTATAAATTTTAAATTTTACGTTTCAGAGTTATGGGATTTTATTCATAAAAAAGGGGGGATTTTCCAGTTTTCGGACAATAATTCAAAAGTGCTTTTTCATGAAACTTTGATGACTGATTTATATCTATTAAAATAACATCCCTTTATTTTTTATTAATTTATGATATGACATTGAGGAGTTGTGGAACTTTATTCTTTGAAAAAGCGAGAGGCATATCATGCGCTCATGGAGCAGCTCTTTATTTTTCATATCATGCTACTCGCTTATGAAGGAGACATTTATTCAATTAAGATTGAAAAAAGTGTATCCAGAATCCTTGTTAATCCGTGATATTTGCATTCTCTGAATATAAATGAATAGTACTTATTATCGCTATTTTGTGTATTTTTCCTATGATCTTTTTTTGTGATAATTTTTCATATAATGCTATTTGCTTGATAGAAAATTATCGTCAGAAAGTAAGGGCACATGTGCTGTTGTCAATGTAAACATCAACGACGTCATAGTCAAAATTGTGCTAAACAGACTATCGATAGTTTTCATATGAGAGGGTATTTCTCAGCTACAATCTCATCGGAGGGCTACTTTTATATTGCACATTTATACTTTAAATAAAAAAACAAAACTCACACTTCATTAACTGGTCTATGTATTTAAACAGGACAATAGTTTTGTATGCTATAACTAAAGAAAATATACTGCAATGCTGAAAAAAAACTATAATATTTCCGTATAAAATTGAGAATGGAAATGGGGAATATGTCAAAGAGACAACAACCCGACCAAAGAGCAGATAACAGTCGAAGGCCACCAATGGGTCTTCAACGCAGTGAGAAAATTCTGCACCGGTAGGTGGTCCTCAGCTGGCCCCTAAATAAAATTGTGTATTTGTTCAGTGAAAATGGACGTCACACTAAACTCCAAAACATAAATGAACTAAAATTAAAAAAACATACAAGACTACCAAAGGCCAGAGGCTCCTGACTTGGGACAGGCACAAAAATGCGGCGGGGTTAAACATGTTTTGTGAGATCTCAACCCTCCCCCTATACCTCTAGCCAATGTAGAATAAAGAAACACATAGCAATTCGCACAGTAAAACTCAGTTTAAAAGAAGTCAGAGTCCGATGTCAGAATAGGTAACAAAAGAAACTAAGCAAAATGACAATGATACGTAAATTAACAAAGGACTATTAGAAGTAACTGACATGCCAGCTCCAGGCCTTAATTAAACTGATTGAAAGATTACGTCTTCATCATATGAAAATCAGCTACAATCCCTCCCTTTAGGGGTTTAGTATCATACCATCATAAAATATATGAGAAGAACATAACCCCTATCCTTATATTTACCAGTTAAAATGTCCAAATAGAAATGTTAAAATGACGTTTTATATATATGCTGTTCTAGGGATGGACCAAAGAAAAGATAAAGATTCGATTAGAAAATTCTTACCTACTCAGTAACCTAGACGACAACATGTTTACTGTTGACTCTTCTATGTGTGATGTTGTCTTAGTTAATGGTAAGTCTTGTATTTTGTAAATTCAGCAAACTTTTGAATTTAGCTATAGCAAAAGAAGTTGTCAGTGATAGATGGTAACTGTTATATAAGTATGGAAGATATAAGCTGAATGTTGTATCTATATTGTTAACTTACATTATTTGTCTAAATTGGATTGATGCAAGTGGAAATTAACTTAATTTCATCTTTGATTAAATTGCTAACTGGATAATCAATTGTCAGTACTTTTGTATTTACAAATACTTCCCTCAGAACACTTAATTAGTACAGAACATTTTCATCATATTTTGTTGCTATAAAAATAAACACTCAATTTCTATGAATAGGCTTTTTGCAGGATCTTTTATCAATTGAAATATAAGTTTTAATGAAGATAAAAGGGGATATGATATAAACCTAATTTATGAAGCAGTCAATCCATCAATACACGTTAATGAAAAACAAAAAAAAATCAGAAAGAGGCCACCAATGTTTGTCATTGATGAACAATTGTCCCAATATAAATATTACACAATTAAATCCTAAATAGACAGAAAACAGAATGAAAGGCAGACAAATGCTGACCAGACTTATGACTTAAACAGACCTATAGCAACTGGGTCATTCAACATGGCATATAAACATCATTTATATTTTACAAGGGGATTATTCCTAGCCAGTTTTGTTTTGTCTCACCTGCGACAAAAGTCACAGAATGTGAGACAGGGATTGCAAATTGGTGACCGTGTAAACTATTTGTATAAAGCTTTTTATTTCAGAAGCTGGAAGACCTGCATGTTGCATTTTTTGTATGCAGGTACCTTATGTTATAAAGTTTCTGTCTGTCTGTCTGTCTGTCTGTCATATGTCAATTGTCCATGACCTCATTTTCATGGTTCAGTGACTGCTTGAAAAAAGATCACGTTTTTTTTAAAAAGTGAAATACTTCCTTATTATGAGTTATAGGATAACTATATTTGGTATATGGGTTGCTTGCTAGGTCTACATGCTTATCAGGTAGAGTTCATCTGACCTCGACCTCATTTCGTGTATCAGTAAACAAGGTTAAAGCTATGTGGTCTAGTCTGTATCTCAGATACTATATGCAGTAGGGCAACTATATTTGGTGTATGGAATGATAGTAAGGTGTACATGTCCGACTGGCAGGTTTCATCTGACCTTGACCTCAATTTCATGGTTCATTGGACAATGTTTAGATTTTGTGGTTTGTTCTATTTCTCAGATACTTTAAGTAGCAGGGCCACTTTATCTAGTATATGGAGTGATTGTAAGGTGTACATGTCCGACTGGCAGGTTTCATCTGACCTTGACTTCATTTTCATGGTTCTTTGAACAATGTTTAGTTTTTGTGGTTTGGTCTATTTCTCAGATACTAGAAGCAATAGGTCAAATGTATTTGGTGTATGGAATACTATTAAGGTGTACATGTCTGTCGGCAGGTTTCATATGACCTTATCCTCATTTTCATGGTTCATTGGTCAATGATAGTTTTTTGTGGTTTTGTCAGTTTATCAGTTGCTATAAACAATAGGTCAAGTATATTTGGTGTATGGAATGATTGTAAGGTGTACCCGGTTCATGTTTGTCTGGCAGGATTCATATTGCCTTGAACTCATTTTCATTGTTCATTGGTCTGACAATGTTAAGATTTTGTGGTTTGATCTGTTTCTCAGGTACTATAAGCAATTTGACAACTATATTGGTGTATGGAATGATTGTTAGGTGGTTTATCTGACAGTGACTTCATTTTCATGGATCATTGATAATGTTTAGTGTATGTGATAGTTGTAGTAAAACCTTCATATTACAGACTTTCATCCATGTCCAGTGTACAATGTTAAAGCAATATTGTTGACATCACGATATTTACAATGTTAACACGATATCGTGTCAACATCGTTTACATTAAGATATGATTTTACTATATATTGTTTACATCGTTAACATCGCGATGTATACAATGTTGTAAAGATATCGTGTTTACATCATTTACATCGTAATATCAACAATGTTAACAATATATATTGTCAACATCATTTACATTGTAACAACTCTTATATACTGTTTACATCGTTGACATCGTTAACATCGCAATGTATACAATGTATTATCAATATTGTCTTTATATCGTTTGCATTGTAGTTTGCACGATATGGTGTCAACATAATTTATAATGTTTGAAATGTAATAAAATGTTTACATCGTTTACATCGACATATTTCAATTTATCAACGATATATCATGGATTACAAATGTGTTAATTTTTGTTATTGGATAACAACACAGAGATGTCAGTATACATTCAGGAAACTGTCGGGGTATACACTACATTTTTTTACCCCAATTGGAACATCATCAACGTCATCATATAAATACGATGTTGACACGATATTGTCAACATCACGATGTATACGATGTGAACAATGTAAACACAAAGGTATAGACTTGGTACACATCATAAATACAATGTTGACGATGTGAATGATGTAAACACGATATTTTCAACATCACGATGTAAACAGAAAGGTATAGACTCGATATACAATATAAACACAATGTTGACACGATATTGTCAACTATATGATGTATACGATGTAAACAGAAAGGTATAGACTCGATATACAATGTAAACACGATGTTGACACGATACTGTCAACATCACGATGTAGACGATGTGAACGATGTAAAGTTGTAAACACAAAAGTATAGACTAAGTTCACACCATTAATACGATGTTGACGATGTGAACGATGTAAACATGGTATTGTCAACATCACGATGTATACCATGTGAACGATGTAAACACAAAGGTATAGAACATATATATAGATAGGATACAATGTAAACACAATAATGACACGATAAAGTCTACATAGCGATGTTGACAATATCGACAAAACATCGTGCACTGGACATACTTCCAGACTTTCAACATGAATTCAATCATAAATATAAATCAATTGTTTTAAAAACAATTGTTAAACGGTCTTTCCCCTCCGAAACATGATTAATTGGTTTTTTGCTTGGTTGGTTGGTTGGTTGGTTGGTTGGTCGTTTGATTGATTGATTGATTGATTGATTGATTGATTGCATGGCACTTTCTCTGTGCGACGCAGCTAACTTAAATAACGCCTATATTCTGACTGAACGTGACTGCGTACCTTTACATCCCGCATAGCCAAATGGACGTCTGAGATGTACTCATAAAAATTGATCCTAGCATCATTCGTTTATAAATTTTCTCTAGTTTCTATGTTACCTCGGACTTCCATTTTTCATCTATTTGTTGTGTATGCATTTTGATTGAATTTGTAGGAAAACGGAGTAAATTTTATCTTGGAAGTTTTATTTTCCTTATTTGGATATGGAATGTTTTATTCTAAATTTAGGTCCGCGCGCGCGGTGGTGTTTGTGAAGTCACGTGACGCTCAAATATATATGTCTGGAGTTAGAATATTAATATCTTTTCAGGGGAGACCGTTGAACAGAGCACATGTGTATTGATCAGAGAAACACGATAACTATTGTTTTTATTTTGTACAGGTCATTGATGTCGGATCATGCATACATATTACGTACACATGTTTACGGGAGCATAGATTTGTATTTTAATGCATGTTTAGAAATTTGATTGTAGGATTTCAGTAATATTTACGAACTTGGAACATTGATTTTAATTTCGCAATCAAGCGGACCGCACGTGTCTCATCGATTAATTTCAGAAAATACATGAATTGGAGCAGATTTTTGCAGGGATGGATTTCTATTTCAGAAAGAAATTTGTACATAAGAAGGATTAGCATTTTACAGTATAATGTACGGGACTAAAAGCGATTTTCTTTTCATAGAAATGGGATACCGTATAGCGGGTTATTTTCGCGGGATGTAAATTTTTGCTTATTTTCGCGGAAAGAACAAAATCGCCAAAACAAATTCCGCTAATTCCAAAGTGGACATGCAAAGGTATTGATAAAAGTTTTTAATTCGCCAAAATAAGAACCGCCAAAATATTTCGTATACCTTATTTAATGAAAATCGCGAAATTTTACACCCGCGAAAATAACCCGCTATACGGTAACTTAAAAAAAAAAAAAATCAGTTGAAAAAAAAGGGGGGGGGAGTGTAGTGGTAGACTGTGGTTGATAATTGAGATAAGAAACATTTACAACATGATAGCTGCAAAGTTTGAAGTTTTGATAAGTAATTTGTTGATTCGACCATAACAAGGACATTGACCCTGCAATAAAATGACGCGTACCATTTCGACAAAAAATTTCTAGTAAACACGTGTCGCGACAAACTTTTTGGTTAAATTGTTTTGTCCATATCTATAACTCTTTCTAGGAAGAAGCGATATGAACTTAATGTAAAAAATCACAACATGACCTTGACCTTTGACCTTGACCTAGTTTTCTATTCTTTAGGACCAAGGACCTCAAATCAACAGAACCTAGGTCTCTATCACTTATGGTTTACCAGTTACAAATGCATATCACTTATTTCAAATGCATTAGGGGAAATAACTCTCATATGGAGTCTTCGTATCGCTTCCGTCAAAAATGGACAAATCATGCAAAGGATATAACGAGCAATTTTATAAAATAAATTTGTCGCTTTCTTTTACGGTTACGGAGGAGATGCAGTCACAAGGAAAACAGTGTTCGGGGAGATAACTCCTACAAAGAAAATTGTTCGGCTTAGAATGGGTGAAAATAAAAAGCGCATAAACTGTATGATACTATATAAGAAATATCTAAGCGACATCTTGCGAAACAAAAATTTTACGCGAGAATAAAAACATTTGGTGGAAGAAAATAATAATAATAATAATCAGAACAAATACAATAGGTCTTTCCACAGAAAAGTGGAAAGACCTAATTAAAACAGGCGAGACATTTCAGGGTGTGTACTCTTGTTATTATTCAATGACTGAATATTAACAAACTATATTTTTATGAATTTAAAAAAGACTTTCTTATCAAGTTTATACTATTTCAGGCTTTGCACAGAATGCTTTCACCAGAGAACAGTTTATTGGTCCTTGTTATATACCATGGACAGTACTTAAGTTACAGTTGATGGTCAGTATAAAAAAATCAAAAACCAAAGAATTTGTACATTGGTTTACAGCTGGGCTATTTTAGCTTGCACTGTGTGCATACAGTTTTAGTTAACTATTTGTTAGTAAGCCATGGATACTAATTACCTATTGTATGTATAGAAACAATACTTTGAATATATGATACCCACTGATCATGTTATGTCTAATAATTAAGAGAGGGTATACTTTGCACAATATCACATTCAACTCCTTGTTAATTTTATGATCCACTTTGCAAATGAACAAATTTAACGTCATTGTAAAATAAGTAGATATGATGTTATTGCCAATGAGACGAGTCGACTATCCAACAGAGTCCAAATTAAGCAGATATAAGTAACTATAGGTTACCATACGGCCTTCAACAGTGAGCAAACCCCATACACAAGAGATGGGTAAAAGTCAACAATCAAAGATAATCAGTTTTTGTGATACCAATTGGCATAATTTACTTTAATGAAATATTTGATTTTACAGCCAGAGAAAGGTCCAAAACCAGTGCTATTGGTAGTACCATCAGAGGCAGGTCAACCTGCACACGCTTCCCACAAATCGTCACATGAGCTAAGACATGGTCACGGAGCATTCAGTAATTCCATCAGCCAACTCTGTCTCAATCATGCATCAAAACATCGGCAATCAGTTGAATCAAAATGGAAGGTATGTAAAAAAAAACTATAAAAATAAAATATATATAGTTCCATGGTGTCAGATTTCATCTGCTTTTTGCTTGAAATTAATTTATTATGTGTGGTTGCATATTGTTTCAAAAAGATTAAGTATAACTTAAAAAAGCACTTACACCTGTTAGGCCAACTAAAACTTATTAGTAGATTTTCATCCAGATTTTTGAAAAAAAAAAAGGGCGGGTGGGAGGATTTTATTTTTTTATTTTTATTTCCTACGAAACCCTTTTGTGACGTGTTCTTCATGTGCAAGGGTAATATTGATAGCTTCTATCATGTATATATAAGGAATCCTACATAATTTTTCAAATTCTTAAATAATATTTCTGATTGGCAACCACTGTTCTACATGTAATTGCCGCTTTAGAAACCTATTTTTAGTAAATAGCAAAAACGCAGAGAAATGCCCTCTTTTAGACTACCTAGCCTACACCAAATTTATTTTGCTTTCTCGGCTGTGGTTTGTAGTGCCTATAAAATGAAGAATATGCATTGGTATGCAACAAAAGTATTATGAATACAGAATGAAATGAAAACTCAAACTGTGTTGAAAATACTAGGGTTGATGCTTTTAAGATTCTTATGCAAGGTGCAAATATAATTACAATGTAGAACATGAACTTAACCAAAAAGATGTTTATTGACTCTATTGAGGGGCTGGGGACAGAGGATGTTTGCTGTTTGTCAACAAAAAACGACTGCCTAGGGGTATATATAGGGCTTGCTATAAAACATTTTGTACGTTTACCGACTTTTTGTACTCAATATACTGTCATAAGTTGCACAAGATCGTGCTTGTGTAAATTTCTTTATTCCAGTCATGTTTTTATGCCCCACCTACGATAGTGGAGGGGCATTATGTTTTTCTGTCTGTGCGTCCATTCGTTCGTTAGTCCGTCAGTCCTTCCGTCTGTCCAGCTTCAGGTTAAAGTTTTTGTTCAATGTAGTTTTTGATGAAGTTGAAGTCCAATCAACTTGAAACTTAGTACACATGTTTCCTATGATATGATCTTTCTAATTTTAATGCCAAATTAGAGTTTTGACCCCAATTTCACGGTCCACTGGACATAGAAAATGATTGTGCGAGTGGGGCATCCATGTACTATGGACACATTCTTGTTTGTCCTAATGTGTTTCACGATTCTTGCCCTTGGGATTTCATTCACAGTCTGACACAAAGTCATTGTATAAATAAAAAAATCCATGGTTTTCTAATGCAGAAATTTGTGACATATCGCGATTTGCATTCTTGGACACTGCCTATTACTCTTAACCCAAATATTTCATGCCTTTCTCGCAATAAATCTCTATTCTTGGAAGATACATGTAATATTGTCATCATAGAGCAGCAGAATATGTCGACTTAATCTTTTGGTTAAATTACTCGGAAGAAGTACGAAAACCGAAATTTACAATTCAGGAAGTTTTGAATAAAACAAAATTAAAGGCGGTTACCCGTGACAGAAATGAACAAAATCTGGAAATCTTAAATTTCTTTTAAATAAAAAATCTGGGCGGGCAGGGATGAAAATCTATCAATTGATTTTTATTGGCCTAATGAAAGTTTTTGATATCTGAAATAAATAAAGTATTTTAAATACATAGATTATCATCTAATGTATTGTCTGTTTGTTTCTTACATGTCATTTGACTAAAATTTTCATTCCCAATTTCCAAAATTAGATTTGTGTTCGTCAGATTAAATTATCTTCTTTAATTTTTACCTTCCCTGAGAAACATATTATAACTAATTTATAGTCATTCTAAAATTAGTCAATTCTCTGACAAGAATACCTGCAATTTAAGGCTAATGGACTTGAACAGAGAGAGTTCAGGATTTCCACTTTTGTTAATTCATTTCTTTTCATAGTTGTAACGATTAAAAAAAATGTTTTCAACTCAGAATTAAAATGAAATATTTCTGTCAGTGTGATTGTTAACTATAAAGAGAGTAAAAGAAAGTGAACTACATGTTAGTTGCCCTTAAAAATGGTTCTGTGAATTTATACTATTACAGAACATATATCTTAGTATTCGTTTTTAATTTGTTTTTGCTTCTTCTTTTTTTAATTATAAAAAGTCTCCAGAATAGAAGATTTCATTATATTTACAGGTACGTGTGTCAGAAAAATAATTACCCAACCTTTAACCTCATTAGGATATCAGGAAAGGATGAATGATATACATTCATTCCTGATTATTCCTTAAAATGATAGATATTTGTATACAATGCAAATATGAAAACTAAGACTAATAACTTTAATTAAGTAAATGTTAGCTATGCTAATATCTGCACATCACTGTAAATACTGGGTAATAAGATTTTGTCATCAAATTCTTACAGAAAAAAAGGCAAAAGAAAACAAATTTAGGTTTTATTGCTGATGTAAGTTAAGTTCTGAGTAAAATTGAATTGAATTTTAATTGTATTATTGTTTTGTTTGTTGAAAGGTTTAAGGTGTAATACCACCAAAAATGTTCTATTCTTTGATAAATTAATCATTTTCAAAAAATTATTACCAGATTAGCTAAAGTCTTTCTCTTTATGCATGCTTTCCTATCCCTTCTGGTACCCCTGAAAAAACTTCAACTAACATTTCATTGCAAAGTTTATGTAAATTAACTTACATAAAAGTAGATTGAACAAAATTAAATGAGTTATTTCAAGTGTCCTAAATCCAATATATATAAAAAGAATGATGTCTTTCTTTGTCTGAAATATTTCTGTTTACAAGGGACAATTTATTTTGCAATGAAATGTAGAATCTATTTTACACAACACTGCATGTGTAGTAATTGTTTTGTTCAACATTCAACCACTAGCAACACCATTGTTTTTGCGGTATTACACCTCTAGTGTCATGTTCTTAACACCAGTTCTATATGTTTTTATATAATATTGTACCATACAGAATTAGTGTTATGTTGTATATTTCCCCTATAATTAGTTTACAAATAGGAGTTTCTGAATCAAAAACAGTTTTTTTTCCAATACTTCTCGGAGGAGCTTTGTCAGGATTCTAGGTCACAGGCTAGAGATACTAGGTTTATTAAAAAAAAATTATTAATCCTAAATGTAGTAGAAAGTTGTTTACAATTTAATGAGTCAATAAATGGACAAGCCATGGCTGTTTGAAAGTTTACTTTCTATGAGATTTTGCTTTGATTTCCATTAAAATTGGGGCTGGTGATAGGACGATTTATACCCCCAAGGTAGGAGGATGGGAGGTTATTCTATATTAACCTTGTCTGTAAGTTCTTTGGTCCAACAAGTATGTTTTTCATGCTTTTGTCTTGAACAATGACTTCATTTTGATCAGCAGTTTAACTGTGATTAATTTTAACATGTGAGCACTATTCAGATCTGTCAGATACCTACTTCCTCTTTGCTGATACTGTGAATTTTTCATGAACTTACGGTAATATTTCCACCACACCCGTTTCTCCAGAACAATGTGCTACAGATCAGAATAATAACATTTGGTCATCATCTTGACAGTGATGAGTTGTAATGTATGAATGTTTTTGGGATCTGTCAGACATCTCTTACCTGTTTTCTGATACTTTTAATTATGAGTCAGGGTATGCTTGGCAGGACAATGTGTACATTCTTGTTATAACTTCCTCCTATATAATATGCCTAACTGCAAATGTAGTAATATAAGTGTCTGATATTTTTTTCTGATGTGTCAAAGCAAGTAAATTGAATTTTTGGTGTCTGAATAGCTATTTACAGATTTAATAGGAAAATGCACATTATAAACAACAGGGATCATATCAGCCAAGTGGCCCCTTAAATCTAAAAACATACAGTATGATTTTTCAAATAACGTCCTTTATATTTACAAAATCTTGATTCATATTTTAGAATTTTGTCTTGCTTATTTGCTTTAGGGCTTCAATTTTCTTGCATTTGAATATATATATGATGTGTTGTGTGACATCTTTGCTGATAAAATTTTTTTAAAAGTATTTCTTGTCTGATCATATGACATAAAGAGTATGTTGAAGAAAATATAAATAATAAAAAAGTACATGTAATGTTTAGAAATAATACAAAATTATACCAGTTTAACCTGTCTGAACTTACTGGTATGTGAGAAATCACTTACAGTAACTGATAAAAACCAAAAACCGAGTATTAATTTTCATATTTCAAATTTTAGAAAGTGCAGGCAGCAAGAAGCCTTGGAATTTTGTTATCAAAAGGTGCAAAAGTAGAAAATCGACCAACACCCAAACCAGAAATGATGAACGGAAACCTTAACAGGCAAGTTATCGAGGAAGAGATTACTGAAGATACTGTCATGTAGTGGCTGTACACTTTTGATATATTATTTATGCACGTTATAATGTTTATTTCACTCTTTTTACTTGAATTTATAGGATAGAAATTTACTGTATTTTACACAAGATTGGTTTAAGAAGTTTAAAGGTGACATATGCCACTGATTGCCATGTTTTGAAGTTTTTTTTAACTTTTTAAAATCTGTTTAATTTTTTTGTTTTAGCTATTTATTTCATACAGATGAATTTCTATCCTTGTTTTCTCATGAGATGATTCTGGTTTTGTCCAAAATACTTAGAATTTCTATTACACACAAGGCAATTCCAGAATCATTATCTTTTTTTCTTTTTTATATTAAATTATATCTCATATGCACAGCTTCATTCTGAGTGTTTCTGAAGGTTGAATACAATAGTGTGTTTGTCAATTCTATGCCTAATTGACCCTGTAATTAGAGATTCATATGTACAAGTTGTTTCCTTTAGAGGGACATAAATTTTCATTACCAATGAAGAGCAGGCAAAAGAGCACATCTATCTGTGCATTTTTTAATGTTTTTTTTCATATCTTTTACTTACATTTAATATTTTGTCAAGATAAAAACTTTTAAATCAATAGTTATAGTTCATTAAAATCTGGTTAACACACATATATCACTTTCATCTACCAGTAATTATGCTTTGTACGGGCAACAGCACATTTTGTCCAGTTTAAAACCAGTCATAGGGTAATAACTTGTATAAAAAGTGTGTAATAACGGAATCAAATTGGTAATAGGCAATAAGACTGTTAATAATTTTTTTCAATGATGTATGATAAGTGTCATGTAGAAATGAAAAAAATTATGTAATTAAAAAAAAAAGGCAAAAACTGATTGTGAAATTGTTTTTTTTTAATTTTAAGAAAATAGAAAAAGTTTTAATTTTTAAAGCATTTCAATACATAATAGTTTTATCATAAAAATAACAATTTTAAATGAAACATGTCTTTTTATATGACAATTTTGGATCTAAATTCAGAGATATTGGCATAACAAGATTTAGAAAAGAAAAAAAAATTGTGTCTTTGCTGTTGTTAATGGATGTCTGACAATGTTCAACTGTAACAACACATAATGATCACTTATGTCGTCGGTCTAATCAGCAACTCTTGAAAACAGCAATACAAAACTTCACCAAACATTCTTCTACAGAACATGAAGTTGTGCACCTGCTATTTGAATTATTGATCTTGGTGATATTTGGGGTTTACCTACCAAAACATGGACTTAACCATTTTGACTTGTTTATATGGAGACAGCAGACGACACCTGTCTTCATTGGAAGGCTGACACATTTTATAATCTCATGCAACTTCATATATTTGGCTGTTTCATATTGCAATTTCTATGCAATTGTATATTTTTAGGACATTTATAATAAGTGAGAAAAAATAACATCAGACCATGGCACTTTGGGAAAGAGTTATAATGTTGTGGTACCCAAACCATACAGATAAACTAGATAAACATACTTTCTACAATCTGGAATACTTGTGAGAACAAATTCTTTCTTATTTTTATGAAAGCATTAAAAAAATGTCATTAAATAAGTGCTTACTTCAGTACCTTTTGTCCTTAATATGTGAAACATTTGCCACTGGACATTGTGCAAGATACAATTAATCAATCTTTAAAACTTTCTATTACTGAAGTAAAAAATTGTTGCAATATTCTAAAAAAATATTACATTATTTAAATGTGGGTGAAATTTTCGTAGATGTAGGTACTTAGAATTCCAATTTGATTGAAATACGGATCCTGTGTCATAGCTTTGCTTTAAAGGAGCTGACAATGCACTGTCAAACTTTCTGCTTTGAAAACCTTTCCTGGTTCTGCAGGATTTGTTGTAATGATACATATCCACAAAAAATTCCAAGCAGAAATTACATTGGATGTAATAATTATCAGAAAAGGAAGTAAAATGTAGTGTTGTCAGATCCTTGTAAGCAAAGCATCGACATATGATTTGTATTTTAATCAGATTGGAAGAACTAACGATTCCTGGACATTTTAATCCATTTGATTTAAAGTACGAAAATAGGTGGATCCTGTTTTATTTGTGCTTAAAACAGGACTAAGACTAAGAGCATATAAACTTTTAACCTTCGGAATCTAAAATCAAAGATGCTAGGATTAAATTATACTTTGGAATTAAATTGTCCTTTAGATTATTTGCTAATGAAAGATTTGGGTACCTGACATTATATAAGTATTTGATTGTAATAACTATATTCTGGTTTGTTCTCAACTCTTTTCATATCGGAAAGTTTTAACTGAAAAAACATCTTGATAATATGAATGGAAACATTTTTGTATAACAGTTCTGTAATGGCCCATTAAAAGGTCTTTGTACAAGGTCTAATTAAAAATGATAGAATAGATTGATTTAAAGAATACCTTTAGTAACAACCGTCAACTGATGAGCATACATGTAGAAAACTCTTTAAGGTAGATTCATGGTATACCGCCATCTTGGATTGTACAATCGCAGTACACAATCGGTCTAGTTATTTGCCCAAATCTGCAAATTAGGAGACAGATTTGCAATTTATTTGTCACACTGTTTATTTATTTAAAGAAAACTTGGTGATTTATTGTATTATTCAAAATATTCCAACAAATATTAAATTTTGTGTTTTGGAATCATTTTTTTCAACTAAGCCATTTAAGGGGAGATAACTCTTTGAGTAAAAAATTACACTGGCTTGATAGGGAAATTTTTAATTTTTACTTGTAGCAAGAAAACAAGTTCGGTGACACCATTTGTTCTTTTTATTTTCTTAAAACATGTTATAAAACCTATCTTCTCACAATTTATTTCAAAATTCTATCTCATAGATTTCTTTTTATGCATACAAATGTGTTTTTTCATGAACAATCTAACCAGATTTAGGCAATTTTCAACGACTCATAGCTCGAAAAATAGCACGGTGACCCATACTTTTTATTATATTTTTGAAAAAAGCATAGTAAAATCTTCATTTTGGCAAAGTATAAGAAAATTCTATCTCAAAAAATATATACCGATGATCTACCTTAAACCAGGGTACATATATGAAGTATTGCATGTTTTATTTGTACTTTGCATGTAATTTACTGTTTATTTCATATTTATACAGAAACCTTTTATTTTCTTATTGATTGATTTTTGATATTTTTAAATGACTTTTTGTTCCGTTTATTTGTATATCAAACATTTGTTGCATGTGTTTTTGTTTTTTCTATGTTTTCAACCAACTATTTTACTTATAAAAGCCTATTTACCAACTGTCTCGCTCTCAAAATTAAATTTTTTGTTTCTTGAAAATGAGATGGGTCTTTTACTTTAAAGAATATTTAACTGAAAATATTCTGGGTAGTCATGATTTACTGTATGTCCTGATTATCTCAAAAAGAGATTTTTATTGAAAAGTAAACTTCCAGTGTGTTGGTCCATAATCATACAAGTGATAACCACTGCATTGATTGTTCAACAATAACCTGCTATCTTGATCTGTCTAAGGTCAAACATTGATAGTCATCACAGATCAACTTGCACTTGTGTGAAGGCATTATCTTCACAGTAGCTCACGTTAACTGTTTCTATGTAAACTATCTTCATTGTAGCTGATGTTAACTGCTTCTATGAAAAAATAACAAAAAATTAACAAGAAGAGAAAGAAATTTTATTTGCAAATTTGTTGAGACAGTTTAATTTATTAAAAAAATAAATAATTAGGACTTTGAGAATGTTAAAGGCATTTTTGTTGTTAGTGTCAAAGATATATTTTTGTAAAAAGTTATTTTTTAGACAATAAAAAAAATTTGTTTGTTTTTACATGGAAAGTTTTGATACAACCTAAAGATGCAGTTTTTATACGTCCATTTACAGGACGCATTATGGTATACCAGTGTCCATCCGTCCGTCCGTCAACATGTCGGACAATAACTCAAAAATGCTTTAACCAATTTGCATGAAACTTTGGTGAATTGTTTATATCTATTGACGTGAGTTCCCTTTCGTTTTTTATAAATTTTAGATTTTACGTTTCCGAGTTACAGGGTTTTATTCGTTAAAAAAAGGGTGATTTTCCAGTTTTCGGACAATAACTCAAAAAAGCTTTCAGCAGTTTAATGAAACTTTGGTGAATTGTTTATATCTATTGACATGAGCTCCCTTTCGTTTTTTATAAATTTTAGATTTTACGTTTCCAAGTAATGGGGTTTTATTCATAAAAAAAAGGGTGATTTTCCAGTTTTCGGACAAAAACTCAAAAACACTTTCACCAATTTGCAAGAAGCTTTAGTGAATTGTTTATACCTATTGACATGAGCTCCCTTTCAATTTTTATAAATTTTAGATTTTACGTTTTATTCGTTAAAAAAAGGGTGATTTTCCAATTTTCGGACTATAACTCAAAAAAGCTTTCAGCAGTTTAATGAAACTTTGGTGAATTGTTTATATCTATTGACGTAAGCTCCATTTTGATTTTTATAAATTTTAGATTTTATGTTTCTAAATTGTGCAATTTTATTCATAAAAAGGGGTGATTTTCCAGTTTTCGAACAATATCTTTAAAGTGCTTTGAGCAGTTTTCATGAAACTTTGGTGACTGCTTTATATCTTTTAAGATAACCTCCCTTTAGTTTTTCATAAATTTCTGATATGACATTCAGAAGTTATTGAACTTTATTCTTTAAAAAAACGATGGGCGTATCATACGCTCATGGCGCAGCTGTTTATTAAGTGTCTTCCCTCATTACCTAAATGTTTTAATGAAACAGCTCTAATTTACCAGAAGTACCTGCAATTATCAGATCTGTTCCATAATTTTATTTACCCTGCATTTAAGATTTGAAAGGAACAGTATTCCACCACTATGATTTATAAATTATTTTATCAGTTTTAGTCACTTTATATATGAAAATAGCCTAATATACAATATGCACAAAGTTATATAAATTATAATTTGTATTTATGATTTCATCTTTTTATATAGCTTATTGTTTCTTATATGCATGGTTATTTCTGCACTCTGACTTTTTCTGTGCACTGCAAATTTCTTGAATTATCTGTGTCTCTTGTACTATTTTAAAGTTGAATTTTTTAATGAATTTATATTTTAGCATTAAAAAAGATATTATTTCATGAACCAGGATAACTTTTTTCCCATGTTCAATTGTTTGAGTCTAACACAACTTTCTATAATCATAAAAGGTCATTGATGTAAGGACTGGAATGCTTTGTGTAACTGACACACTTGATCACATACAGGTGGAGATAGTGGCCTATAAAGGGGGACTATCAAAAGGTTCTATTGAATGAGTTTCAAACCTATTGAATGGTTCAGCTGTATGAGTTTTCAACCTGTGGAAAGGTTGTGATGTACAGGTTGATATGGACAAACTATTTGGGCTACTCAATAATATAGGCTCATTTAAATATTTGAAAAAAAAAGAATTATTAATTATTATCTGTTATTAAAGTTCAACTTAATTGCATAAGAAATTAAGATTTTTTTTTTGCATGTGGAAGATTGACACATTTTTAAATTATATATAATTGTCTACCATAATTATGCATGAAGTATAGTGGTTAAGACTTCTATGAATGATTTTTAAAGACCTACATTTATTGTTTTATTTTATTTTGTATGAAATATTTCATTTTGAGTTTTATGTTATGATATTTTATAGATTTTATTAGTTACTTTGAAACATATTTTGTTATATTTGTAGATTTTTTTTTATTATTATATTGCATGAAATTATAAATATTTTGTTCTTAGAAATATTTGTTTAATTATTTCTTTCTTATAAGATAAACCATCATTGATGATGCAGAAGCCCCATAGATTTCACTTTGTTTGTCATCAATTTTTTAGTGAACTAAAGGTCCAGTAAGGTCCATATGTCTGTCAGATAGGGTTCACCTAACCATAACCTTATGATCAAGGATAAGTTTTTGGTTATCAAGTCTGTATCACAGATACTATAAGCAATCTATCAACTATATTTGGTGTACTTCATTTTCATGGTTCATTTGTCAATGTAAAGTATTTCATGGTTAAGTCTGTTTCTCAAATTTTATATGCAATAGGTTATTTATATTTAGTGAATGGAATGATTTGATTGAAAGATGTACATTTCTGTATGGCAGGGTTCATTAGGTTTTACATCATTTACATGGGTCTTTCATTATGTTAAGTTTATGTGGTATTTAGTTTAAAACCTTAATCTAAAGGCTATCAACATAATTTCAATCACGAGCAATAAAGCAAGCTAGACACGTCAGCGTGAGTACTCTTTTCACAAATACTCTTGTATCTGTTTTTACTTCACTAGTAGATAATTGGTATAATTTCTGGTTACAATTTGGGCATTTGCATATCGTTACAATTTTAAAAGCTGATTACCTTTTTAGCTCACCTGGCCCGAAGGGCCAAGTGAGCTTTTCTCATCACTTGGCGTCCGTCGTCCGTCGTCGTTAGCTTTTTACAAAAATCTTCTCCTCTGAAACCACAGGGCCAAAATTAACCAAACTTGGCCACAATCATCATTAGGGTATCTAGTTTAAAAAATGTGTCCGATGACCCCGCCAACCAACCAAAATGGACGCCTTGGATAAAAATAGAACCTGGGGTAAAATGTAGATTTTGGCTTATATCTCTGAAACCAAAGCATTTAGAGTAAATCTGACATAGGGTAAAACTGATTATCAGGTCAAGATCTATCTGCCATGAAATTTTCAGACAAATCTGACAACCTGTTCTTGGGTTGCTGCCCCTGAATTGGTAATTTTAAGGAAATTTTGCAGTTTTTGGTTATCATCTTGAATATTATTATAGATAGAGATAAACAGTAAACAGTAATAATGTTCAGCAAAGTAAGATCTACAAATAAGTTGTCATGAACAAAATTGTCAGTCGACCCCTTTAGGAGTTATTGCCCTTAATAGTCAATTTTTAACAATCTTTTGTAAATTTTTGTAATCTTTTACAAAAATTTTCTTCTCTGAAACTACTGAGACAAATTTAACCATACTTGGTCATAATCATTATTAGGGTATCTAGTTTAAAAAATTTGTCCGATGACCCCGCCTTCCAACCATCATGGCCGACTTGGTTAAAAATAGAACATAGGGGTAAAATGCAGTTTTTGGTTTATATCTCTGAAACTAAAGCATTTAGAGCAAATCTGACAGGTGGCAAAAATGTTCATCAGATTTAGAATTATCTGCCCTGAAATTTTCAGACAAATCAGACAACCCGTTGTTGGGTTGCTGCCCCTGAGTTAGTAATTTTACAAAAATTTTGCAGTTTTTTGTTATTATCTTAGATATCATTATAATATCTAATATCTAATACTATTAATTATGATTTTAACCTTATTTTACATGCTTTCCAAAGCATCAGTAAATACAGGTGAGCGACACAGGCTCTTGAGAGCCTCTAGTTCAACCTTGTAAAAGATGCATGTAAATGTCTAATATCTTGTAAATGGTTGAGATCCCCAAGCCTAAACCATATATATTCATGTTCGTCATGGCACAAAGATTCGAAAGATATATAGGGTCGGTCCCAGGGGTCCCCCATCCCCAATGATCTAATATCTTGTAAATGGTCGAGATCCCCACCCCTAAACCATATATATTCTGGTTTGTCATGCCAAGATGATTTCAATGATATACAGGGTCAGTCCCCAGGTATCACTAATACATATAACTTTACTGGACCAAACCAATTTTCACTTGACTTTGCCCAATGTCAGGCGACCCTGGGAAAGACGAATTATGGGAGCTTCGTTTGAGAGACTTCATAACAGCATCCTGTTACAATCATTTCTTGTTATTCATGCATCTCAACTGTATGCAGAATCCTATCTTTCTTTATCAAATGAGTTTGAAATCTGAGATTTCCCAGTTGGGTGTATTTATGAGGTAGTACTTGTGAAAGACATTATTGATATTGGGTTGTATACAGCTTCATTGATAATTGGATGCAGAATATGATGCCCTAGATACTTCCTCAATCATACTTAAGTAACTCATCATTTTAGTTTAAAGTCTTATTAAGGTTCCTTCTTAAATTGCCTTGGAATTTTTTAACATTCCTCAAATGCAAAGTTTTCTGGGTTTTGTGAAGATTTAAGTCATTTTCTAGATCATCGATGCTTTATATGATATTGCATTATAAACATTCATTCATGTGAGTGACCTATGAATTTTAACATTTAAATGTTCTGATAAGATATGCTTATGTAGAAAAACTTGTGATATTAAGACCATAGATTTGAATTGCAACAAATTCAGCTTCAAATGTATTTTTTTTAAGCTCACCTGGTCCAAAAAATCTGAAACTACCAGGCCAGTTGCAACCAAACTTGGCCATTATTATTCATATAGTATCTAGTTTTAAAAGTTTGTCCTATGAACCCAATAGCTAACCAACATGGCCATAGGCGGATCCAGGGGGGGCCCCCTTCATGGGAAAAATTTGGTTGATTATATAGGGAATCACTGAAGCATGACTGGAGCGGGCCCCCCCTTATGAAAAGTTCTGGATCCGCCACTGATGGCTTCCATTGCAATAATTAGAGCATCATGGTAAAATACAAGTATTGTCGTCGAATATCTTGAAAATCATATTGTAGGTAGAGAAAATCTGGCAGCCACAAGTCAAAAATGTTCAGAATGTCAAGATCTGCCTTCTGTCTTTTTAACCAAAATTTTTAAAGACGGCTACTTATAGAGCTATTGCCCTTAAAAGACAATTTAAACAATTTTTGATATTCTCGGCTATTAATTATACCCCACGCAACGAGTTGCGGAGGGTATAATGTTTTTGACCTGTCCGTCAGTCCGATTTCTTGTCAACGCAACTCCTCTCAAACCACACAACAGAATTTCACGAAACCTTTTTAGATAATAAGGACATACTATGTAGTTGTGCATATCGACAGGAAATTACGATTCAATTTTTTTTCTAGGAGTTACGCCCCTTTGAACTTATTTACTTCAATGTACTACTGCAACCTTTTGTCATCGCAACTCCTCTCAAACCACACAACAGAATTTCATGAAACCTTTTCAGATAATAAGGACATACAACGTAGATGTGCATATCGACAGGAAATTACGATTGAATTTTTTTTCCAGGAGTTACGCCCCTTTGAACTTATTTGCCACATATACTACTGCAACTTTTTGTCATGGCAACTCCTCTCAAACCACACAACAGAATTTCATGAAACCTTTTCAGATAATAAGGACATACTACGAAGATGTGCATATCCATAGGAAATGACGATTCAATTCTTTTTCCAGAAGTTACGCCCCTTTGAACTTATTTGCCCAATATACTACTGCAACCTTTTGTCATCGCAACTCCTCTCAAACCACACAACAGAATTTCATGAAACCTTTTCAGATAATAAGGACATACATGTAGATGTGCATATTGACAGGAAATTATGATTCAATTTTTTTTCTTACACTTATTTTATTTTTCCAATGACAATGTGGGGACGTGGGGTATGTGAGCGCGCTCACTAAGGTTCTTTCATTCGATATAAATTTTGTTAATTAGGAAAAGGGAAACTTTAAACAGCAAGTATGATCTATACAATTAAGTCATCATGACTGGCATTGTTAGTGTTCTTCTGAAAGGAATTATTAACCTTAAGTGACAATTTTTACCCATTATTGCATGTTTGGCTCAAAACTAAGGAGTAGATAGAGAGAAACTGTAAACAGAAAATAGGTTTAACAAGACCCAAGATTTTCAAATAAGTCAACATGGCTGAAAATGTCATTTATATCATTATAGATTTTGAAACTTAAGTTTATATTTTTAACCAGTTTTAGTGTTTTTACCTTATATTTTGAAAACGATAATAGATCATCTGAATCTTTGAACACCCCAAAAAATTGGTATCTCAAAACTCAAGATCTACAAATAGTCAATGAGTTGTTGCCCCTAAATCACAAGTTTAACCATTTTTTGCCTATTATCTTGAAAATAAAAATGAATAGACAGGAACTCTGTTTAACAAAAATTATCAGTAAGACCTGATTTTGGCAGACAGTTTCCATTCAACTCAATACTCTTGTTGCATAGTATCAATTTTATGCAAAAATGCTAGGAGAGCATTACATACTCCAAGTGAGTCATGCACAAGCAGAAGTTTAACATTCAACAATTGCTGATTTGAATTCTAATGCAAAGCAGACAAGGCATTTCTCTGTGAACAGTTCACTTTTGCCTTGCCTGTAATAAAAGTCATGATAGACAAGACATAGGTATTACTTTTCCAACCACAGCGTTAACAATTTGCACATCACAAATATTTGTAACATATTACAAATGTAAATTTACTATTCAAATTTAATATCTAATCCCAAATATCCCTTAGTATCACAATGATTTGTAATGATGTCATTCATGATGAGACCTTGTTAGCTAGTCATGTCATCTGATCTTGACCTCAATTTCATGCTCCAGTGATCTGATTATCTTTTTAGGATGAAGTATCTTCCTCAATAATTATTTATGATAGTTCTACATTATTATACCCCACGCAACAAGTTGCGGAGGGTATAATGTTTTTGACCCGTCCGTCTGTCCGTCCGTCAGTCCGTCAGTCCTGTTTCTTGTCAAACCACACAACAGAATTTCACGAAATCTTTTTAGATAATAAGGACATACTATGTAGTTGTGCTTATCTACAGGAAATTACGATTCAATTCTTTTTCTAGGAGTTGCGCCCCTTTGAACTTATTTACTTTAATGTACTACTGCAACAGTTTGTCATCACGACTCCTCTCAAACCACACAACAGAATTTCATGAAACCTTTTCAGATAATAAGGACATACTACGTAGATGTGCATATCGACAGGAAATTACGATTCATTTTTTTTTCCAGGAGTTATGCCCCTTTGAACTTATTTGCCCAATATACTACTGCAACAGTTTGTCATCACAACTCCTCTCAAACCACACAACAGAATTTCATGAAACCTTTTCAGATAATAAGGACATACTAAGTAGATGTGCATATTGACAGGAAATTACGATTCAATTTTTTTCCAGGAGGTACGCCCCTTTGAACTTATTTACTTTAATGTACTACTGCAACCTTTTGTCATGGCAACTCCTCTCAAACCACACAACAGAATTTCATGAAACCTTTTCAGATAATAAGGACATACTACGTAGATGTGCATATCGACAGGAAATTACGATTCAATTTTTTTTCCAGGAGGTACGCCCCTTTGAACTTATTTACTTTAATGTACTACTGCAACCTTTTGTCATCGCAACTCCTCTCAAACCACACAACAGAATTTCATGAAACCTTTTCAGATAATAAGGACATACAACGTAGATGTGCATATCGACAGGAAATACGATTCAATTTTTTTTCCAGGAGTTACGCCCCTTTGAACTTATTTGCCCAATATACTGCTGCAACCTTTTGTCATCGCAACTCCTCTCAAACCACACAACAGAATTTCATGAAACCTTTTCAGATAATGACATACTACGTAGATGTGCATATCCACAGGAAATTACGATTCAATTTTTTTTCTAGGAGTTACGCTCCTTTGAACTTATTTACTTTAATGTACTACTGCAACCTTTTGTCATGGCAACTCCTCTCAAACCACGCAACAAAATTTCATGAAACCTTTTCAGATAATAAGGACATACTACGTAGATGTGCATATCGACAGGAAATAGGATTCAATTTTTTTTCCAGGAGTTACGCCCCTTTGAACTTATTTGCCCAATATACTACTGCAACCTTTTGTCATCGCAACTCCTCTCAAACCACACAACAGAATTTCATGAAACTAAGTTGATAATAAGGACATTCTATGTAGATGTGCATATTGACAGGAAATTATGATTCAATTTTTTTTTCTGATACAATTTTTTTTCTTACACTTATTTTATTTCTCCAATGACAATGTGGGGACGTGGGGTATGTGAGCGCGCTCACTAAGGTTCTTTCATTTTTTCTGATACAATTTTTTTTCCTTACACTTATTTTATTTCTCCAATGACAATGTGGGGACGTGGGGTATGTGAGCGCGCTCACTAAGGTTCTTTAATTTGGTAAGTGGAGATGTTGTGAGAAGTATGTGTTTGTTTGACACATTTATATGACTTTGAACTCAATCTAATGCTGAAGTAGTGAGATCTGATCGAGATCGGTTGCAAGGAGTATATGCATCTCTGAAGTGTCAAATGGCCTTTGCCTGTATTTCATACTTGCATGATCGTTACGTGTTCCAGATGAGGTCTGTTACCCAGTAACTATACATGATATGTCAACAATATTTGGTTTGTGGATCAGTAGCAAAGAGTGTATGTCTTATTTTTTAAATGTTATGGCCTTGACTTCATTTCCAGTGGATTGATTAATTTGGGCTACTAAATTATGGGTAAAAAAGACAAATTTAATATTCACCTTCTAGAATAATACCCCACTTTACAAAGTACCGGTAGGTAGGGTATACAGTTTTTATCTGTCAGTCCATCCATCATCTTGAACTACATACGATACATCAAATAATTTATATTTTATATTAGATTGCATCCTTTTCAAATTACATAGTAACATATATTCAGAGGAACATCCCTTTTGATTATGAGGTCATTGCATCCAAGTTTTAAATTGAAGTTGCTAAAAATAGATCAAAATCATGTTTCATAACAATAAATCATTGCAAAGAGAGTACATTTACTCCTGCTGGAACCCCTAGCTTCAACTAATAGAATAATTAAAACAAGTGATCTTTTTATTGATATAACTACCCTCCCAATCCAGACTATCTAGGTTTATCAATATTATTTATAGGTTGGTCAACTCATTCATTTATAGAATAGGGAAAGAAAAAAAACTGAATGAACTGCTCTTGCCTTTAAAGAAGTTACTATGAACTAATTACCGTAATCTTATCATACGATATTGATACATGTATTTTTGCCAATAAACCCATTACAAAAAAAAATATTGCAGGGAAGGAGTTTCAGATTGTAACTCTAGAACCTTACATGGTATTAGTAACAAAAATAAAACATGTGGTTAGGTAAAATGAGTTTAAGTTCCCTATTTATTTATTTTAAGAGCACCATATTCAAGGTCACGTTCAGTCATTAAAATAAGACTGAAAGTGTAGAAAAGGGGTTTTGAGATAAAAATAACTCAAAAATCTTGCATGGATCAATTGCTAGAAAACATGAATATATGGTCACATAATGACAGGAGGGATTCAATTTATATTGAAATCATTGCTTTCAAGGTCGAGGTTTATGATAACTTAATTAGAATGAAATGAGTGCAGAAAAGGGATTTTGAGAGGGGAGTTTCAAACCTTACATTGGATTTTATACGGATTTTATAAGCCCATCAAAGAATAATCTATATTGCCTTAGGATATCTTAATCCTAAATGCAACTTTTTCTACAAGGCCATTTTACTGACTTCTAATTAAAGACTTTTAATTATTCTATTTTTTTCTTGCAACAATTTCAATATGCAAATAAAGTGTGCATAATGGTCCCCTGGTGCATCTGTTTATAAACTCTATACTTTCAAGGTCAATTTGAAAGTTATTAAAAAATTAAGTGAATATGTTAACAATACAATAACAGAATGATGTCTTCTACAATTACAGTAATTCCATGCCTTATATCCTTCCAAGTAAAGTGATGTTGATTATCATAAACTCTTTTAGGAAAGACAACTTTGTTATTATACCACTAGGCTGTTGCTGGCTAGAAAAGTTTATAGTGTTTGGTATTGTTAGTTTTCTCAATTAGGTTTTTTTGTCTCGCCTGCGACTTTAGTATGTGAGACATAGGTATTACTATCCGGGGCGGCGTAAACTATTTGTATAAAGCTTTATATTTCAGAAGGTAGAAGACCTGGATGCTTCATATCTTGTATGCAGATACCTTATGTTACGAAGTTTCCATCTATCATATGGCCATTGTCCTTGACCTCATTTTCATGGTTCAGCGACTTCTTGAAAGTTTGAGTTTTTTTGTCATGTGAATTTCTCACTTAATATGAGTAATAAGATAACTTTATTTGGTTTATGGATTCCTTGCAATGTCTACATGTCTGTCAGACAGGGTTCACTTGACCTCGACCTCATTTCATGGATCAGTGATCAAGGTTAAAGTTACGTGATTAGGTCCGTTCCTCAAATACTATAAGCAGTAAGATGTCAACTATATGTAGTATATGGAAGGACTGTAATGGGTACATGTCAGTCTGGCAGGTTTCATTTCACTTTGACCTCATTTTCATGGTTCATTGGTCAATGTTAAGTTTTTGTGTTTTGGTCTTTTTTTCAAGTACTATAAGCAATAGGTCAACTATATTTGGTGTATGGAATGATTGTAAGGTGTACATGTCTGTCTGGTATGTATAATCTGACCTTGACCTCATTTTCATGTTTCATTGGTCAATGCTAAGCTTTTTTGTTTTGTCTGACAGTATTTATCTTACCTGAGTTTTTGTGATGCTTTTAATAAAACTTTCAATATGATGTTGTGAAACACTAAAAACATGTGTTCAAATTTGAATTTCTTCTGTTTGGTTTGGGACATTTATTTTATCCATATTCATCTATTTAATCATGTGGTCAGCATCAGATGCATATTGCCACTTTATACAGGTAATTTATTTTGGAGGTGTTTTTGATTTTTAAAAAGCCTTATATTAACGAAAGACAGGTAAAGTGAAATTAAGCTCATATAATGTACTGAAACGATTGATTGATAGATTGTTGCTTGGGTTTTGTCCAGTGTTTTAAAATGAAGTAATGAAGATAGAGAAATAGGTTGATAATTTTACAGAAACTTTTTAAGTTGTCGAACACTATACAAACGAACTTAAAACTTAAAAAAACCCTAAAATGTTGTTGAAATGTTTTTTTAAGCTTCATAATTAAATGTTTGCAGTCTCAATTATTAGCATTGGATTTGAGTGTCTGGTCTTCCTTTTTACTTTTGCCAATTAATACATAGAAATGAAAAACATACAGAAATTAAATCTTTTGTGAAGTTTTGTGATATTTTCTAATTCATTATAGGGAAATGTTCAAGAATCCAATCTGTGGAGCCCTCTCTACACCAGGAATGTTAGAAGGACGTGACAAGGTAGATTTTAAACCTCAAAAATCGATAAAAGAAGAATCAGAAAGAGGCTCTGTAGAAGGAAGTGGTAGCAGTATCTCACATTTGTCGTCAGTTGTTTCATTGGATAAACTTAATGCACAGTTACATGCAAGGGAAGATTTGAATGATGATGAGCCAAATGGAAATAGATTGACTGTAAAAGCACCAGTAGCACAGACTGTTTCTGCTCCACATGAAAAAAAGAATGCAAAGCATCACCTGAAGGTGACAATTTCTGACCCTCTCGGGGCAGCAAAGCTGAATGATGGATCTGTTCAAATGCCAAACAATTCAAACAACTCAATTTTAGAAGATAGCCATCAAGGTTCAAAAACAGTTGATATCTCAGGACAGAATATTTCTGATAAAACACAGGACACTAGACTGTAAATCTGTTGATTTGATGTTTTTATATAAAAATTAGTAATAAATAATATGTTTTAGAAAAACTTGCTTAATTTATTATTATTTATATTTCAGTATTACAAAATTACAAATGAAAAGGCTTTATTCTGGATAGGAAATACTATTAATTTGGGCACTACATCAAGGATGTGGGAGCCCTTTAGTTTTCACTCTGTCTGTATGTCAGTCTGTCATCAATTTTCCAGATGCAAGAACAGGTCTAGTAACCACTCTGTCAGTCCATTAAACACATAAAGGATACCTAGTTTCAATCTCATGCCTAGGTCCACAGTTTTTCTTGAAATTATTCTAACTCTTAATTTTGCACCCATTTTAAACAGATTTGAATGATTTTTTCTCAGGTTCCCCATTTTTGAAACTTAGTCATTTTTTTTCATTGAATGATATAGAGTGACTCCTGTTAGTTGACTCCACAGTTTTTCTTCAACATTATTCAATTTTTGCTAAGTGATTGAACAAATATTGAAGATGTGCATCTTCAATTTTGGACACAGATTTGAATAACTTTTTTCTCACGTTTCTCACATGTTAAACTTGGTCACTTTTGTGTTTTAATTGTTATGAGAGAGGTCTGTTTGTGGCATGTGTAACTCCAACAGTATTCCATCAACATCAATCAAACTTTACATTTGGGACCAAATGGAGAAATTTTTCCTATAACCTTAATGCAATTTATTTTTCAAAACCCTACAGATCATACAAATCTTGAAATAATTAGTAGTGCTATATAATATATATATAGAATATAAAAAATAAGATGTTGTATGATAGCTGATGAGACAACTCTCCACCAGAAACTACATGACATAGAATTTAACAATTATATGTTACTGTACAGCCTTCAACAATGAGCAAAACCCATACCACATATTTAGCTGTAAAAGGCCCCAGAATGACTAATGCAAAACAATTCAAACTAGAAAAACAAAGGCCTGATTTATGTAAGAAACAATAAACGAAAATCAAATATGATATACAGCAACAAACGACAATATATTAGTCTGAGAGTTACCATCAAATATTAATTGGTTACACCTATGAAAAATGATATAAGTTGGTTACACCTATGAAAAAAAACTCTTAAACCTGAAAATGTTTCCATCTTTATGGCACTGAAGGCTATTCTTTAAAACAGATACAGATATGGATTGTTTGTTGATTTCAATTTAAAGTCTAATGAAAGATAAAAATCCAAAACTTTCGATGTATAGTTTTTGTCTTGCCTGCGATAAGAGTCGTGGAAAGTGATACATAGGGATGGTTTATCCGGCGACGGCTGCGATGATGGCGTCAACAATTGTTAAGTTTTCTGCTTATTAATAAGTTAGTTTGATAGGAACTACTTGTGATAGATCATTGGTATTTTGTATGAAGATGCATAACTATCAGTACATATCAGTTTGACAAAAATTTTGAGGCCCTGCCCTAAGCCATGGTCAGTGACGGAATTAATTAGCAATTTTGAATGTTAAGTTTTCTGCTTAAGTTAGATTGTTAGGAACTATTTGTGATAGATCAACAACAATTTCAAGGTCCTGTCCCCTAGGCCATGGTCCAGTGACTTAGAATAAATTAGCCATTTTCAATGTAACATTTTCTGCTTAAGTTAGTTTGGTAGGAACTACTTGTGATAGATCAATGATATCTTGTATGAAGTTGCATTACTATCAGAACATATCAGTTTGCCGACTATTTTGAGGCCCTGCCCCCCAGGCCATGTTCCAGTGACTTTGAATTAATTAGCAATTTTAAATGTTCAGTTTTCTGCTCAAGTTAGATTGATAGGAACTACTGGTGATAGATCAATGATATATTGTGTGAAGTTGCATTGCTATCAGTACATATCAGTTAGACGACTATTTTGAGGCCCTACCAATAGGCCATGGTTCACTGACTATCAATTAATTAGCAGTTTTCAATGATAATTTTTCTGCTTAAGTTAGATTGTTAGGAACTATTTGTGATAGATCAATGATACATTTATTTTTTATGAAGTTGCATTACTATCAGTACATATCAGTTTGATGACTATTTTGAGGCCCTGCCCCCTAGGCCATGGTCCAGTGACTTTGAATTAATTAGCAATTTTAAATGTTCAGTTTTCTGTTCAAGTTAGATTGGTAGGAACTACTGGTGATAGATCAATGATATATTGTGTGAAGTTGCATTGCTATCAGTTTATATCTGTTTAACGACCATTTTGAGGCCCTGCCTCTAGGCCATGGTTCAGTGACTTTCAATTAATTAGCAGTTTTCAATGATAAGTTTTCTGCTTATATTAGTTTGATATGAACTACTTGCGATAGATCAATGATATTTTCTATAAAGTTGCATTACTATCAGTATATATCAGTTTGATGACTTTTTCAAGGCCCTGCCCCCTAGGTCATGGTCCAGTGACTTTCGATCAATTAACAATTTTCAATGTTAAGTTTTCTGATTAAGTTAGTTTGATAGGAACTACTTACAATAGACAATATTTTCTATAAAGTTACATTGCTGTCTGTACATCTCATTTTGTCAACCATTTCGAGGCCCTACCCACTAGTTGGTCCAGCGACTTTGAATTAATTAGCAATGTTGCTGTCCATCAGATTGTCTTTTTTTGAATTTTATGCCGACAGGTGAGACATATCTCTGTGTCAACAGTTTATTATGTTATAGTCGAATCATTCAAAGATATTAATTTTTTTGTCAAATTTTGGGAATCACTCACCCTGTCTGTCCATCTGTGCTGTCCAGTTCAAAACTGTTGAATGTTAATAAGAAAAATTAATGGTATTTGGATTTTTGTTGTCCACCAATGAGGCTGTGTCACGAATAAGGTTGGATTTTCTGTCTGCAAGGTTATGGTCATGGTTACCAACATAGGTTAAAATATACCAAGTCATATCCTCTTGAACACCTTAAATTGTCTTGAAGGATATTATTTATGCTTGGTATTATTGCCAATCACTGGTGTGTCTGGAAGGTCAAGGTCACAAACTTATCCAATGACCAAAGCTGTATAAATGTTCAACTTATGACTGCTGTATAACTATAAAGAAGCAGTGGGATACTGCTGAATGAGGGAAATATTTTTTTCATGGTTTTTGCTCAAGTCTGTATACAAGCCTCAAGAAAATTCCTAGAACATTGAAGATTTTAATTTGTGGTTTATCTATGCCTATGAAATCCATGAAAAATATTAATGAATCCACAATATGTAGTTTTTTACTGTCTATTGGTCAGTCAGTCCTTCAGTCATTATATTTCCAGATGCGAACTCCAATACTTTATATAATCTTATATTGGATTACAACTATACTTGGATATACGGTCACAATAAATGAGAGGAAGATCCCTAGTGATTGTGATGTCTCTATGGCAAAGGTCAAGGTTGAAGCTAATATAGACCCAAAATGGTGATCTGATCCTAAATAAAAATCTACATATGGGATTGCAACCTGGCTTGGATGTGTGGTCCCATTTAATGATAGGAAGATCCCCAATAATTTTAAGGTTAATATGTCAAAGATCATGGTCATAGTTTCTTAAAAAAAAAGATTGAAATTTGTATGGACACATTATTGCTAAAAATTAAGTGATTTGAGCACAAATGCGGGTTTCCTGATGCTATATCAAATACTATATATATTGGATTGTACTTGTACTGGTATATGGTCACACATAATGAGTGGAGTTATTTCATCCTAGGTCACTAAGTTTAAGGTTAATGTCAAAGTTACTAAAATTTGACTACAGTTTGTGCAAAGATGTGGTTTCCTGATGCTAATTCAAATTCTATATAGGGGATTGCAATCTTGCAACGTTGTATGGTCACATATCATTGGGGAAGATCCCTAGTGATTGGGATGTCTATATCAAAGGTCAAGGTTGAAGTCAATGTAGACTCAAATGTGTTCAGAAAGTGGTTACCATATGCTATAAATCAAAATTTGCATATGGGATTGCAACCCGACTTAGATGTATGATCCCATTTAATGAGAGGAAGATCTCTATTAATTTTAAGGTCAATATCTCAAGATCAAGTCATAGTTTCTAAAAATAGATTGAAATTTGTGTAGACACATTGCTACTAAAAATAAAGTGATTTGTGCACAAAAGTGGGTTTCCTGATGCTATATCAAATACTATATTATGGGATTGTTACCATGATTTAATACATGGTCACATATAATGAGTGGAGATATGTTTTTATCTTGAGGTCACTTACTTTAAGGTCAACGTCATAGTTACAAAAAATCGACTACAATTTGTGCAGAAATGTGGCTTCCTGATGTTAAATCAAACTTGCAATCTTACAACGTTGTATAGTCACATATAATTAGAGTAAGATCCCTATTGGTTTTGTGGGCCGTATTTCTAAGGTCAAGGTCAAAATCACTAAAAATAGACCTTAATTTGTGCAGGAAAGAGATTTTAGAATGCTCAGTGCAATAATACATATGGGACTGGAGCCTTATTTGAATATGGGGTCACGTTTAATAAGAGGAAGAACCCTATTGTATCTCAGGTCAGGATCATAATTACTGAAAGAGACTGTAAGGCTATTTTAGTGTCTAAATCATAACAGAAATGAATCATACCTCAAGAAAACAGAGAGAAAAACTTTCATCAGGTAAGCACTTCTCCTTTATAAAGGGGGCGTGGGGTATATGAGATTGATCGCTAAAGGTTTTTTAACTATGACTGGCTTGAATGATATAAGTGATGCATTGAATGATTGTCTCCTAACCAAAAGAGCTATAAGGATAATGATGAAATGAGGTTGGAATATTGGTCTGCAAGTAGGCTGACATCCTGGCCAAATCTCCTTTGCATCTTGTGTCGCGCAGTGAGCCAGAATCCCAAGCTAGTCTGCAAGATCATAGACAAGGTCACAAACACTTCCGAATTTACATTGAAAAAATGCATGATTACAAAAACAATGTTTTCTTCATTACTTTGTATAAGATGAATAGGATCAACGTCAGTTTTGGTTAAGCTATTTTACCATGAAGTTGTGGTCACGTCAACTTGAAACTTAGCACGCATGTGCATTCTTGGACATAATATATTGAGTTAATCTTAATAATAGATAATTTCGTTAAATTGATGTGTGTTGATCACAAATTGTTTTCTTAGTAGAAAAATGTTATTGTAAATATTGATGGTATATGTCATTATGATCCATTATATTGATTTCTTTCGTACGAAAAAAAACTATAAATTTTAGCTGTGTCGCTTTATTTTAGTTATACAAGAATATATTTCGTTACAGAAGTGTACCTAAATGCAAAGGGATAATACAAATTTGCAGCTTTTTTCATTGGTCGAAATATATGACAAACGTCATACGTTCTTGATCGGATTATATCATCTATATTTCCACGGTGGCCGCCATCTTTCCGCCTTAGGTTTTTAGGGGGACTAAAACCGATCACTCCCTTTTACTTACCAGTAATTCAGTTGTTGTCGTTTTTGCTGTCTTCCATAAATATATTTTTATTTATTTATTGCTTTATATAAAAATAAGAAGAGATGAGACAACTTTCCATATATATATAGCATATATCTGGCCGTTGGTGCTACGTTTGAATTGTCACAAGTTCGTTTTGTCTTGTCGGGGCCTTTTATAGCTATAGCTTACTATAAGGTATATGTTTTGTTCATTGTTGAAGGCCGTACGGCGACCTATAATTGTTGCTAAAATCCACGTCAGTTTGTCGGTTGTTTCGCTGTCTCATTGGCAAGCATGCCACATTTTTTGTGTGTATTGAACGGTCTAATTGACACCGCTTATTCTATGGTGATTTATATTTTTATAAGCAACTCCTCATACATCAACTCAGTTTCCTGAAACGTTACAGAATGATTGCAAAAATATTGAAGTTGCCCACCTGCTATTACAGAATTTTTTAACTTGTTTTCCCATTTTTCAGATATGGGACCTTAGTGATTTTTCCAGCAAACATTTACTTCTTGAAAAAAAATAACGATTTTTGTTTTTAGCCCTGGATCTTTGGAACTTCACAGAGAGTGTGCAAGCCTATCCATTTGCACTTTCTCAGGGAAACAACTGCTCATTGCTATGGGGAACATTAAATTTTTGTTTAGGTGCCAGCTGAAGCTATCTCCTGGTGCGAGATTTTCTTTCTGTGTTGATGACCCATGCATTGGTGGCCTTGGGCTGTTTTCTGTTCTTTGGTCGGGTTGTTGTCTCTTTGACACATTCCCCGTTGCCATTCTCAATTTTATTTTAAGATATACAGATTCCTAGCTGGGAAAACAATCTTAGGCCGTTAGTTTTCTCAGTTTAATTGTTTCATATTTTTCATGTCGGGGCCTTTTATAGCCGACTGTACGGTATGGTTTTTTCTCGTTGTTGAAGGCCGTACTGTAGCCTGTAATTGCTTAAATCCACTTCATTTGAACTTTGGTGGATAGTTTTTTATTTCAAATAACCAAAATAATCCTAATGGAAACAAATTTATAACCTAAGTTACAGAAAATTGAAAAAAAGAATGATTTGATCTTTTTTATTGACAGATGTACGACGGTAAACCAATTTTATTGAAATAAGATAACCATGATCAAGCAATAGTAATAATGTAGATATTGAACACGGGATCCACTGTAAACTACCCTTAGGGCAAACATGACAAAGATTAACATGATTATGTTCCTTTCATTAATAAAATGGTGAAGTACATTTGCCAATTGAAAGTGTCAGATTTTGGAAAAAACGTAGAGAAAACTCTTCGCGAAAGTGGAAAGTATAGTTCTATCATTCAAAAATTTGTCTGACGAAGAAACAAATATATATTTCATTTTTATCTTTGAAATTGTAAAAAAAGGGAGTGGAACCCTACCAATTTTTTATTTGTATTTGATTTTAGTGCTCAGAGTATTGGTGCTTCTTTCATGTTCAATAAGATTAATTTTACAAGCCGAGTTCAGGTCTCTACATTAGCATAGAATTAATTTGATCAAAACTGATAACCTGGTTTCATAGTGGATTTTGGTTTTATTTACTTTTTCACAACCTGACATGCTAACGTTAGTTTTCTCGTTTAAAATTGTTTTACATTAATTTTTTGTCTTTTATAGGGCTTTTATACAGGTTATAGCTGACTATGCGCGGTATGGGTTTTACTCATTGTTGAAGGCCGTACGGTGACCGATAGTTGTTAACTTCTGTGTCATTTGGTCTCTGGTGGAGAGTTGTCTCATTGGCAATCATACAACATCTTCTTATTTTTATATTATCAAAGATTAAATCTTCATTTCTATGGCTGGTCATGGCTCTCTTCTTTACATCTGCCGTCATGTCTCGATTCAACAGAGTGTTATTTGTGCATTATTTCGTCTCTTGCGCTTTTGCTCACATATATAGGCCTATATTCTTACATTTTTCTAAGTGGAATTTTTAGAGTGTCACTAATGTGTTACTCCAGTTTTCTAGCTGTTTAATGTCTTTTTGTAATATATTTATATCATGATCATTCTCGTCTCCTATAATCAGGATATTTTAGCGTCTTGTGTATCAATTGCGAATAAGTATAAGTGTCTGGTAGGTCATTCGTGTAAAGTACAATTATAGGCGTACAAGTTATAGGCAGACTACTCTAGGCACTTGTCTCTATTTGTACTTGTCTGCCTGTGAGACTACCATATAGTGTATAACTGTTTTCTGAGCTATGTCATCTGATAGCCTTGACCATGAGTTCATTTGATTACTTAAAATAAGATTTTACCACTTTTTTAAATGCATTTCCTCCTTTTAATGTAAAAACTTGATAATCAATGTGATACCTAAGGACGAACACATTCTAGTTTTACTGCTGAAATGAAATGAGACCGGTATCTGCATACCTATAATATCGAACGTTTTTACCTATTCAGGTAATACTTCCGGTTCGGAAAATTAAACCTAATTCAAAATATATGTGCAAATAGCTTAATTGTAATTAATAACCAACTGTAAATTTGAAAGAAGTAAGTAAATAAGTTATATGTGAATGACTTAAACTGAGGTAAACGTGTTTTTACGATTAATTTACTTACAAAAGCAAACAGGTAATTTTTACAGGTTATAAAAGTGACTCAGTTTCAAACTGGAAAATGCCGTTTATAGCAATTGAATCAGTTATGTTTCAGTCTTTTTATAGAACTGTAAAAAGAACAGGCGAGAATAAACTGCAATCCTGAAATCAAGCAAACTAAAAATTACTAAAATGTCAGTTAATGTTTATTGTGATATCATTTTTCTTACACAACACTGACTGTACATGTATCATGTGTATGTGAGAGTTTTTCAAAAATAACTAAATGACTCATTATTTAATCTTATTATCTTATTTTTTACTCAATATTGACAATCCCAAAAGTTGGGGGAATCTCAATTACATGAAAAGAATAATATCAAGGATTTGTATAGTATCTTACTATACAAATCCTTGACTTCATATAAAAAAATTAATGTTGCATTTACCTGCTTACAGTACATGGCCAAAAGTATTTGTCTCAAGTTTGTGATTTTTCACTATGTATTTCATCTGGGACTATTATACTAATAGTCCTGGATTTCATATAAAACGATAATATTTCAAAGAAATATTGTGGTGACATTTCTGGTTGGTTTTTCATCAACTTATTCCAGTAGAGTGAGGAATTGTCCCAGGCTTTGTCACTTATTTGTTTATTTGGTTATATTTTTGTTGTGGAGTGTTTTGCTCTAGATTTCAACCAAATTAAATCCATTTAGATATATTCATATCAAGAGAAAATAATAATTGATGACAAAACTTTGACCAAATAAACAAATATACTTTAGAAGATAAGGGTTTTACTCATTGTTGAAGGCCGTACAGTGACCTATAGTTGTTAATTTCTGTGTCATTTGGTCTCTTGTGGAGAGTTGTCTCATTGGCTATCAATCATACCTGGTAACCACATCTTCTTATTTTTATATTTAGACGAGTCTGTGTCTTTAAACACTTTTTTTTGTAAAAATCCAACAAATAATGCCTTCAAAATAATTTTTAAAAAAAATGTGGTTTATACACATGTATGATGAAATATATGGCAAAAAAGAAAGGTGACGAATACTTCTTAAAATCCAATATATATCTTTTGCGTTTGTAGGAAATTTATATCCCTACAATTGTGGTCAAGTGGTTGCATCCTATACAATGCATCAACATGCATGTTCTTACCCTACCCTCTCTGCATGTTAAAAACCCTTGCAACAACTCTTTGAGGGGTCCTTAGGTGGCCTGTTTCAAGGCTAAGTTCTGTCCCTATCCAATTTACCCTCATTTTCCAGTGGCAGTCAAAATTTCCCGCTTTCCTTTATTGACCCCTATTACAGGACCTACCTACATGTATTGTATGTATTGTTAATTTGTCGAAACTGTTAATTTGTTCTTGTCCTAAACATTCATGAAATATTTGCCACTGGACATTAAGCAAAGAATAACCAATCAATACTTAGATAGTGTGTATAATGGTTGTCCTTTCTGACTAGATATGTGTTCTTCTTTTGCAACTTGCAAGGCTTCTTTTTAAACCCATCTTCATGTATATTTATGATTATTCTATCAGCAGAGGTGGCAGGGGTTTTCAAAAGGAATTGAGTCTTTCCACCATGTATATAAAAAGGAAATGTTGTATGTTTGCCAATGAGACAATTATCCACCAGAATCCAAATGACTTTGATTTAACGATCTATAGTTCACAAAACAGCCTTCAACAATGAGCAAAACACATACCCTTACATATACATGTAGTCAGTCACAAAAGGTTCTGACAAAATGTGAAACAATTGAAATGAGAAACCAATGGCATGGTTTACAAAATGTATGACAAAACAGTGATTAAAAAATTATGACAGGCAGAAACCAACTACAATCCTCCCCTATAGCTGCTGACTCCAATAGAATAACAAAAAGTCTGCATTCAAACAAAAAAAAAAAATGGAAATAAATTGCATTTCTAAAATCAAAGTTTGCTGGTTTAAGTAAAAATATTTAGTGATAATTTTAGGCTCAAGACAGCTGCCACATTGTCCATACACCCATTGTAACTTAATGTACATGTAGTTCTAAGATACATCACTTTATTTAGTTCTAATGCCAGATGAAATTATGTTTACAATATATTTGTAGATCAAAGTACTACATGAAACAGCAGAATGCTTTCCAGACAAGTATTGAAGATTTTTATGACAATTACCAATGTTCTATTCTTTGTAAGTAGATTAAGGTCATGTATACTTGTAGTACTTCAATGTATGTATTTAATACCAGTTAAGCAACTTAAATTTATCATTATTGTTTAAAGAAAATATATGTATTGGTATTGATTGGACACTCCGAAAACAAAAGTTTTAAACCTATTGAACATATTTATATGTTTAATTTAGCATTGATTATTATGCATGTTACATAATACAATATATATACATGAAGGCATGAATAAACATTAGAAGGAGGAAATTTCTCTGTTTGAATCATATACAAATTTATCCTACTTCATGTTCATGTAGTATAAGGATGCGTATAGAAGCATCACTCTGATTGACATTTTACACCACAAAGGGCACAAACTTGTATCAATGTTACTTCACAAAGGGCACAAACTTGTATCAATGTTACTTCACAAAGGTCACAAACTTGTATCAATGTTACTTCACAAAGGGCACAAACTTGTATCAATGTCAGTGTTCTCCCTAGATATTTCATATAGCATCCTGGTAAACAGGGAAATTTGAAATACCATCTTGTTTCTAAAAATATAGCATCACTACCATAACATAATCTATAAGAAAACCAATTTAGATAGCATCACATTCAAGAAATATACCATCACATTACCATGATGCTAAAAGACCCTGGGGAGAACACTGCAACATTTACTTCACAAAGGGCACAAACTTGTATCAATGTTACTTCACAAAGGGCACAAACTTGTATCAATGTTACTTCACAAACGGCACAAACTTGTATCAATGTTACTTCAGAGATAAATTCATACATGCTCATGATCAGTGATTCACAATCATTTGATGTGGTGTAAGATGAATCTAGTGGTATATACATGTAGGAGCAAATCCTCAAAATATAGGTCATTAATGACATTATTAGCTACATTTTATGCCTTGTTGACCTCAAAGATGTATATTATATATAAAAATAAGAAGTTGTATGATTGCCAATAAGACAACTTTCTACAAGAGACCAAATCACGTAGAATAAAGCAATCATTGGTCACAATACGGCCTTGAACAATGAGCAAAACCCATGCAGCATAGACATTATAACAAGCTATAAAAGGCCCTGACATGACAAATGTAACAACAATTCTTAAGAGAAAACAAACAGCCTGATTAATGGATTAATGTACAAAACAAGATTTTCCAGTATCTATTTAATTTGAGGACAAGACAAACTATAAAATCATATATTACCAGTGTCTTTACTTTTCAGCTTTACCAGAGCCTTAAAATAAAAAGTTATATTACATGTAGTATTTTATGTTCAGAATATTAATAATACGCTTGAGAAAATTTAAAATTAAAAAAATTCCTTTATTTAACTTCAATTTTCAAGAAAACTAGCCTGTACCTATGTTTAAATTGAGAGTTTTTGGGGTAAAGGTTGCATAAAGTGCAATAAAATCCCTACAACCAACAGCTTGATAGCTGTAGTTCAACTTCTTCTCTACCTGTGTTTTGTGAGCAAACATAACATAGTTTAGTGAGATGTACATTCTTTAGATCCTATCAATTCCATGTCAGCAATTTTAAATTTATTTAAAGATAGTATATGCTCAGATGTTTACAAAATGAAATGTGTGTCTTTTACCATATTAATTAGTCAAGAAAACATTTTTATTAAAAATTACACAAGTTGCAGAAAATAGTTCATGATGACCATGATGTATGAATTAATCTGTTGCCATAATTTTATTATCTAATTATAACCCAATTTACAATATTGCTTATATATGTTTCTTTAGTTTACAATGGTAAATTGAAAGCAATCTTTTCCTGTCAGTGCTCACAAGCACTGTGATTCAATTATCTCATTTTGTGGTACAAAATGTACATAATAAAAATTAAACAACATTATACAATGAAAAACTGTCCCAAATCCCCTTAAGGTCAAACACTTGATTTTCCAGTGTTTAGCCTGTCCTCATGGAAATATTTCAGGACAAGTCTAATACAATTCATTATGAAAGGTTCTTACATAAAGTCATAACTTCAGCCTGATCAGTGATTTAATATTGACCACCAAATAACTCCATTGTAACATTAGAACTTACTCTTTTTTTCAGATTATAGCGGGAGTTATGTTAGGAATAGGGATATGGATAGCAGTAGACAAGATCTTCATATCAGATATAATTGGTACAGACCTATTTAATGCTGGGGCATATCTCATGATAATATGTGGTTCTGTCCTCATATTGATATCTATATGGGGATGCCTTAGTACTGTACAAATGAAGAGAATGTATATTATGATTGTAAGTTATTTCCCCTTATATAAGATTTCCATTTAATTTTGTGTTAAAGCTGTCGTTACACATGTTTCATTGAAAGGATGTTGTATCTTTTTAGAGAATGTATATTGTTGATTCCTTTATTATTGTGGGTACTAATTTTCATGGTTTGAGGAAAACTAGTATTTTTTAGATATTTGAATTGTATTGCAATGGGACCCATAGGGAATTTTTTTTCTTGCCAATTCAAATTCATTAACATTTTGAGTAATTGTTAAGGCAAGCCTGAAAAGCAGATATCCAAACACAGTTATTGTATGCTATATACATGTATCATAATATATCTATATACATGTATAAACCATATAGAATAAAAATTCTTTCCTTTCTCTAAACTGCTTCTTTTGCTTTTATTTGTCATTTTTATTGTTGCATTATCAATCTGAGCTAATTGCTGGTCATTTTCTTAAGAACATAATAAAATAGTCACTTTAAACTCAATTTCTTTCTTATCGTATCACCAAAGAGAAATCCCTCTAGGATTTGTTGCTTATTTTATATCATTTTGTCAAGAATATGATTCAGGTAGAACTGTTAAATTAAATATCCAACTTATTATAGCATCATTGACAGGCCTCTTGGATTTCATTTTCATATGTTTTTAAAATTTGTTGTAACAAAACTGAGAATTAATTATCAATTTCTTAGAAAACGCTTCTGCTTACAACATCATTTCATCATATTCTTAAAGAAAATTTGAAGAAAGATATACAAGTATTGACTTGATCATGGTTCTCTGATCTTACCAGGGGAGTTAACTTTTGCAAAATTATGTTTACTTAAGGAGGAGATAATTACTCTTCATTCACTGCAAATTAACCAAATTTTACACGGTTTTGTAAGATTACAAAAAAAAAACAATTATGTGCATCCCTTTTTCATTTTTTTTCCTGAGAGAGAGATAGAGTGATTGAAATAATACCCCCCAAAAAAACAAAAACAAAACAAAAATAAATTGAATCAATGAGTTTGGATAGTCTTTGTCTTGCCTTGTCAAAGTCAGACATCAGGTGCTGTTTCCAGCTACGTCAACAGTTAATGAAGTTTTTGATTAGTTCAGTTTGAAGGGAACTATTTATGGTTAGTCAATGATATTTGGTAAGTAGTTATATTGCAGTGAATTGGCACAACTCATTTCTGTGGACCTTCCCCCTAAGTAATGGTCTGTTCACTTTGAATAATCATATTTTACATTTTACAAAGGAAAACATTTATCTGGTTCTACAGTTTATTCAAAGAACTAAAGAACGGTTATATGATCTATAAAAAAAAATTCCTCAAAGATAAATTAGGGTGACTTATATTTTTCAAATCAGTTTGAAATATAAAAGTATTTTTAAAACTATCCTCATATTTCTAGATAGTTTGTAAGCTTTATTGTAGTAGTCAACATATAATACAATTTACAAATATCTACCAAAATGTATAAAACTTTATCAAATGACTAAGATATTTTATTCTCTATTTTAGTATTTTGTAGCTGTTCTAGTCTCATTTATTATGTTAATTGGTGCTGGAATTATGGCAGCAGCATTTCAAGGAGAAGTAAGTAACACAAATCATCTGACCTTTATAAAGGGTCACTAAGTAGTTAAAGGATATTTGATATTTATCATGAAAACTGTAAAATTCAGAAATTTTTGGGTGCATTTATTGAGATTGTTAAGCAATGGACATAAATGTGAGAATTAATTGTTGCAATTTATTATATGACTATAAATTTTCTGTTTTCTCGTTGGCTAAAAGCATAGGAAATCCTCTTTGATAAAACATTATAGTCACCGCTGCAAAAATCATGAGAGGTTAATATAGGATTTGGAACGGCGTCCGTGTACCTAAATATAGATATTCAAAGGCAACGTCAATGACTTAGTTTTATGATGTCAAGTAAAATCCTGTTTTTTCTTTTTCTTGATTTCGGTGTATTTTTTTCTCCTCTTCTTATTTTTTAGTAAACTTTATTGAATATTTCAATTTCAACATGAAAATTAGCAACTGCAAAAGCAGATGATATATTTAGTATAAAAACAGGGAGCAGTTTTAAAAGTATCTTGAGCAAATACTAAAAAATTGGAGAAGGATAAAAAGTCTTATAAAAAAAACAGTTGTTGACTTTTGATTTCAGTTGATACAATGATTTATCAATGCCAGAGATATGACATTCACCCTTGACCATTGGCCTCGTTGGATATCATATTTATTTTATATCATAATTGTATATGATCAGAAAATGCTGCATACAAATAATGCTATCAATATTAGAAATGTGAGTCTCTTTTTTTGCTACACCTATCCTGTCACAATTTTAGCAATGGTGCAAACATTGCAAAGATTTCTGAATTTACTGTATTCGGTAATTTACAGTGAGAAAGTTGTAAGTTTCTCAACCCAGTCTGTTCCTACATCTTTGTACTGGCTGTCTTGTAAATACATGTACATGTATAACATATGTAAAGTGTGGCAGGCTATACAAGTCAATTTTGTAAGTGGAAATTTGTAAAGATAATAATGACAGAGTTAGTGTGTGATTAACTGAAGAAAAAAAAACAAAATTATAGATTATCGTTGGTCATCTCAACGAGATTGATTTTCTCGCTTGAGCCAATACAGCGAAAGTGAGAAAAGCAATCAAGTTGAGATGACCAATGATAATCTGTTTATCGCTATTTTGCCTATGATAACGTTGATGTTTACATTGACAACGGCATGTGCACCCTTAGTTTTTAGCGATGATTTTTCATATCACTCTACTGTGCTAAGAAAGGAAATTATCAGTCAGTAAGATCAAAGGAAAATTTCGTAAAACAGCGATAAATTACAATATTTTAAGGTGAAAGATTTTATTACATACAATTACAAAATTAATCAAGCCAAAAATGTAAGTAGATTTGTTTTTCCATTAGTTGAAATTTACCATATAATTGTGTATACATGTACCAAATAAACAGATAAATCACAAGGTCAAAGCAGACAATTGGTAGACTGAAAAAAATGGATGTTTCTTGATATCATGGTTATCTTTTGAACCATATTTTCCTTATAGAAAATTTTGGATTTAGTTTTGTTTCTGGACATTTGTTGTGTCAGAAATTAGATCTTTGCATAGATAATGCTTCTTCAGGAGATGACAGCAATTGAATGTGAGGTCAATGAGTCAAAGTTCAGGGTCAATGGCAGATATTAATAGACAATCATTTAGGAAAAATTAGGATTTTCAGGAAATAAAGGTTTTTATTGTTTATGGATACTATATGTTTTTAACCCCAATGTCAGCAATTGCTATCATTTGACATAGGTTTTCAGCAGACTTTACAGTTTTCATCAAACCCTGGCAGTCCAAGCAGTAGTTTATGCCTCCCCACAAACAAAGACCTTTGACCCCTATAAGAGTTAAATCTTGTCTGATGTGTGTCCTGCTTATAACTTTTGTTCCATAAAACTTAGGTTGACCAAACTTGGTATGTTGATACATCATGGGATGGGGTGTTACATATCAAAGTCAGGTCACTCTGACCTTGAGTTTGACTTTTGCAAAAGCAGCATACTGACCTTGACCTTTAATTTCTGAATTTACAGTATACAAACCTCTCACTTTGTTAGCTTTAGTTAATCCTAAAAATATGACAATTTATATAGCTATATCGTTGTTTGTTTACACAATATAGAGTACTTAGCTAGACTACCTGATATATTGCTTAAGCTAATAATTAATGAATGACTAGATTGAATTGAATGTTGGTTGAGAATAAAATAGACTTTAGTCATTCAAGTCTATAAGTAAGATGACAAAGTGTGATAAATGTCATTAGATCATTCCTTTGACCGAATTCTCCCAAGAAAATGTTCCTCCAAGATAGATTTGCTACTCTGGAGATTTAATCAAAAAGTGTATATTTTTATGTTAACAGTTATTAACTACTTGTATTTGACATGACCTTTTCAGATTAAATCCACCATGTTAGCTTCCATGAGAGCAACATTACAAAGTTATTATGGCTATGAAGGAACTCGGGCAGATACAGTTACACATTCTTGGGATACGACTCAGACATTGGTAAGTTGCATCAGCTGACAGCTAGAATTTCAGTTTAGAATAACTTCTTGTTCTAAAATAGCTTATATTTGAAAAGAGGGGCATAAAGGGGGGTATCTACACAGAAGAATGCGAAATAAAATTGCCATTTCACGATGAACGAACATTTAAAAATTTCTTGCACATTGATCTTTTTACCCATTTCACTAAACACGGTGAATAACGAACCTTTTTCAAGGCTGCATGCGAAATAAAAATGGCAAAACACGTTGCATGAAAATAACCCTTTACCACCCTCTGAAATGGACAGTAATAAAACATATGAAGTACAGGTATTCATATGATTCTGTAGTTTAAGTATATGTTTACCATGTTTACCATTGACAAAACTTTTATGCCAATTTGAAATATTCAGTAGTTTACATGCCATTGCAGGTAGGGCTATGTTCATATCAAGCATATTTCATGCAACATTTCAACAAATTGCCTCTATCAGCTCTCTGGTATGTAAAATTATGGTGACCATGGTGAAAGGGCTATAGTAAGGGCAGCTCATGCAAGTTATAGTTGTATCAATAAAAAGATAGGTACACATGCACATACAGAGTGCCAAAGAAATTTTTTCCAGTTTTCATACGACAGCAAAAATATTTTCTAGTTTCAGGACAATAACTTGTGTGTAAGTGTATGGATCTTTATGAAATTGTACTACAAGGTTCCATATCACAAAAGGAAAGCTGGGTTTGAGTTTGGGGGTAATTGCCCTAAATGTTCAGAAATTTGGGACCTAAAAGGGGCCTAAAAACAAGCATTTTTCTAGAATGCAGACAATAACTTGTGTTCAAGTGTATGGATCTCTCTGAAATTGTACTGCAAGGTACCATACCACAAAGGGAAGGCTGGGATTGAGTTTGGGGTGATGAATCATAAGGGGGTTCAAAAAATTTGGGGGAGGGATTTTTTTTTCTTTAAAATTTTCCATTTTAAATGGGTTATTTCTGATTTATATATAAAAGCAAATAATAATGATATGGTTTGAATAGGTAAATTAAAAAATTTTAAACTTTAGACCACATTCATTCTGTGTCAGAAACCTATGCTGTGTCAAATATTTAATCGCAATCCAAATTCAGTGCTGTATCAAGCTTGAATGTTGTGTCCATACTTGCCCCAACTGTTCAGGGTTCGACCTCTGCAGTTGTATCAAGCTGCACCCAGCGAAGCATTTTTTTAAATATTTTTTATCTGTTAATTTGTGAGAGAAAAATAGAGGGGGAAGATACCAAAGGAGAAATTCAAATCATATAAGTCACAGAGTACTACAGTACTGCAGAAAACGAAAACAACCAAAAGACAAAGATAATGAGTCAACAACACCACATAGAAACTCAAAAATGAGCAACATGATGGTGCTCTAGAAGGGTTAGCAGATCCTGCTCAACATGGGACAACCTTGACAAACTTGAGCCAGCACTTTCAAAATCCAACTCACTATGTCTGTCTTGTATAAAGAAGGAAATATTCTTATTCATTTATATTAGCATATTATTGTCCAGAACATGTATGTTATATTTGCTGTTGGATGTTAAGCAACCATCAATCAATCACTACTTTATATTTCAGTTACGATGTTGTGCAGTAGAAGACCGTGATTACAGATTATATAGAGAGTCATGGTTTTACAAAACACAAATAGGTTAGTCAGTTAGGTATTGAACAGTTAATCTGTGTTAAGTGGTTATTTAGATGTCATATAGTGCTTGGCATATATCATAAATAATTTTGTAAGTCGCCTTGGTTGGACTAGCTGTCATAATGTCTGCATTGTGAATACTATCAGATTATTATATGGCATTTTTCATATCATATGTTCTATCAGCCTTCGGTTCAATATCAGCCCAAGAGCTGAAGGCTCGATTGTATTTTGAATGTCATTAAAGAACAGAGTTCCAATATCTCCTGTGTTGCACATATATTCTATGTGTCCAAGGAAGGGCTTTTTAAAATTATCTGAGACAGTTGAAGACTTGAGAGCAATTTCTGATATATTTTATATTTCCAAAGGAGTATAACTCATTAAAAATATTTGATTCCGCACTTATTTTAGAAATTGTCCAACACATTGCTGTTATAAACCTTTGATATGAATTTGATAAAAATCTGGCAAAAATTGAACACGTGAGAGCACTTACCATACAAATTTCCATATGATTTATATCTCTAAGGGGCATAACTCTTTTAAAACTATTTGATCTGCACTTATTTTCGAAATTGTCTGAAACATTGCTTTTATAAACCTTTATATGAATTTGATAAAAATCTGGCAAAAATTGTACATGTGAGAGCGCTTACAATGCAAATTTCAATATAACTTATATTTCTAAGCGGCATAACTCTTTTAAAAATAAATAATTGGCACCGATTTTAGAACTTGCATGGAACAGTGCTGATATAAACCTATTATTTAAGTTTCATAAAAATTCTGGCAAGAATTGTTTACATGAGAGCGCTAACAATGCAATTTTTCGTATAATTAATATTACTAAGGGGCATAACTCTTTTTATGCCCCCGCCGTAGCGGAGGCGGCATTAAGTTTTACCTTTGTCCGTCTGTACATCCGTCTGTACGTATGTCCCAAAGTTGGTTTCCGTTCTCTAACTTTAGTTTGCCACAACCAAATGTCATGAAACTTGTACACAATGCTTATTACCACAAAACACAGATCAGGTTTGAATTTTGGTGGCGTCACTTCAACTGTTCTAGAGTTATGCTCCTTTACAAATGGAAAAATTGCTGAATTTTTCGTTTCCATTCTCCAACTTTAGTTTGCCTCAACCAAATGTTATGAAACTTATACACAATGCTTATTACCACATGATACAGATCAAGTTTGTAATTGGGTGGCGTCACTTTTACCGTTCTTGGGTTATGCCCCTTTATAAACATAAAAATTGTTGAATTTTTCATTTCTGTTCTCTAACTTTAGTTTGCCTTAACCAAATGTTATGAAACTTATACACAATGCTTATTACCACAAAATACAGATCATGTTTGAATATTGGTAGTATCACTTTTACTGTTCTAGAGTTATGCCAGTTTACAAATGGAAAAATTGCTGAATTTTTCGTTTCTGTTCTTTAACTTTAGTTTGCCTTAACCAAATGTTATGAAACTTATACACAATCCTTATTACCACAAAACTCATATCAAGTACAAATTTGGGTAGTGTCACTTTTACTGTTTTTCAGTTATGTCCCTTTATAACTTCATATGATATGCAAGCGGGGGCATCATCTGTGTCCCTTGAACACATTCCCCATGTATTCAAAATGATTCATCAGCATTGATTTTCGAAATTTTCCCAGACATTGCTGATATAAACCTACAATATAAGTTTCATAAAAATTTGGCATGAATTGTACACATGATATTGCTAACGATGGAATTTTCTATATAATTAATGCTTCCAAGGGACATAACCCTTTTCAAAATAGTTGATAAGCACTGATTTTCGAACTCGTTTGAGACATCACTGATATAAATCTATGATATAAGTTTTATAAAAATCTGGCAAGAATTGTTCATGTGAGAGCGCTACTAAGACAGGAGGGACGGACCCTCGGTTTTTCTATGTCCCCAGCAACCCGTTGCGCAGGGGACACAAATTTTGCTTCTCCCTTAATAAAGTTAAGTATAATCATTTAGAAAGTACAGTTAAAGAGGATTTGTTCAAGGACTTAAACTTATACAAAGTCTATTTTGTTTAAATCATTTGGAAAAGGGATTAGTAACTCATATTTATTATCAAGAAGCTTTTTGATAATTTTTGATGATGAGATATTGTATGCAATAATTGAAGATTGAATTTTATGACAGAGCAAGGTGTACAGAGAGGAGAAATAAAGTATGTACCAGAGTCTTGTTGTGTGTATACAGAAAGATATCAACAGTATGTTAACCTGCAGACATGCCAGAAATCTACACATATGGCACCAGGGTCTGATACAGACAGGGGAAATAACCCTGCTTTATATTATACAGTGAGTAATACTTTTCAGACAAAGGAATTGATACTGGTCTTTATTACACAGGAATAAGTCCTCGAAGAAAGGGGAAATAATCCTCGTCTTTAAAACACAGTAATGTAAAACCCCCCTAACCTAAAATGCTGGATCCGCCCCTGCTTGTTTTTAAAACATAGTGAACATAATCAATTCTTGCATGTGATCTTTTCATGGTAATTAATAAGAACAACTCTTTATTATGTATTTAAACTTTTGTCTAGTCTCATTACATTTTGAAATCATTACTTAGGATGAAGACATGTACTAAAACCATGGTCTTTATTTCACCACGAGTAATACTTGAAGACAGGGATAGTAATCCTTTTCTTATTTACACAGTGAGAAATACTAGAGATTCTGAAATGAATGATGAATGTAAATAAAAGATATTGTTTTGATGCCCCACCTACGATAGTAGAGGGGCATTATGTTTTTTGGTCTGTGTGTCCGTTCGTACGTCTGTCAGTCTGTCCGTTCGTCCGTCTGTCCTGCTTCAGGTTAAAGTTTTTGGTCAAGGTAGTTTTTGATGAAATTGAAGTCCAATCAACTTGAAACTTAGTACACATGTTCCCTATGATATGATCTTTCTAATTTTAATGCCAAATTAGAGTTTTGACCCCATTTCACAGTCCACTGAACATAGAAAATGATAGTGCGAGTGGGGCATCCGTGTATTATGGACACATTCTTGTCCACAATTGTCTTGTGATGATTATTAAATTTTAACGATTGATTCTATGTAAGTAAGACAGGATAATAGGTGGTGAATTTGGCCCATAAAGTAAACTATTACAGATGCATAAGAATTTAGATATGAAATGCTTGGTAAATATATGCAAAGACTTTAGTGATTTTTTTCAATAGCCTGAGTATTTACTCTGATATTGAGGCTTAATTTTTGTCTCACCTGCTACAAAAGTCACTGTATGCGTGACATAGGTATTACTATCTGTAAACTATTTGTATAAAGCTTTATATTTCAGAAGGTAGAAGACCTGAATGCTTCATATCTTGTATGCAGATACCTTATGTTACAAAGTTTCCATCAATCATATTTCCATTGTCCTTGGCCTCATTTTCAGGGTTCAACGACTGCTTAAAAAAAAAAAATGAGTTTTTTTCATGTGAATTTCTCACTTATAATAAGTAATAGGATTACTATATTTGGTATATGGGTTCCTTGCAATGTCTACATGTCTGTCAGACAGAGTTTACCTGACCTCGACCTCATTTTGTGGATCAGTGATCAAGGTTAAAGTTACATGATTGGGTCCGTTTTTCAAATACTATAAGCAGTAGGTCAATTATATTTGGTGTATGGAATGATTGTAATGGGTACATGTCAGTCTGGCAGGTTTCATCTGACCTTGACCTCATTTTCATGGTTCCTTGGTCAATTGGTCAATGTTAAGTTTTTGTGTTTTTGTCTGTTTTTCAAGTACTATAAGCAATAGGTCGACTATATTTGGTGTATGGAATGATTCTAAGGTGTACATGTCTGTCTGGCAGGTATCATCTGACCTTGACCTCATTTTCATGGTTCATTGGTCAATGTTAAGTTTTTGTGTTTTTGTCTGTTTTTCAAGTACTATAAGCAATAGGTAAACTATATTTGGTGTATGAAATGATTGTAAGGTTTACATGTCTGTCTGACACGATTTATCTGACCTTGACCTCATTGTCATAGATCTTTAAAAATGTAATGCATTTAGTAAAACCTTTGTCTTTAAGATTTTCAACATAAAATCAATGTCAACAATAAAGCAGGGGAGACATTTCAGCGTGTGCACTCTTGTTTGTTTTAAAATTGTACAATAATTAAGTTTTGCCACATATATGGAATCGACAAACATAGATCCCATGCAAGAACCAGGAAATTATTTTAAGAATGTTTTTTTTATTTCATCTAGATTAGATTCACCAGAAATTGTGGTACATGTAGATTAAAGAGTGTGATACTTTTTGTAATTTAATACTGCATGTCAAATAACTGTTTGAAAAGGCCAATAAACGAATGATGTAGTTTCACAATATGATAAGAGTGACTTTTCTATGCTATAATTACATTTGTTATCCTCAAGATTGTATCTTTTTAGTATGATCTCAACATTGATAAAGGCATACATTGAAATCTTGCAAAACTCTTTGAAAAATTAGACAAAGAAATACTTTTATCAATAATTTGCTGAAGAACCACTCAAAGAATAAAAAACTGGTATATACATATATGGCTGTTGAATTTTAGAGTGTGGAAATTTACATATAAATAGAGGTTTTATGGAAACGCTAAGAATAGAAATGAATGAAAGTTTGTTTGGTTTTTTGTATTTTGTTGACATGAAGCAGATTTCAAAGCAACGCAGATGTTTAAGCAGCTTTCTTTTTACAGGGTTGTTACCAGGCAGCTGTAAATTTTGTACAAGGAAATGCAGAGGTATTGGTAGGAATGGGCTTTGGATTTTCCGTAATATTGGTATGTTTAGGCTACTGAAACATAGTGTAGTGAAATTGTAAATCTATAAAACAAATTTAACTGATTTAATCAAAATTTCATAGTGAATACTGAATGTAATATGAAGTCAATACACATGATGTGCATATGATATTGTAAACCATGGTTAAAGTCATATTGACTTTTATACAGAAAAGACTATATTATAGGATTAAACACACTTTTAAAGGAATTTATTGGTGTATAAACTGGACCAAGTCACTCACAAACAAATAAAAGTCTTATGAGATGTTTGTGAGTGACTTGGTCCAGTTTATACACCAATGAATTCCTTTAAAAAGACATTTAATCCTTATAATTCTGTAAAATTGGAGAAAAGGAATTTAATTTTCCAATTCGTAACTTCTATCACAGGTAAATTGTATATTTGTGTCATTGAATTGGCCTATCGCATGTATATAAATTTTTTGGTTAATGCAATAAAATATACTCCATGAAATTTGCTATCTGAAAAAAAATAAACTACAAAAACATCTTATTATCATTCAAATGAATGTTTTGTGTTTATTATTTAATTTAACAATGAATGCAAAGTGAAAATAGATATTTTTAATGTCGAGCCGATTTGTGTTATTATCGCCGCCATCTTGTTTACTAGGTTACAGAAAGTAGTTTGGTCAACATCGTCTATTGAAAAAGAAATAACGTCAAGAGCCACTACCGGAACCCCTCTCAACCAATCATATAAACATATTCCCTAATATTCAAATCATATAAGAATGATACATGTACCAAAGTAAAAGGACTTGTAATGAATTTGTTAAGCATACACTATAATCAAAGGATCAACATGAATAGATTAAAATAAAATATTGTTGGTAATCACTACTGTAAATTCAGAAATTATTGCGATGTTTTTATTATTGCGAAAAATGCGACAGGGTTATAATCGCAATAATTTAAACTCCCATTTTGAAATTTTTTATATGAATTAAACAGGATGTTTCTCAATATCGCAAAAATTAAAATCACATTTTAGTCTAAAATGACAAAGTCGCAATAATAAATGCACGCAATAATTTCTGAATTTACAGTATGTAGTTTTATAGCAATTACAAATTTCAAAAAATAAGAGAGGAATTAAACATGTATAAGATAATGATAGACAGTGGAAATGCACATTGCATACATTAAATAAACTGTTAACACAGAGATATGTCCTTGCCTTTTTGTTATTTTGATAATGCAAATGTTGAAATAAAAATAGCAATACTTTTAACATGTGAGTTATGCAAATATTCAAAGTCAATGGACCATGACTGAAGGAACATGGCTAAACAATTTCCATGGAACTGAGATGTGTCAATGCTAATACACCTGCATACCAAATACCATTGACTTATCATAAGTCGTTCCCTTTAAACAAACCTAAACACAAACATTAATTTGTAAACTATGTAAAAGTTTCAAAGTTAATGAACCATGATGAGAGGGTGGGGCTATATAATCTCCATGGAAATGAGACTGCCAATAAATAAATTTGCATACCAAATATCATTGACATAACATTATCAGTTCATCTTAAACTGATCTAATCACAAACTAATACATGTGAACCAAGAAAAAGTTTCAAAGTCAATAGACCATGACTGATGGGGCAAGGCCAAATATTCTCCATGGAAATGAGATATGCCAATGCTTATACAACTGCATACCAAATATCACTGACCTACCACTAGGGGTTCCCCATAAACTGACCTAATCTCAAACTAATACATGTAAACTCAGCAAAAGTTTCAAAGTCAATAGACCATGACAGGGGGAAGGACCAAATAATCTCCATGGAAATGAGATGTGCTAATGCATACCAAATATCTTTGAACTACCACTAGTGGTTCACCATAAACTAGACTTAGGTTATCACAAACTAAAACATTGTTGATGCCGCCGCCAACGCTGGAAAAAGCATACCTATGTCTCATTTTTTGACTCTGCCAAGACCAGACAAAAATGGACAAATGCATATCGGGATGTTTGCAGGAAACTCTTGTAACTTATATTTTAAATTGAAATACATGTACTGTGGATTCATTATTAGTCCCCTACCGAAGAAGTCGAAGGGGACTTTAGGATTGCACTCCGTCCATCTGTCTGTCTGTCCTTCTGTCAGTCCGGCAAATCAGTTTTCCACACTTTTTTCTTCATGCTTGAAGATATTAATTAGATATTTGGTATATTGTTTTATCATAACAAGTTACAGATCAAGTTCGAATTTTGTTCCGGTCTGATAATTTTGTGCAGAGTTATAGTCCTTGGACTTAAAAAATTCACTCAAATATTCAGTTTTCCGCACTTTTTTTCGTCATTCTTGAAGATATTGATTTAATAATTGGTAAATTGTTTTATCATGACAAGTTACAGATCAAGTTCGAATTTTGTTCCAATCTGATGATTTTTTGCAGAGTTATGGCCCTTGGACTTAGAAAATTCACTCAAATAATCAGTTTTCTGCACTTTTTTTCGTCAAGTTTGAAGATATTGATATGATAATTGGTATATAGTTTTATCATGACAAGTTACAGACCAAGTTTGAATTTCGTTTTGGTTTGATGATTTTTTGCAGAGTTATGGTCCTTGGACTTTTTTTCGTCATGCTTGAAGATATTGACTTGATATTTGTTGTATAGTTTACACCATGACAAGTTATATATCAAGTTAGCATTTTGTTCCAGTACAATTAATTTTTAACCGGTAGGGGACTATGTATTGCCATGCAATACTCTCAGAATGCTTGTTAGTTTCAGTATACCAAGTACAAATGTTCTATAAGCTCCTATGCAGACTTTGGCAAAACCAAGAAATCAAAGATTCATTAAGATGAAATTCTCCCTCAATCCATGAAAATTGGAACCCATAAATATATGATTCCACGTAGCATGTATGTGTTTCGTTTTGTGGCTGCTGTCTCATTTATGGATATCCTATATCATCATTCACTTATATAGAAATGTACTGAACTTGAATTCAAATTTGTTTATAGTGACTATTATTTTAGAGTAACTAGTTTGTTTTGTTTTTCTTTGACAAAGGAATATTTCCACTGGTTTAAGTGCCATATGTTGTGTAATTAGCGAACTGTTTCTGTATTAGCCCTGTTATAAATTTAGGGAATTTGTTGTCAATGTTGTCTTGCCTTGATAGATGTTGTTTCCAGCATCAGCGAGGGCTGCGTCAACAATGTATTAGTTTGTGATTCGGTCAGTTTATTGGGAACCACTAGTGGTAGGTCAATGATATTTGGTATGCAGTTGTATTAATATGGGCACATCTCATTTCCATGGAGATTATTTGGCCTTGCCTCCTCAGACAGTCATGGTCAGATGACTTTGAAATGTTTGCTTACTTTACATGTATAAGTCTGTGATTGGATCAGTTTATGGGGAACCACCAGTGGTAGGTCAATGATATTTTGTATGCAGTTGTATTAGCATTGGCACATCTCATTTCCATGGAGATTGTTTAGCTCTGTACCTTTAGTCATGGTTCATTAGAAGACCATGAAAATTTTTCTTTTAAAATCATACTAAAACATGAAACATAATTTTAACTTTTAAATGTCTTTTTAAGTAAAATAAATACTTAACAAATGTAAGGAATATATCAAAACAAAGGTGAGATCTAGATAATTTGGAACTAGAAGAGATGTATACAGATTTTTTGTATGTGCAAAAAATCTGTATTAATATCAGCAGGGATACATGATCAATATTGCACATGCCAAATTAATCCCATTAGAGCTGATTTGATCATATCATTTAATGATACAATGCTGTAAAACTTTTATAAACTCAGAATATAAAATATGTTTTTCTCAGCATTCTCATTACATTTGAAAGTAATTTAGTCAAATATTTACCAATATGTAACTATATATTTTTATAGATATATGTTATAAATTTGGCCTGAATGACCTCTGACCCTTATGTGGTATTGATCTTTATAATAGATTCACAATGTTTTTATTTCTTTTAGATATGTGGAATGGTATTTTCTATCCTTTTATATAAGAGAATAACCTATGACTTTACACCAGTCAGTACAAGAGAGCGATGAACCTAGCTATACATAGAAGACCTTATATTAAATTCATCTCATAGTAACAGCATTGTAACACATAGTAATCTGTTCCTGATAATACTGAATAACTAATCGGAAAAGTGTGTAATCGTTTCATTCTCAGTGACAAAACATTAATCCGTAGAATCTGAGTAATTTTTTTTATGTGTTTTGTGACTAGTTATTTTTGAAATTCAGTTGAAAACTAAATTTAGTTTCAGGAGTAATATTACTTATTCATTACTAAATTATCTTTGCATAAAAGCTCTATAGTTTAAAAAAGGCCTTTTGATGAATTTTGTTTAGATGGGATTCTGTCAAACATCTACAGTTAATACATTACACACAGTGGAAATACATTTCATATTGTCAATATGTGCCACTAATGCATATTACAATGTTTAGGAATTTTCAAATTTATGTTTTATCGTTGTGAATAATTTTACATCAGATGAACTTTGTGTAAATGATAAGTGTGTGTATGGTTATTATATGCTTCGGTGCTAATTTTTTATATCGCGAAAGAATATCTCATTTTGTACCAACAGCAGGATACATCTATTATGTCATGATCAGTTTCAGTTAAAGTAATGAATTAAATCATTGTTTTAACAGATAATATGAAGATTTTGTATTGACTTTTTACTTGTTCGAACATTTAAAAACTGAAATATTCCCCATAGGAAGTGGAAATATTCCAATAAGGGAGTGTATCTTTGGGATGTATCAAATGCACAACTTGTATTTATAGTGTGTCACACTCCTGGCATGAAAAAGACCCATCCAGCATTATTTGTAAAGAGGATGTTCATATCAGGCCAATACTGGGGTTTAATGATTTTTTGCTGATGAAAATTATCCCAAGATCATTTAAATTTCCAAATAATAAAACAGCATATTCATAGCCTCAGAATTTTTATCATAGAACCAACATCAAACTGTAAAATAATGTAAAAACCATACTTAAAAAGTTTTTTGTTTGACATATTTTATGGGATCAGCTACCATTTTCATGATTATAGAAAACAATTGATTGTAGATAGTATTATATGATTTTTGAGGTAGAAAGACAAGTCTGATTTTATGTCTGTTCTTAGGCTATCTGGTCCATGTGTTGTTCATTGCTGTTTGTCTTTGTCTGTATGTCTGGTGGTTTTTTTTAGAGAAGTTAGGTGCTGGTTGTTGATGCAGTCTGTTGTACTGTATGGTATATTTGTCAATTCTTATTATCCCTTATTGTATTATGTATAGTCTTTTGTGTATTTTATGTGTCACTTGTGTGTTTTTCTCCATTAGGTGTTTAAGTGCTTCAATTATCTCTTACTTGTTTTAATCATGTGCCATTATTCTGTGTTCTTTTTAACAGAGCATTGTAAAATTATTTCTCTGGAACTCAGACTCTTCCTTAAAATAATACATAGATATTTTTGGGGTAAAGGGAAGATAACTTTTGGTATTGTCTTTCTGAACAATTTTCCTTTGGTTGTATAAACTATTCTTATCATAATAAATGATGGAAACTTTTTGAAAAAAAAAATTTGGAGATAAATGCTAGAATTATATGCCTGACATGCCTGAAATATTAATTAAAATAAATTTAGCACTATATTGGAAAAAGGGATGAAAGTGCATTAATTCATGTAAAAAATGATAAGGTTCATATGAAATCTTTTTTTTTTAAATGTTATGTTGAAAAGTCAAATAAATCTTCAAGTAAAGTATTCTAATGATTAAATCATGATATATAAAGCTAATAACAAAATTTATCAGTGTCTGATCCAGAGATGTTATTCATGGGGATGAAATGTGAACAAACATTGTTAACCATATATGGAGAAGGTAGCATGTTCATCTCTATAAGCTATTGTATTCCAAAACAATAAAAAATATATACAGGAAGAGGTATTTCTTATGTGGTATTCAATTATAATAAACATTATGTGTTAACTTGTTTGGAAGGGGGTCATTAAGCACAAAATTCATCCCCATGATTTTAGACACATAGTATTACCTAGATATCAGTGCATGTTGGAACGTTGTTCTGACTTTTATATTGAGTCAAAATAGCAAAACAGATCAAATTAATCAGTTTAACCAGTAAGGGCTCTTCCATTAAAATGTATGTGGGAGGGTAGGAAGGGAAGTTTAATTATTGAATGTGGGTCATGGGTCTTTTTTCAGTATGCGTCTATTACCATTATGCAAAATTATCTAAAAAATGGTTCTTGGTTGTAGGGATATTTTGAAAGTCCCTTCCTACCCTCCCACATACATTTTAATGGAATAGCCCTAAAATGAACATAGATTTAAATTTGAATTCACTGCAAAACTTCTAATCAAGATTCTTCAGTGGAACATGATGCTAGGCAGAGCCTACACTGCCAGAAAAACTGGTGGAAATTTTTCATGTATTGTTTTCAACATATCATTTAGCCAAAATCCTTGGTAATTTTTTTTCCTATTTGTAAATTTTTATATAACCTTTGAACTATTAATGACTTATAACTGATCCTTTTAAACTTCAGCCAAGTTAAACAATGCAATCATCTTTGAAATTCTCTTAAAATACAAAATGAATGCTCCAGATAATGTTTGTATAATAATCTTAATTATAGTATCAAATTGGGCATTTAATAACTCTTTTCTTTTTGTTTCATCTGATAAAAAAGGGGGCCTCGGTGGCCGAGTGGTCTAAGTAGTTACTAATGTAATCACTAGCCAGTCAACACTGAGGTTGTGAGTTCGAACCCTGCTCGTGCAGGTGCACTCGACTCCAATCTTAATTGACTAGGATTGTCAGTTTTCTTATCGAAGGTCAGTGGTTTTCTCCAGGCACTCTGGCTTCCTCCAACAATAAAAACTGGCCGCCACGAAATAGCCCAAGAGTGGTGCTTAAAAGTGGCGTTAAAACACCAAAAATCAAAATCAAATCATCTGATAAAAATAATGTTCAGAAGTGCAAATAAATCTTTGCAGCATTTGTTTATGTTTTTTATACAAAGCTTGATGCTTATTCTCCATGGTTGTGACAGTATTGTAGATTATTATATTGGTAATGATTTATAGATTTGTATATTTGTTGTACATTTGTACTTTGATTATATTGTAAATTTGTATGATTGTTATTCCATTTGTAACATTCCTGATTTGTTTTGTAAAAAATTAATATTTATACACTTTTGTTTACACCACAAACCTTTGAGGTAATTGGACAATAATTAATCACATGATCAATAGTTGCAGATAATCATACTCTTTATGTCAAGCCAATGTCATGACTTCGACTTTCATCTGAAAACTTCATTAAAGATATTCATTTAGATAATTTCCTTGAAGGTATAAATCTGGATTTTATTAAGATTTTTTCCTTTCTTCTTTTTCTTATATATTAGTTCATGTTGTAGATTATAGTTGTCTTAATAAAATTCAGAACTTTTGAGTTGAAAGCAATTTTTTCAGAATTCCACAATCTATTTTCATGTTATATCAAAGACTTAAATTTTTTTACACTTATTTTTTTCATGATGTTGAACCAATTTTTAATGTTTAATCTTATTGCATCAAATATGTGTTGTTCTGGATATTTTGTAGCATTCATGACATATTCTATGCAGATCATAATAAAAATAGAAAAAATATCAGGATTACTATTTTCAACATATCATATGCATGTGTTATGCATAGTGTTTGTGAAACAAAGAAACATGTATATTTTTTTAATATGTAAATCTGCCGATGATTTGGTTCAATATTGAAAAAAATCATATTGAGCACATTTTTTCAGGGTCAATTTGTTGTTTTCAAGTTGTGAATGCTTTTTATTGATTTAGAAAAAAATATAATATGTTTCTATCAGTTAATTAAATGCCTGAGCAACATTAAAAGTATTGTCAATACTTTTGATTCAAATATGTTTCATTCCGTCAAACTATTTGGTTTAGACAATGTTTTTTTTATGTCATCAATGCGATTGTTGATAAAACAGGCTTACTACTGTTGGTAAACTTGAATAATTGACAAAAGAATACAGAGTTTTTCAAGCTGATAGTTGAAAAATGCATGGAATATGTCTGATCTTGAAATATGTAAATTACATAGAAAAATCAGGGTATAGTAAAAATAGTAAAAAAGTTTTTCTGGTAATGGAGATGATATGAATTGAAACTAAATGAAATATGTAATATAAATATTAATTAAACTGAATGAAATATTTAATATAAATATTAATTAAATTAAATTAAAAATTAATTGAAGTTGAAAGATTGGGCAACTTAAAAGAATGATTCAATTATTTATCTAATAACTATAATTGTAAATAAATTTGAAATTAAAATTAAAAAATCAACAAGCAAAAATTTGTTTTCCTCATCATCTATTAGATACTAGATTTTGATAGCTTTATAATAATAAATTGAATTTTTCAACAATTGATTTTTTTAACAATTTTTGTTGTTTTTTATTTTGTTTTTGTTCATTTATTTTTGCAGAAACTTAATTTGTGGTGTTACATAACAAACATATCATATATTATTAAGTTTTTCCAAGATCAAGAAAGATAACTCAATTTAAATTTGTTTAGTCTACCATAACAATTGCATTATTTATTTGTTACATACACACCATACATATATTTATAGATATGATGTGTCTCTTCTTCTGTATTCTCTATTATATATGTTGTTAACTTCTAAATTAGGACATTGTTAACACTGTAAAATATTCACATTCAAGACATTCCAATTATATACAGATTTATCATATGATTATTATCAAGCAATTATTATATAAAAATCTTTGTATTCATTTACTCTTGCCTTTTTATGAACAACATTGTAAGGTTTTATATAAATATATTTTTATTGTAAATAAACCAATGCTTCAACAGTTGTGCATTATTCATGAATGAACTTGAAATACTATGTAGATGGTAGATGCATATGGACATTTACAAATAAACAGCATTGTTTGTTTTTTTGTGTTTAACACTACTTTTAGCACTCTTGGCTATTTCATGGTAACAAGGTTTTATTCAGTGGAATGAGTGTTATTGCCCTTAGAAAACCACTGACTTGGCAGGAAAACCAATCAATTATGATTGGGGTCCGATCTCACAACCTCAGTGTTGACTGACGAGTGATCATTAAAAAGAAGGAACAGAAGAATTCTAAAACAATGTATTTATAAAAGGTTAAAAGGGAGGGAGGGGGTATCCATCAAGAAGGCAGCTACCCAAAAGAGACAAATAGTCTTCAACAATTACCAAGACTTGAGTGTATATAATTCAACTAAGTTGTGAAGGAGTTTAACCAAGACTATCAAAGACTGAATTCCCCAAATACATTTAAAAAAGATAACCATACATTGATAAGGTTCCTGAATTAGAAAATTTTAAAGTTAAGTTGATCAATTCAACTCCTTCAGACAAATAAAATTGAGAATGGAAATGGGGAATGTGTCAAAGAGACAACAAACCGACCAAAGAGCAGAAAGCAGCCAAAGGCCACCAATGGGTCTTCAACACAGGGAGAAAATCCCGCACCCGGAGGCATAGTTCAGCTGGCCCCTAAACAAAAATGTGTTCTAGTTCAGTGAAAGTGGACGTCATACTAAACTCCAAAACATATAAATGAACTAAAGTTGACCATTAGGTGGATTTGGCTAGTGTTTTACTCTGACTGTGTTTGGTCATTGAGTTCTAGACCTGTAGTATTTATACATCCTTTGCTTTAAATTTTTTTTTGGAAAGCATTGCAAACACACCAAATTTATAGAGTGTTAATTACATCTTCCTACACTGGTGGCAAGCTGCTTGAGACACTTACCATGAGACTGAGGCAGTTACTGACTACCAGGTCAAATATTGATAGTTATAAAAACCCATGGAAATATATTAATATTATATCACAACTGCAGTCCTCTTGTATTGTACCAGTCCGTGTCCATCATCATTTAGGATACTATACCTACATTATTAAAACTAAAGTGGCCCTATTTAAGTTTTGTATTTGCCTACTTTTTTTTTAGAAATCTACTGCAATATATTTATCGTCTTTACCCCCTCAAAGGATAACTTGGATAGCTATGACCTACATTCATGCTAGACTGACTTTGGTTATGTTTATGTCAATTTGTTATAAATTCTATCTTTATTAAACTGGGGCTAAGCATATTACAGAGATGTATAATAATTATATATCATAAAGTAAAGTGAACCCTTTTCTGAAACAATGCTATGCAGATAATGATTTTTAGAGAGAATTTATATACCCAGTACATATATAAACAAGCATTCTGAGGGTATTGCATGGTAATACATAGTCCCCTACCGGTTAAAAAATCATTGTATTGGAACAAATGCTAACTTGATCTATAATTTGTCATGGTGTAAACTATATAACAAATATCAAGTCAATATCTTCAAGCATGACGAAAAAAAGTGTCGAAAACTGATTATTTAAGTGAATTTTCTAAGTCCAAGGACCATAACTCTGCACAAAATCATCAGACCGGAACAAAATTCATATTTGATCTGTAACTTGTCATGATAAAACTATATACCAATTATCACATCAATATCTTCAAGCATGACAAAAAAAATGCTGAAAACTGATTGAGTGAATTTTCTTAGTCCAAGGACCATAACTCTGCACAAATCATCAGACCGGAACAAAATTCGAACTTGATCTTTAACAATTCACAAAATATCAAATCAATATCTTCAAGCATAAAGAAAAAAAGTGTGGAAAACTGATTTGCCAGACTGGCGGATGGACAGACAGACAGACAGACAGACAGACAGACAGACAGACAGACGGATTGCATGCCTAAAGTCCCCTTCAACTTCGTCGCTAGGGGACTAAAAAGTAAATGGAGGATCTTCATATCCCATCTGAAATAAAGACCTAAGTTATCTCCCTTTCCCATCTGATATAATAACCTTAGTTATCTCCCTTGAACTGTCAAGTTTATTATTTTCTTAAATGTTTAAAACAATATTGAAATTTGGCCTAAGTCACTTAGAGCCAACAGAGTGGAATATGAAAGCTGTCTTCTCAATAGAAAATAAATCTTTATAGGGTAAACAACTTGGCCAGTTGAAACAAATCAAATAGACCACTTATGAGTAATGTCCTTCACCGGGAAAGTTCTTCAATTATGCGCCCCTTTATGACGCCATTTACCAGATAGAGGGGACCACCTGTTCCCTGCACTATTAAGGTTCATCAAGTGTCTTCGTGATTGTCATTATGCAGGATAAACTAGAAATAATGTTTATTCCGTAGGTACTTAATAACAATTCCCTAATGACAACAGTGCTGATTACAATTATAAGAATTTAATTTGCCCAATAATTCGTGCACTATAGCATCATATTTTTTTTAACCGCTCGCTCAACATGGGAAGGAAGTGACAATGCCCCTAAACGCACAAATGATGTTCTCTAAAACCAAAGTTTTTGACGGAAATGCAACTAACTCAAAAGTGGTCTATTAATCCTTATTTCTCTCAATTATCTGTTAGTTTACTATGTAAGAGGAACAAATACATTCATATACATATATGGAAAACCAATTGCTTACAGAAGAACAACAATATTATATATTTATAACACAGTAATATTTTAATAAAACATGTGTTTATTTTTGTAGAATACATCAAAATGTACATTCATTATGCTGTAATATCAAAATACATATACATATGCATGATGCTTTAATACCAAAATAAATAATCTTAAAATACATATTCATTATGCTTCAACAAGTTTCCAAACAATCCTCTCTTGATAAATAATAGGAAATGTTTGTTTTATCACTCTGGTCCAGACAAGAGCTTTCGGTATATACATGTACATTGTAAAGTTTTGTTTTATTACTATGGTTCAGACTCATGTCTGGCAAGAGCTTCTAGTATATACATGTACATTGTAATAGAAAAGTTTTTTTTATCACTCTGGTTCAGACTTGTGTTTGGCAAGAGCTTCTAGTATATACATGTACATGGTAACAGAAAAGTTTTGTTTTATCACTATGGTTCAGACTCGTGTCTGGCAAGAGCTTCTAGTAAATACATGTACATTGTAATAGAAAAGTTTTGTTTTATTACTCTGGTTCAGACTCGTGTCTGGCAAGAGCTTCTAGTAAATACATGTACATTGTAATAGAAAAGTTTTGTTTTATTACTCTGGTTTAGACTGGTGTCTCTCAAGAGCTTCTAGTATATACATGTACATTGTAATAGAAAAGTTTTGTTTTATTACTCTGGTTCAGACTCGTGTCTGGCAAGAGCTTCCAGTAAATAAATGTACATTGTAATAGAAAAGTTTTGTTTTACCACTCTGGTTTAGACTTGTGTCTGGCAAGAACTTCTAGTATATACATGTACATTGTAATAGAAAAGTTTTGTTTTATTACTCTGGTTCAGACTCGTGTCTCTCAAGAGCTTCTAGTAAATACATGTACATTGTAATAGAAAAGTTTTGTTTTATTACTCTGGTTCAGACTCGTGTCTGGCAAGAGCTTCTAGTAAATACATGTACATTGTAATAGAAAAGTTTTGTTTTATTACTCTGGTTCAGACTCGTGTCTGGCAAGAGCTTCCAGTAAATAAATGTACATTGTAATAGAAAAGTTTTGTTTTACCACTCTGGTTTAGACTTGTGTCTGGCAAGAACTTCTAGTATATACATGTACATTGTAATAGAAAAGTTTTGTTTTATTACTCTGGTTCACACTCGTGTCTCTCAAGAGCTTCTAGTATATACATGTACATTGTAATAGAAAAGTTTTGTTTTATTACTCTGGTTCAGACTCGTGTCTGGCAAGAGCTTCCAGTAAATAAATGTACATTGTAATAGAAAAGTTTTGTTTTACCACTCTGGTTTAGACTTGTGTCTGGCAAGAACTTCTAGTATATACATATACATTGTAATAGAAAAGTTTTGTTTTATTACTCTGGTTCAGACTCGTGTCTCTCAAGAGCTTCTAGTATATACATGTACATTGTAAAGTTTTGTTTTATCACTCTGGTTCAGACTCGTGTCTGGCAAGAGCTTCTAGTATATACATGAACATTGTAATAGAAAAGTTTTGTTTTATTACTCCGGTTCAGACTTGTGTCTGGCAAGAGCTTCTAGTAAATACATGTACATTGTAAAGTTTTGTTTTATCAGACTCATGTCTAGTAAGAGCTTCTAGTATATACATGTACATCGTAATAGAAAAGTTTTGTTTTATCACTCTGGTTCTGACTCATGTTTGGCAAGAGCTTCTAGTATATACATGTACATTGAAATATAAAAGTTTTGTTTTAATACTCAGGTTCAGACTCATGTTTGGCAAGAGCTTCTAGTATATACATGTACATTTTAATAGCAAAGTTTTGTTTTATCACTCTGGTTCAGATTCATGTCTGGCAAGAGCTTCTGGTATCAGTGTGCAAGCTGGTCCTTGGAAGTGGTATCTAAAAAAATCAAAATGACTAATATAAATATATTCTCTGTTCTGTGTTAAGGTCATTTCCTGATTTACCTTAAAAAATTAATGCTTATCTAAATGCGGACATTACATGTGTCTCATCAGCATTATACTTGCTTTCCTGATTAGTTGATTGATTTATTGATTATTATTTGCAAAATCAAGTAGCAAGTTTTTTATGCATAAACAAAATGAAATTAATAAATTATAAAAAAATAGTTTCTGCCAAAATTTAGACTAGCACTTGGAAAAGAAGATATGTTGGATAAGGACAGAATTTCCTTGAAATAAATTACCTGCAGTCCCTTTACGAACTGCAAGGGTTCTCCAATTTGCAGAGAGAGATTTGGACTCTCAGGCTTCCTAACTGAAACATTGGATTTAAAAACACAATCACACATGGAAGTATATTGAAACATCCCAAACAACCAAACAGACATCCATCAACATTGGTCCAGGTGATGGTATTTCTAACCCCAATCCACCCTTGTGGGCTCACCATAGTGATGCTGCTACTTTTGTATCTTCAGTGTTGATCAATGTAACTGATTTACTAGAACAGGTAATCATGATTGACACTTATACTGACCAATACTAATATTTACCCTAATGATTTTGTTACTGGAGTCTCTTCAGTGTTAAATTCTGCTACTGGGATACCAAGGATAGATAATCGTGGTCCGAACAAGGCAACTGGTCTTACAACAGATGATGTTCCTACCTATTAGAATATGTCCAAGATTTTTCAGATAGCATAAAATCATCACAATTATTTGGTGTATGTTATGAATATAAGGTGTACATGTCTGTCTGGAAGGGTTCATCTGACCTTGACTTCATTTTCATTGTTCGCTGGTCAATGTTAATTTTTCGTGATTAGGTATGTTTCTTTAGATACTAAAACACAACGACCAAATATATTTGGTGTATTGAATGATTGCAAGATGTACATGTCCTTCTGATGGTTCATCTGGCCTTGATCTCACTTCATGGATCATTGATCATGTTACATTAATGTGATATCTGTACCTTAAAGACTTTCAATATAAAATTCAATAATGATCATAAAAGCAAGCCAGATCTTTAAGCCTCAATTCACACTTGTTTATTGTGTGCTTCTGAATAGTTTAGATATTGACTAATAGAAGATTTTGAGGCAGAAAATGTGACTTTTTTGTTTATTTTTTGAGAAATTACATACCAAAATAAATTTTGAATTCCAAATGGTGGCCTTTCCTTAGTTATGGACTAGTAGAATGTGAAATCTAACCCTTCAAAATATTTGTCAACGTCCAACGAAAATTATCTTTACAAACAAATTGCATTAGAATCACAGTTGTTCATTTTGTGTTTTAGTTTTACAATATAGGTTCTAGATAGGCAAAGGTGGAAGTTTGTGCTCATGTTAAACTCACATTTTTAACCCAACCACATTTTATGACTAAAACTAGTTACAGCCTATGCTATCTGGAAAATGTGTTGGCTGCTGTTTTTTCCAGAGGAGTTGGAATTGTTAGTGGTTGATACGGTTTGTTAAACAGTGCTGTATTTTTGACAATTTCTGCTTTCCTTATAAATATGTTTTTCTTCCATCAACCTATACATTGTGTTTAAATCTTAAATGATTTCAATAAACATATCAAATTGACTTCTTTTACTTATTTAAAATTTCCTCCCCCATTTTACATAATTAAATTATCATTACTCCAAAATAACAAATTTATATTACTAAAGATAGCTAGGAATATATAGTCTCAATGTTGTCAATTTTTCATTCTAAAAAATATTTGTCGTGTTGTTTATTTTTTTTTTTCATAAAACTCAACTTTTATGTTACATTTTTCTAAAGAAAAATCAAATATTTAAAGACATAAAATTCTTACTAAAAGACACAGATCACACTTTTCAAGTTCCTCTTCTGCTTTTGCTAAAATGGACGGATCCAGAGATTCACCAAACCATACAACATGAGGTCTCATAAGTCCTCCACAACCTGTTTTCTTACATCTGTTCAATACAAAAAATTCCATCTATTACAATATTAATATATTTCTTTAAAAATAACATAATTTCTGTAAATAATATTGATTAAATTGTTGGTTGATTTATTATAAATGTCTATCTTATTTGTGGCAAAATATTCTTTAATTAGAAATCAGAAAATTGTGTTATTTTTCATACCAAACAGTATAGATTTTGTTTGTGCAATCGTTTTGTTGTAAATGATCCTTCTCTGTATTTTCTAAAGCTGAATCCTGTTATTTGTCATATTCCATTCTAACTTAAAAGATACACAGTTTAAACAACAATGTATATTCTCCAAATTTTTAGGTCTATGAAATATATTGTACACAAATGTTGTGCTTGTCTCTGTTTAGCTTTGTACCAATCAAAATTAGAAAAAATATCAAATTAAAATTAGGGGAAGTGAAAACAAATTAAAACAAGTCAACATGCAAGAAACTGAAGACAAATAACAGATAATTCCATAGCTTGTAAGTGAAATTATTTTAAAAGATGATATAAAAATAAGGATATGTGCCAATGAGACAACTCTCCACCAGAGACAAACTATCACAGAACTTTACAACTATAGGATGATGCTTCTTTTATGTGACTTTGACATGAAGGTTAATAAATTATCACTCCAAAGTTTTACAATGAACATTAAATCAGCAAACCTTGGTAATTTATCCAGTGGTATATTGTCTTCTTCTGTTTCGAGATCTGGTGCTCTAATAGAAAGAAAAGTAAAAATCTACTATTATTTTAAACAAAGAGTAAACTAATTTTATTTCAAATATAGAGTAAACTACTTTTATATTAAACATAGAGTAAACTACTTTTATCTTAAACATTGAGTAATTAAACTACTTTTCTTTTTTAAATAAACATAGAGTAAACTACTTTTATTTTAAATATAGAGTAAACTACTTTTACTTTAAACATAGAGTAAACTACTTTTATTTCAAACATAGAGTAAAAAACTTTTATTTTAAACATAGTCGAGTAAAACTACTTTTATTTTAAACAAGTTAGAGTAAATTACTTTTGTATAAAACATAGAGTAAACTACTTATATTTCAAACCACTTTTTACTGTAAAGATTGTTACATATATTTTTCATATTTCTATATAGGATTCCAATTTCAGAACTCTGAGTCCTACACCTGTTTTGAACGAATACCAGTACTTAAATTGATATGAAAAAGGGCATGCAATGATCTAAATGTCTACCTCACATATATATGTACCATGCTGGTTGGTAATTTCCTTCATCCAATAAATCTCACCTTTTGATGTTATAGCAACAAGTTGCACCAACTTATCAGACAAACTAATATCAGAAATGAATTTATTAGTGATTGATTATAAATGTTTTTAAAATGGAAAGCCATACTATGTCAACACTGAACTTGGGAGCTGTATAGTTATAAGGGTGTAACTGTATTATGTACTAGGTGTTCTGAGAATTATCACAACTTTTTTTTATTTTAGCCTTTTTGTCAGATAATTCGGCTATATACTATACAATGAACATTATGAACGTACCCTTTGCCAGCTAATGCAGGACATATTGGACTGTCTGTGTTTTCTGTTACATCCTGACATTTTGTACATCTTATCTTAAATAAACTACCTAAAAAAAATTTAAATTATGTCAGAAATAAAAAAAATCATCCGAAATTAGATACAAAAACACATTTTAAGTTGTTTTTCACCTTAACTTGACAAAACAATGAAGAACCATTTATAACAAGAATGTATACTGGTTGCAGGTGATGAAAATTTTTAATAAAAGAACCTAATGAAACTGCTCAAATTAATTGTAAATTGGCAAATTTAAAATATTTAAAATGAAAGCTCACATAAAATTTATTTTCTTTCAAATATGATTGATCAAAGCTTAAAAATAAATCCCATTTGACTAAGTAATTATTATTGCCCATGTCAGAAATACCTGTTATAAAAAATCTTAAAGTTGTCCAAAAATTTCTTAAAAACAACCTATATCTATATATGGTGGCACATTTTTCATTCACAATTAGGATAAGAACAAATTAATTAAGAAATCAGTTAGGTAGTTCCTGAAAAAATGATATACAGTGAAACAGGATAAAATATTAGAACCAGTTGCCACTTAAAAAAGAGGATATGCTGGTTATCTGTTAAAGTTTTGTTATGCAATAACTCATTGAGGAACATCTAAGTTTTTTTTTCAAATGAGAGAAAGTAGCTACATTATATACATGTATGACATCCCATTTCCTACCAGATTGTCTCTTCAATAGTATTATAACTAGTTGAGGTATACAGTAATAAAACTAGTTTATATAAAACAGACACTGTATTTCAATTTTTATATTTACTAAGAATAGTAAAGTTAATATATTGGCCTGGCAGTCAATACATGACCCAAATCTCCATTTCTAAAGTACTATTTCTATGCTTTACCATGCATCTCAAGAATATTTTCAGACCCAGCTCTCTTGTGAAGTTCATCTATATTCTGAGTGATTACTACAACTCTTCTTCCTTGTGATTTTAGCCTCTTTTCACATTCAGCTATTGCAAAATGAGCCTATTCAAATATAAAAATTATTCAAATACAATAAATTTAGAAATTTTAATAATTTAGTGTAAACAATGAAAAAAAAATGTCTCAATCCTGTATCCAAGCACCTGTGATGAAATTGACAATGCACAGCATATCACTTTTTGAATATATAACAAACAACAGGAAGTGATCTAGCTGTAGTATAAATGGTATTTTTTTTATATATCTCTGTTTATACTGAGATCTCCCCAGTTTGTGGTGGGGTTCATGTTGCTCAGTCCTTTATTTATATGTTGTGTTTTGTATTTTGGTTTTCTTTGCCATGGTGTTAGCAGTTTCCCCTTGGTATCTTCTGCCCTTATTTTTAGCTATATGAGTAACATGACCTTACATATGAGTAACATGACCTTACATATGAGTAACATGACCTTAAATGTCTGGCTGTGATTATTACGTTGCACAATTCTAGAGTCTTTAGTGACCTGCGTCTAAATACATATAGATTATCTGATTTTCTACATACTGTACTACATATAGTAAAATATCAGCTGGAGCCACAATGTGAACATTTTTGGCGAGGGAGTTCAGCGAATAAGCAAAAAAGCTTCACATTGTGTCGAGCAGCTGATATTTTACGATATATATATATATATATATGTAGGACTCAAATCTATGGCGGGTTCCAAATCTATGGCAGATTCCTGATCTATGGCAAATGTAACGTAACAAATGTCAAACAAATCAAATCTATGGCAGATTTTTGTTTTCTCCAAATCTATGGCAGATCTTTAAATTACGTCACAATAGAATAACGCCATATTACATCCTCGCCGCAGCAAACGATGGCGGAACCCATAGATTTGAACACCATTCCAGATGAAAGTATTTCCCTAGACAACAATTTGCGGAAGGTTTAAAGGAAGATGTGACCTATTATCCGGAAGTCGGATAAAATGTGCTGTACCGGCCGAAGCCCGCGATGAACAAGGGCACTGCTTTTTTCAGTACCGGATATTTTAGAAAAGGGGTTATAGTACATATTTTACTGTCTATGGCTGGCAAAGTTTATAAAGTGAAAGATAAAATTACAGGATTCCAATTTGATTTAAATCGTCATCCAATAAAAAAGATGTATTAACAATGAAATAAATATTATTTGAAAATTCAAACTGTTCATTTTTATTAAGCATTTTTGTTTTATGAAAAAAACTTCCTTCTTGTTTATTAAGGGACTAATTTCTAGTTGGTTTAATGAATGGGTTATACAGGTACCATGCACAGATTAGAAAACGTTTGTTTTTACAGGGCACATGTACATCATTTCAATCTTAAAGTCTGTTATATAATTAAGGTATATGATTTCATCATTTAGGAATTTGTTTGGTTGCTAACACAATTTGGTTGACCATTATGAAATGTTTATTTCACAAATATTTATAAACATGCTCCCGTCGTACATGTCCACTTGTTTAATTAAGACAAGTCATTGGTAGTATATGTACTGCATTGTTTTCCATTTGCACAAAATTTGCCATAGATTTGGAAACAACAAAAACCCTGCCATAGATTAGGAAATTACAAAACTTGCCATAGATTAGGATTGTAAAACAATCTGCCATAGATTTGGGATGGCATGATGTCACATTTACCATATATTAGGAATCTGCGGCATAGATTTGGAACCCACCATAGATTTGAGTCCTACATATATATACATAGAAAACCTGATAATCTGTTAATCGTTCTAATACTGGTCTTTCCCCCCTCCCTTAGACAGTTTTACACTTGATATCGTCTCCTCACACATTTTATATCACGTAGCCTACAACTTTTCCTAAGACAATGTGACGTCATTGATTAAGTGACCTGATATCTCATAGCTGTGAAATGACAATTACAGTGCAACTGATCAGTGATGTGGGCATGTGGAGATACTGAAGGAATTATCACCTACGAAAAATCTCCACCATAGGGTGAAGTACTAGTTGAGAAATGACTTATATAAAGGTTTATATCACTGAATTGTGGAAAATCTGCCAATATATTTTAAATCTTTATAAACGATTTTATGGTTTTCTGTATTTAATAAATCAACAAAATTATCAATGTTATTGTTTCTAATATTAAAAGATGGATACAGTTGTTATAATTTATCCTTGTATATAACATTCTTTTTACGATTTCTTTTTGTAATACACTGGAATTAAATACATTTGAATAATTGACACACCTGCTTTAAGGGGAGATAACCAAAACTTTACGAAGTAGATGTAAAACTTTAAAAAGCTTTATGTATATTAAAATAAGATGTGGTATGAGTGCCACAATGAGACAACTGACCCCATTTTTTTGGACGATCAATGCTTTTGAATGAGACATATGGTTGGAACCCCCCTTTTAAAAAAAATGGCTAGAAATGAATTAAATGATTTAAAACATCATTTTTAACTTATTTTTAAAAGACAATTTGGAAATATAAGAGAACATTATAAAGCGTATGAACAAATACTTTGAATTGTCTGACATTCTGACATGTCTGCATGGTTTTTTGTTTTAGTTCACATTCGTCTTATTAGAAAACTTATTTTGATCATAATATATAATTTGACACTGTATCAGATCAGAGGTAAAATAAAAAAAAGTTTCATCCTAACCAAGACAAGTAATAGTCTCATTATTATGAATTGCCACAGGCTTTTTTAAAGAGTGGTTAAATCAATTAGTGCTCAGGGCAGATCGATTGGTGGCAGAGACGATATAGGGGGATCATTGGGGACTGGGGCCCCTTATGGAGCTTCATTTATGGTAAATGCATAGAATTTTTACATGTTCCATTCCAAACGATGCTTATTTTAAGGGCACCCCTTTTTCAAAATCCTGCATCTGCATCTGGAAGACACCAAGTAATAAAGGAAAGGCACATGGATATGTTCCTGAGAACTGTTATAATGGTGGTGTTCATACAAATTTATAAAAACATACTATGACAGATTCCTTGTCTTTCATCCAAATAAAGATCAGCATTTGCATGAATTGACGCATATATTTTAGTCTTAGATGCATGATTTTTTTTATTATTTGTTATTACTTGTTATTGGCTTTGAACTAGCTGTCAGTCCACTCTGTGTTTTTGTTGGATGGTATACATATTTTTATTTATATCCATCTGATGAGTTAAGGATGTATTCCTCTGACGTTACAGTCTCGTTGAAATCTTGTTCTGGAATTATTTTCAAAACATGTGATACAAGTGGAAAATATCAATGAGTTTAAAAAAATACTATAATCAAACTTAACTCTGTGAAAAAAATTGTGTATTTACAATAAGTAGTTCTTGAGTAATGAAATTTTCAAATTTTATAACCAATCAAGTCAGGCTTATTAGCCAAAATGTTGAGAAAATGGGTGAGGGCCCGGGTATAAGAAATGATTTTACCAGAAACATGTACATCCCATTCCCATATCAATTTTTTCTTTTCAAATTTCTTAGATATGTATTTTTTCAATCATTTATAACAAAGAAGTTGAAATATATGCTTTTTGTTCTAAAAGAAAGAGAAAAATCCCAAATTTTCAAAATTGACAGCATGGTAAATTTGACACAAAAAAGCAACAAAATTTTACAAAACTTTCTCATATTAACACCTACCTATAGTTTTTAAGTTAAATTTATTCAGATTGTAACTGAGTGCCCTACCTATAGTTTTCTAAGTTAAATTTATTCAGATTGGTCCACTTCATCTTTAATGAAAGTATGAAAAAAAGTTTAATTGTGAAACTGATTTTTTTCATGATAATAGCCCAAAAATGGGTAAAAATTGATGAAAAATGGGAAAATCATCAACATTGGGTACTTTCAAATGGCCGTAGCAAAAAAGAAGTGCACCACCATATGATTTTTTCTTCACCAATTATTTTTTTACAGTCATATAAACCCAAAAATCAGGTTAAGAAAAAAAGTTTAATTCTAGAAATTTTTGGCTCCTCAGAGGTGTACATCCTTAAGCCTTTTTCAACTGTTTTTTTTTTAGTTTGTTCTTATGTTGTACTGTTACACCGCTGTCCCAGGTTAGGGGGAGGGTTGGCACCTTCAAACTTGTTTAACACCGCCAAATTCTGTATGTGCCTGTCCCAAGTCAGGAGCTTGTAATTCAGTGGTTGTTGTTTGTTGCTGTTAATTACAACCATAAATGCTATCAAATTATTTTTTTTACATTGTCTATACTTAGAATCACAGTGGCGGATCCAGGGGGGATTCCTGGGGTTGGAAACCCCCCTCCCCCTTTTTTTGGCCGATCAATGCATTTGAATGGGGACATATGATTGGAACACCCCCCTCATCTTTATCCTGAGTTGGGAACCCCCCTTTTAAAAATGGCTGGATCCGCCCCTGAATCAGAATATATTTCATTTAGCAAGTCATCATGGGACTCCATTATGATGGCTTTAGGTCACAAGGTCACAATATTAAATTGTCTCAGGTCTCCAGGTCACTTTTAAGTAAATTTGACACATGTTTATGTTTAACGATAAACTTGTCTTAAAGGTCACTACACAGGTCCTTTTAAATTAGATGTCAGGTTGCAAGGTCACCAGTGCCAAATAACCCAGTATGTCACAGGTCTGATTTGACCATGTAGGAGCCGTCCATAATAAACCGTACAGGAAGACATAGTCATGTGCAACAGGCAGAACTTAATATGAACATAAATAAGAATTCACAAGCAGAAAACAAAAAAGAACAAATTCCCATCTTGCTTCACACTGCAAAAGAGAGGCGAAAGACACCAAAGGGACATTCAAACTCATGAGTCAAAAATAAACTGACAATGCCATGGCTAAAAAAAGAAAAAGACCAACAGACAACTTAACAGGTTCAACAACCAACCTTTACCCAAACCGCATTAAAAAAGAAGGAAAAAAAGAATTAAAACCTGTATTAATAAGTTTGCTTAACCAAAAATGATCAAATAAAGGACCTTAATATGTTAAGCTGATTTCACCCCTCTTTATGGAGGGGTTTT